TATTTTTTTCTCATGCTGCGCCTCCCCTGAAGCTCTCTGGCGCCCCCCCAGGGAGGCGCGCCTCACACTTTGAAAACTGCTGCTGTAAATCATAACAATGACATAAGTAAGTCATAAAAATGTAATAAGTAAGTCATAATAATTAGATAATAAGTCATAATTATGATGATCATTTTTTTCTTTTCTGTGGCGCAAACGGGCTTCCATACAAACAGACGGACAAACTAAACCAAAAACAAAACCTCATTGGTGGAAATACAATAAAGGATATACAATATTTATACATTAAAACAAACAAAACAAATGCTAATGTTTGCCCTTTAAACGATCGCCTCAGAAAATGTAACTGTCATTCTGATTTTAGCACAACCGGTAATCACCGCAACACATCAACCTCACTTCAAAATCGTGATCCAAATAATTTGTTAGTTGAATTCTCTCAGAAACCTCACAGACAAATCTGAAAAGTAACACAGGCACTTTGTGCACAAACAACAATCACCCGAATGTGCATCTGAAAAATCTATCCATTTAGAGACAGCTGCAGAGCAGACGCAGTAAAATTATGTTGTGACTTGCCTGCAAAGTGAAAATGATGAGCGTCCTTGTTTCTGCAAGCTCTGCAGTTAAGAGTTTCACAAAAAAATAAATAACAGCAGCAGGGCCGGGCTCTGCCGCAGTGAAATCTCTCCCTTCAAGTGTAATTAAAAAAACTACTGGCAAAGGAATGAATTAAAGGCTCCCAGTAGCATTGATAACCCTGGCGTGGCAACAAGCGAGGTTTTTAACAGGCGCCTAATGGGTCTGCTAAAAGGCCCTTTATTATGTTTTCTCCTGTAAATGATCAAAACTCCTTTCAGTAACCTCAATAAGGATCTTTATCGGGAGTGAAAGAGAAAGTGTTCACAAAGAATGAAAGGAAAAAAAACACCACAGGCGACGGCACTTGGATGGGCTAAAGGCTAATTGTGTCTGAAATGAGATTTTAAGCGGCTGAATTAGTAGAGGGTGCAGCGCATGGCGGCTGAGAAATGGAAGTAAAATGGAGTGAAAATAAGCGCAGGTCACATACAGATAAGCATGCCAGCTCTCTGAGAGTCTGGCTTTGTGTTTGTGCAGCTCTTTAAACCACACAGGACGCCGTCTGGTGATTAATTAGGCTGACTTAGAAGAGCAAACCCTGTCATTACTTAGCGTATTCGTCGCTCGTTTCAGTCATAGACACTCTCCTCTGCAGAGCTGCTTACAGTGAGTCACAGAACAAGATTGAATTCATACATCAGCAAATAAAAGTCACAGAAAGAATACAATATTCCCTAAAATGATTGTGCAGGGTGGAGAAGTGCAATGAAAAGAAGCATTACAACAAGACAGGACTGTTTTTAATTAAGGCAATTGGGAGAAAGTACAAGTGAAGATGTTACAGAACCTCTTTAACAGATGAGTTCCCAGGTTACTTGTGAAAAGAAGGAGTAATGTGAGGATTTAAATGATGGAGGGAGAGAAGGAGGACGGGCTGGAGATGTGGAGAACAGTGTTTATTGCACAAGTAAGGGACTAAATATGATGTAGCATCTCCAGCTGTGCACTCAGCTCTGTCAGCACGTGTGGTCGGCATGCAAATACGGGTTGATGGATGTATCTGCTCTGGTCTAAAGGGAACACGCCACAGAGAGGGGGGGGCTGTGGTCGCTCGAAGACTAATGGGCCGATTAAGCGCTTCAAGGAGGCAGCCATTTATTTGTTGTGTGTGACTGGATGAAGATTCACTTCATTAATAAGGGCCGGCACTTACCAACATTGTTGTTTTGTTTTTTCTTCCCTCTTGCTCTCAAACAAGTTTCTCTCCTCTTTGGTTTATTGTGTCTGTACCAGGAGAAAATGAATGGAGGCTTGTGAGACAAAAGCAGCAGTGGAGCGTTAGGACTGCATCACAAAATCCAGGCATTAAGACAAACAGTGAGGATTGATCAAACTGCGATAGCTTTTTGGACAACAACAACATAAACTGAGAATTATAAATGCAAATGGAACGATATGTTAGGTGCCTCGCATAATCTATTATTTCCAGTTGTCTGAAAATCTCTGAGCCAGTTCGTCTTGGGGGCAATTTATGGTGCAACTCCTGTAAATATTAAATCATCTCCATTAAAGCCATCACAAGAGCAGTAGCTAATAAACAACATTAATATCTAAAGGGTAAATATAAGTGGGTGCATCAGACATATATCTCGACAATGTTTCATGTGATGTGAGTGTTTCGACATACAGTAAGTTGTCTTTTGTTCATGAAACAGAAATAGAGTCCCTCTTTCTTGAGCATTTTCTACTCATGATTTTTAGGAGTGTTTCTCTCATTCCTACCACAGAATGTAGACTGACACAAGATAGCGCAAATAAAGTGTCAGACAATTAAATTAAAGGTTTTGCAGTTTCTTCAATGCTTGTTTAATTTTGTCTCTTTTTAAATGAAAACAACTAGATGACTAAATGTAAGTAAATGACACATGAATTTATGATCTGTAATTTTCAAACAGGCTTTCCTTGTTCACACATGCGCACTGCCACTATGTAAATCACACTCAACTTAGGATGTTATGTTAGACGCTCACCAACACATCTGTTACTTGCTGAAAAACTATTTGCGGTGAAAAATGAATATGTTCTTGCTGTTCCAATATCTCAACATGATAAATGAACTAACATACAAACCAGCTGTGTCAACAACAGTGCAGCAATCGCGCTAACTAGACACAAACAACAGGGACTATTAACCATCGACAGGCAATATCCAATATGGCCACCAGTCATAGTGAATGCAAGTAGTTACGTCACTTGGAAGTCCTGCATGTCTGGAGAAGTTCATAAAGATCAGGCACCTCCAACTTCTCAGACCAATCCCCTTGAAACACAGGACAGTGAGCTCCACTCATTATGGTAATACTGCTCCAGTGAAGTGATTTACTTGGCAGAAATGTAATAAAAGCTTAAGGCTATAATGGAGCCTGTCATATCAACCAGCTTGTCAACATAATTGCCACTTCCATCTGCAATTAGATCACACTGCATTCGCTGATTTCCACTTCCAATGCGAGCCATTCAGCTGTCTGATCGTCACCGAGCAGGTTAGAGTTTTCAGTGTCATCCTCAAGGACGTTTTGGTGAGACAGACTCAAGCCAAAGGCCACACTTTCAGGTTATTCAACAGCCACGAGGACACATGCTGTTTTAATGCCTTCATGGTTCTATTGTTCGAAGATTATTAAAATACTGAAGGTTTCCTGTTCCTTTTCCCAAACTGTTCAGCCAAACTCTTTTACTTTTAAAAGATATCTTCCTCATTTCTCTCCTCCTTTTTACCCGTGGCTGGGTTTAACTGAATGAAGAAATCAAACTCTGGAGTTGTTAAAGTAATTGCCAAGCTGGCACATCCCCAGTTCTTCTGCAAAGACACGGCGGGCACTTCAGAATGCTAATGTCCACCCTGATCCAGAGAGGGCAGAGAGTGTGTGTGTGTGTGTGTGTGTGTGTGTGTGTGTGTGCCCACGTTAACGATTGGTCTATAAGACACACAGATTTCTTGTTCTTCCAGTGACCTTCTCTCTTCACAATCTGTCCTTTTCTTGTTGGACTTCTTCTAATTAAGAGGCTCCTACACAGAGGAATCAAAATGTAAGTATCAGGACATGAAGAAAGACAACAATATTACCGGTAAAAACAGCTTGATTTCTTTAGCAAAGGCTACAATGTAGTTACAACAGCAAATAGTTAAAGGTCACCTATTATGCAAGTCCACTTTTTCATGTATTTTATACATAAACATGTGTCCCCTCTGTGTAAAGAGTTTCTGAAAGTTTCAGGAAAAAAAGATTCTCTCTTTTTGTCCTGATCCACTTTGTGATGTCACAATGTTTTTTTGGGTTGAGTAACCATTAGCCAATAACCAACCAAGGTAACTACCCCGCCCCTTATCACCTGAATCTCCTCCTAGCGCGTTCACACCGGAGTACTTTTCACCGTACTTTTCCCGTTTAGTTCCGTTAGTACCCCTTATGTCGCGTTCACACCAAAAAGAGCACTTAATCTCAGGAACTTTTACCCCCATTTTTAGTGCCTGCTGAGAGATGGTACTTTCCTGGGGGAAAAAAGTGCCCCAGTTCTGATTGGCTGGGCGAATTGCAAACCACGCCCCGTAAAACTCTGAAATGTTTTTGTCGAGCCGCCATTTTATTATCCTCGCATTAGCATTATTAGCATTAGCATTCGCCCAGCGCACAAATGCAGAGAGACTAACTTATGGCAACACAAAATAAAACATGGGAGCGGTGGAGATGAGGAGGTGTCGGTGTTCCGGCGATTTACTCGGAAGGCTTCAGTAGAAGCTGCTGGGAGTCCCAGCAGCTTCTACTGAAGCCAGTCTCCAACTCCAGGGACTTCCGGCCGGGGACTTCGGGTGACAGTATACACCGTGAAGTTGTTTGCGGCCTGCCAGTAAACCCAAAGCAGAAGAAGACGAAGTGACGTCAGCGGCTCATTTGTGTAATCTTCCCTCAGGGAATTTATTCCGGTGTGAACGCGATCTGTACTAAGTGCCCTGGGGTAATAAGTGCCGGGGCACTCAGTGCCGGCACTGAGTACGGCAAAGTACTTGGTGTGAACGCGGCTATTGTGTTTTTCTAAACCAAACATCTTGCAAAGGGGCGTGGCCAGCAGCAGCTCATTTGCATTTAAAGCTACAGACACAGAATCAGCACTTTTGAAACAGGGCTAAAAGAGAGGGGTTTATGGCACGCAACAATATATTATAGGTCTCAGATGAATACAATACATGTCTCTGAAGTGTTTGACTCGCAATACCTAACAGTTCATGCATTGTTGTGACATTTAATAATGAAAATGTATTAGAAGTTACCGTATGGAGTTTCCATCCTTAGTCAGTGGAGTTTGACCCCCCCACTACCCTTTAAATCTCTTTGAACACAAAACACAGAACAGCTGTGGACTAGCAACCCACTTTAATCCCTCTGAAATAAAATGTTCTTGATGGATTTCATTTGGATACAGGAACAAGTTTGTGCCCCAACATTGCAGTTTGATGACAGACAAAAGAAAAAAAAGAGAAGTATATATGTGCAACATTTACAAATCTGATTCACAATACACATGGCCTCAGTATGTACAAGGTGACAGTGTTGGGAAATCAGTCCATCAGTAGTTTAATGTCTCTAAAAGCACCCATGAAGCAAAGCGCGGCCATATCCGCAAATTGAAAGATGTATTTACTGGTGCAAACTGAGTATAATACACGTGTTGAAATGTGTAAAAAATACACTCATTAATATTTTCAATAGGCCAAGTTTATGAATTAAAAATAAGAAAATGTACAATATAAGGATAGGGTAATACAAAAACAAGATACTTAATATACAATATTGACTTGTACATACAATGAAAACAAATCATAGAACATCATATTTTCAGATTGTAGGGTTCCTACATATACACATTTTCAAATAACATACATGTTCCAGACTTGTATCCTTAACATTTACTTCAATTTGTTTCACCAGATCATGTGCTAATAGGAGAAAGAAGACATAGAGAGACATTACCTATAATAGTGGACAACATGATAACAGGAGCTATTATCAGCAACGGGTTATTCATGAGCCAATTACGGCTGATGAATATTTTCCGGCTGTTCTGTCCTTCCTCAACTGTGTGAAGACTCGGATGTTAAAGCAACATTTTTTCCACATGTAGGAACCCTGAGACAGATTTAGGTGAAAAGAGTGGAGCTGCCAAATGTCAGATTAAATGATGTCACTAAAGGTCTCACCTGTGACACATCTTTAAAAAACATTGCATCCTGAAAACAAATCTATTAGTGTTTGCATTCAACATTTTTCTGCCATTACAAATAATTATATCGATATTTGACTAAGACATTTAAATACTGAATTCCCATACAATACATTTTTTTTCACCCCATTCTCCCCCCTTTTGCAATCCGATGGAAAATGAACACTTTAGTTCCACCTCACAGTTCCAAAGCCACAAGCGGCCCGATTGAAAAATAGAACATTTGTTGCTGGTTGTTTGATTTCAAAAAGAAAAAAGAAGAAGAAAAGTTCAAAAAGGGGCCTTAATGCTTAGAGGCCGTTATAATAATTAGTTTTCTGTACAAAAGACAATGGGAGTGTGCCGTCATCGAGTTAATGCACCGAGGTATGGAGTTGATACCACTAAGAGAAGTATTCATATTAAACTGGAGAAGGGAAGCACAGCAGCTGACCAGAAATGGAAAACGCGTAGAAAAACAACAAATTATATTAATTATGTCAAAAAAATAATAATCCTTTACCTTTTACCTCAGAGCACCACCGCAATACATTAACTCAAAGAATAAAAAAGGAGCATGCATTAAAGAGTGCTTGTGTCTTTTTTCGCTCCGCCCTGAGCTCTCTGAGCCGGTGGAGGAAATGTTTTTAGTCCATAATTCCAGCACTCAGTGAATCCACCTCAGTTAGCGACTTCCTATTGGCTCAGCCTCCACTGGCCGAGTAATAACAAAGTGGAGGTTTTTAATACAGGGGTCCTGGACTACTGTCCTGATGGAAATGTGAATTGAGGAGGCTCTCCATGAAGGAAACGTCCACTGAAAAGGGGTTTGGCTGCGGAGTCAGCATGGCATCTGAGGCCAGGGTCGACTCCGTGAGAGCGTCTGTGAGGGCCACGCTGGTGTCCATGGGGGTCTCAACGTCCATCTGAATACCATTGGTGTGGGAGGGGGCTTTGTGTAGGGTCATGGTGGACCGGGGTAAAGGTTGTGAGGTTTGTGATGTGTGAATACTGAGATGTTCTGCTCCTCGCGATGCTACAGCAGCTGTAGTTAGGGAACAGGAGGGTTTATTGGTGGTCTCCATGGGTGTGGACGAGGCGGAGCCTGACGGGAGGCAGCGGCGTTTGGCTGCCTGGGCTTCATCTGTGGATGAAACCCCCACCTGAGGTACAGGGATGGCCTGAAAACAGACAGGCACAGACTTAGACTGAGGAAACATTGGGATGGTCAGCTGTTTGTGTCTAAAATTGCTTTCTATTGATTTTGTATAGTTAACGTTTGACCATTTCAGAGAGTCCGAATACAATTGTGTGAAACTGTATTATCTATAGTGCACTAAAATATTAAAGCAGCCATTTTGTGATTGTTGATTATCTTGTCCTCTCAGTTTATTGCTAACCAAGCTAGCAGTTATAAGCTGCCTTTGGCACAATAGAAGTAGAACGTACCCATTTATTGTTTGAATAACTTAGGTCTTTTACTCATTTTACATTTACTCTTTGGAGACCCTTCAGCACACACAAAATTGATAGCCGAGGCAAAAGTTAATGAATATTTTGTGTCAGCCAAAGCAAACATCTGCCAAACTAAGGTGTCTTTTTATTAAATCCTGTTACAACATGAAAGGTGTGTGTTCAGGTAAGGAAGCAGAATCTCTGTTATATACTGACCAGTCTGGCTCGGACCCTCTTCGGGAGTTCATGCTCCAGCAGATGGATCTCTGAGTGTTTAAGTATCAGCTGACTCTGGTCCTGAAACTCAACCTGGAAAAAATCAAATAAAAAAACGATGAAATATGAAATTCACATATCTAACTGTCTCCTGAGTTAAAGTAAAAACCTAGGTACACTTGGAAAATATCCAAATACACTGAACTCGACCCATAAGAATTACGAAGGGCTACATCAGCATGGTGATTTTTACAAGGCAAGACAAACCTTTATTGATCCCTGTGGGGAAATGTAGCTTTATATCAGAGGAAGATACATTTGTGCGTAGAAAAGATGATGGGTGGCTTAGTGAGCAAATATACAAACGTGCACCCAGAGAGTCACAGATGGGTCTCAGCTCACCTGAGCAAAACAAATGGTTGCACCAACAAACATCCTTGACCGCAGCCGTGAACTCTGAAGCTGCTTACTGACGGGACGTGAGAATCAGCTAAGCATTTAAAACATAAAAAGCGACAAAACCTGAAAAAAGGACAAGGTCAGGGATGTGTCCCTGACATAGAGTCCAGCTGGAGGCTTTTTCTGAATTGAACAGCCCTTCTTGTCTCTAACAGGACTCTCATACTGCAGCCTCCAGCGTACACATGGAGCTGAGCAAGGTGGGACGCTGATTTACTTTCTGAAGAGGAACTCATTGTAAAACACAATACATTTGTTTTTTTTGGTGCAACAACAGATATGCCATTTGTGTGAGAAAGAACACAAAACTAAGACGTATAAGATATTCTTTTAAACTAACCTGAATGAACAAAAACACTTTTGAAAGCTCGTTTCAGATGAATGTATTTAACTGTTTTTCCACAGAGACATCATAAGCCAGACAAGGTTCAATAACTTTACAGCAACAGTGTGTGTTGTGAAGCAGCCCCATAAACACCATCTCTGTTCTTTGTGTGTATGTGTCAGAAAAAGCGCTTACAGATGTGCTCACAGATCCAGCTTCACAGCAAAATCTAAGATTAACAACCTCACTTAACCTAGCCTGCTAATGCATTCCAGCATCCATGTCTGTAAGTGACTTTTAAGATGGCCTCCTCTGACACCAGTCCTAGAACCGTCTTTTGCAATTCTGCATTTTCCACTCAGTAAGCACTCTGCATATTTGCTCCATAAATTTCCCAGCATGCACCACTGATGCCAAATCCCTCCACTTTATGTTTTAATGCCACACTGTATCAAAACGCGCCACCATCTACAAGGGCAGCCGAGCTTTTCCACACTTAATGATAAATACCAGAACCGGGGAACCAAACCAGAGGATGGCAAAAAAATGAGACGGAGCAGCGTGTTACCCACAGTTCACGGCTTCAAATCACCAAGAGCGTCAGATGAAAGATGTAAGTGATGTTGTTGCTCAGAGTACTCGCCGAAAATGTTGTTCTGAATATATAACATTATTTAAAAATGTTGTTTTTTTACGGTAGGAAGTGTTCATACATTTACTCACATTGCAGCTGGAAAATACAAACAAATCTAGTCTTTTCTTGAACAGCCGTGGATTAAAAATGTGATATTTACCTGTCAAATGTGCAATTAAAAATCTAAATTATAATTATTCTTTGAGTAGGGAGCATCCAGTCACACATTAGACTCTAATATTTGTGTTTTTCCTCACCTGGTAGGACTTGTGAGAGTGCTCTTTGACAAAGGAAGCGTTGATAATCTGATCGTCAGATGTGCCCACCACTATCAACTCCCCCACCTCAGGAGGACCCGAATGCAGGCAGTCGTGACACTGAAGGGGGAGAGGAAGAGAAACAGGATGTAGGCAAAGAGGAAGAAGATGGAGGGCAATAGAGTATGTGGAGGAAAGGGAGAACAGAATGGCAGAAAGAAAACACAAGTAAGAGTTCTGCAAGTTTCATTTCCCAAACTCTTTTCTTTTAAAACTTGAACAACTTATGATTGAAGACTTTCTACTTTTATCTAGCACACGCTGTAAGAAAGTAAGTGTTTACAGTATTTAGATTATTGATATTTCATTCTCTGGTTCTTTTTCTCCTTCCTCCACAGAAAACCCACCACTTCCGCTGTTGCTGCTATAATTACAGTTATGATTGTGGCAGTGAGTCATTAAAGGTTGTTTGCATTCACTATAAGCCGTTATATTTTCATTTTGCAAAGACGCTCCAGCATTGAGATATAGAACAGTTGCTAGGATATTCTAATAATCTCGCTTTAAAACCAAAAGGGAAATATGTTTGTTCAGGTTATGAGTCTGCTACAGTACACAGGTAGGTGTATTACTGAGCTGTATGTTATATAACTCACCAATATGTTTTCTGGGTGCAGGTTGTCACAGTATGAGCCGTCATCAAAGTTGACCTCGTAGAACGTCTGTGTTGCCATGCCGATGAGTGTACAATGGTAGTACCAGCCGTCACTGTTACGGCCAATCACTTTCTGTCCTAGGTTCAGACCCTGCTGGCTTTTGAGGGATGTCCGAGGCTGAAGGGGAGAAACAGACGGATACTTTGAGGTAAAGACAGGATCCATGTTTGTGCTCATCCAGTTCATATTGTAAACAGCACTCAGATAATCCTTGAGGAACACATTTAACTTTATTTCATTAGATTTCATTCTGGGTCGGTTCAAAACCCCATATGAATAAACCTAAACAATAAGAGAGACCAAAGATTGCATTGAACAAAACTAAAGTGTTCTATCTGCATTATTGCTTTCTCTTATGTAGTGAGGTGATTCAATAACATGTACATTTTTTTTTTAGCCGCAACAGGCTTCAGGCTTTGTTGGGTTAGAATTTCCACTTGTTGATACATGAGTTTCAAGTTGTTGGAAATGTCGCCTCAGACGTCTAGTTTGTAATACTGCATGTATATAATTATTGTAATACTTTTCATCAGTGGGCCATATCCTCAATCACCACTGTGTTCCCTCCTTGTGTGACAGCAGCTTAAGCAACATTTAATTAAATGAAAGTCGTTGAGATTGCTGCTTGAAAAAACACTCTTTCTACAAGATATCAAAAAAAGGCTCACTGATAATTAAAAAAATAATTAACACCCACACATACACCATGAATCACAGCAGGAAATTCAATCAAATTCAGAAAATGAGTCATACTAAAAAAAAAAGTAAATCATGAATCTTTGTTGGGGTTCAATGTTACACAGAACAGCTGACTGTGATCCAGATGTGCAGGTACCTTTGGAGGGAATCTTTTATGCCTGTTGCAGGTGACGGACACCACGTAGGGCCAGTCGGCTGGTGTCATGACGACTCCGGCGATCTGTGCGCATGTGACATGGAAGGAGGTGGCGCAGTTCTCTTGTGAGCACTGGATGCAGGCGCCGCGGTTCTGATTGGCCGTCTTTCCATGGCAGAATACACACTTCTACAAAGAAAATAGGAAACAAAGAGTTTAGTTGGTGATTCAGGTGGCAGACCGGTTCCAATTGCGCTCCTGAGCTTATTTAGTATTTACTGCATTCACTTTCATTGATATCGAAGGATGAGTACTTATGGTGTTATGATTCATAATGTGGTTCATTATATGAGATTACAGGTTTTCTCTCTGTGTCTGTGAATAGAAAAAGTTTAGTTTATTCCAAAAGGAAAAACACAGAAGGGACTGATAACTGTTCAAACACTCGTGTTCACAATAACAGATCCTCCTCCGGGGCGCAGATCTCAGTCTAGTGTTTCAGTGAGCCTGCTGTTGCCATGGTGGAGATGTGATCATGTTGGGGCTTTCACGACAAGAATAACAAGTCCTACTGAGGCTGTTATATTCATAAGAACCATGAGAAGCATAGAAAACACATAAATTGGAAGATGAATTGTAGAAAGTTTGCACGGATTGAGGAGTATTAGACCTTTCTGCAGTTGAGCCCTAAAGATTTTTTTGACTCTTCTACTCTGGCACATACTGAAATCGTTGGAATTGCAGGGCATCTTTAGAAAGAGACGTGGAGGAATACAGTGGAGTGTAACCATTTTCCTCTTCTACTTTAATAGTTTTCTACTCATTAAAAAACATAATGGATGTGTTCAGTTTTTCACAGAACATGCGTCATCAGCGTCAGTAGCGTGGTGGGATTCTCATCCAGCTTCCACTGCAAATGTCAACACTTTGGTAAAGACAAAGTTGTTATTAGCAGCTGCCTGAAACACCACTATGACATTCAAAACATTTTTCAACCATTCTTTTCATTTCCCCCCCCCTTCCATTCTCGTTGGTGTCTTGCATCACTTGTTCAACTACTCTTGCACAATCATACAAGGAATTTTCTATTCCCCTTGGAGCACTTTCCTTTTAAAATCCCTTCTCTCCATCCCCACAGCCTGAGTGTGAAATGACCACCAGCCAAGCACATCTTTCCCTTTGGCCTGGAACCTGGTCTACTCTCCACTTTGACATGTGCCAGCCTGCACACAGGACTCCTCAACATTCATTATTCATTTTCAATTCACTTTGAATCCTTCAACCCTCCATGTCTACCCCCCTTTGTCTTTATACTCTCCTTCCCCATCCCTCATTTGTTCCTCTACTCAGCTAAAACGGAGAGAACAAGGTGGAGAGATGAAAAGCCGGGGTGCAGCGAGGAAAGAGAATAACAGCATGAAAAGGAATTTGGCCTTTCAAACCGAGTTATCTTCTCAATACACAAGGGGAGGAAGCATTATCTTCCTTCAAAATCCTAATAGAAACATTTATCTGTTAAGAAATCACCTGCCATGAAACACATTTGAAACACATTTGATAAGAGAATTATAAATGTTTAACTCATGACAGCATGCTTGGATCTAACATACAGACTATAAGCTTGGACGGCAGAGGCATCTTATGTGACTGCTATCTCTCTATGCTCCTGTTTTATTGTGATTATCTATCACCACACACTTCCCAATCCCTCACTCAGCCCTTCTTCTCTATCCTCCTCCTTATGACAAATCACACTGTGAGCATCTGTAGTGCAGCGTATGGCTGATCAATAAGAAATACAAATTATTTATTAATCTGTCAATACTTCATTTCTGTAGGAACAACATCTCTCTACAGAGCTTTGCTGTGGGATATTTCACAGGCTGGCATGATTAAGACTTTTCCGCTGAAAATCACAACAGGCAGGAGCGCAGCAGCAGATAACATAAGATGTATGTGATATCTGACACCACATTGCCGTCTTTTTATTTATATTTAATCTCTAATTGGTAAGATTGTGAAAGACACCAAAAACGAACTTACTTATTTACAACTTTTTTAGTATTTAAGCCATTTGTAAAACTTTAAATTAATAAATTGTGGCCCCATCTTCTGCAGAATAAGATAATATAATAACTGATAAAGTATGTGTCACTGTTATGGTTTATGTGTGTTTGCATGCTAAAGGAGAATGAAGCTGGAATTGTAATTTGAAAACATTTTTTTTTTTTTTTTCTTTTTAAATCGTACAATGATTTATTTAAGCGGCTTGCTTTTTCTAGCTTGCGGCTGCTTTCTAAAAACGAACAGATACCGCAGCGCCCCTAGGTGCACGATGCAACACTACCTTTGGGGAAGGTATATTTTTGAGGAATGCACAGCGTTACTGTAGCTGGGAAACTCTGGAAAAAAACTAAGACAAAAGCAACGTGTGTGAAATCGCTCAGTGCCTGAAAACTAAACGTTCAAAGATGCAGGGAAAACACAGATTGCTGAAGACAGTGCAAAATTAACTGGTTTCCAAGGGTGCGTGTTCACATTTGATCAGTCCAGTCATCTGAATCATTATACCGCAGAGCGTCTTCTCATGGCCTTTTAAGAAGAGAAACCTGCTTTGACAGCACTCAGATGCAAATGTCACCCAGCTTGTCTTTGATAGATTATTCAGAGAGAAGGGGAGGGAGAGAGGCGACATTATTTGTAGATTTGTGATAATGCATCAGCAAGCACCGCTGTTGCCTGTGAAGTGGGATCATGTGAATGGAGCAGAGACTGTGAAGGAGGGATGGAGGGGATGTGGTGTGTTCAAAGACGCGGCAGCAATGGGGAAATTGCCTCCTGCCCACGAGATCGATTCAGTTCATTTGGCGCAGTGAGAAATGACAGCTGATTATTCAGCCGTTCCCCTCAGCACATATGTTTTACCCCATGTCCTCCACAGCTTGCAAAGACCCAATCTATCCATCCACCAAAGAAAGAGAGTGGGTAACGGGGAAAGTGACAGACACAGTGAGCAGGAGTCAGGAATTTGCTTAAATGTGGGGAAAGGAGATCCGGGAGGCAAAGAGAATTCTATAACGCCGAGACAAGACAAAATGAATGTGAGAAAGTAACTTTTGAGAGAGAGGATGAAAATAGTGACTGTTCAAATGTTCTTGCTTAGGTTAAAATGTTGACCCCTGCCTGTCTGATCTCACACTTAAGAGATAATTCAATTTTGCTTCGTGTCTGTATAAACGTACCAGATTTTTGCGTGTATCTGGAACTGCACTGACGTCCACCGGCTCCCTCTCATTGGCGTTGACGAAGCGGGCTTCAGGCACAGCGATGGCACAGATGACATGGACCCACCTGGTGACAGAGAGAGACCGTACACACTTCAGTCTCTGGAAGATCCAACATAAGCAGCACAACCAGATATACAAGGCTGATAACTCTTCACTGAATGCTGGGGTCAATTATTGTAAACTCATGCGTGTTCTGTATTGAGAGTGATAACTTTACAAATGTGTTTCTATAAGTATTCCATGAACTAGATCAGATGTTGGAAATATGTGTATATAGATCACATCATACCTATAGTATTTTAAAACCTGTATTGTCAGACTTAATAAAACTAACTATGATAGAAACCCTCTGGAAATTAAATAAACATTTCATATATATTTTTGTCATCAAGGGTGTTTCTGCACAAATAAAACGGGTAAAAAAAGAAAAAGCATATGCTACTAACCGGTTGTCAATGGTGGACTTCAGAGCTCCTCCGCGCAGGTTACAGAGACAACACTCCTGAAAAAAAGAAGAAAATAAGTATTACATTTAGGCAGTGAGGGAAACAGTTAATTCTGCATTTTCTAGGGTTATACTTTGAGTTTGTTTTGCTATAGCTGCTGGGTAAAGTAATCAAAACATGTTTGACAAACCAGACTTTGCAAGACTGCTTCACTGCAGGTCCAGTCAACGAAAAGTAAAATAAATAACTTCACCTATTCCCTCATACTTTTGTTTAATTCAAATATTGTTGTTCAGTAGAGGACTTAACAGTTTTTCTGGACTTGTGGTGTTTTTTTGTTGTTGCAGACAGCAGTGCTGCTACTTACCACGGTCCAGGCTCCCGCTGCACACCTGGGGCACGTCCAGGACTCCCTGACTGAGTCCGTCTTCACACCGTAACAACCTGTAAGAGAGGACAGATGAATGGTTTTGTATCTATTTAGATTATGTTGCATTTAATGTTCTGGAAGCACCTTCTAGATGAAGTGTATTTTTTTTAACCTATGCACCAGAGCTGTTGTTAACCACTTTCTATTTAACCTGCACAATCTTCTTGTCATTATCACCAATTTGAGGTTCTGAATCAAAAAGGCTTGTACATACATGTCACACCTAGACAGGGTTGAATGATTTTTAGTTGAATGTCTGCTCCAAAACAATGATGAGCACAGAAACGGAGCGCAGAGCTGGTGTTCTTGACAGGAGCTCTTTCTGCTTCACGTCCTCTTATCAATAGCAGCGCTGCATCCCCAGCTGAGCTCAGCTTATCCCTGGATCACTAATGAACTGGCCTTTTTGAAGGTGCACTCCAGCTTTGGGGATAATAAGAACCCAGGAGGGTTTGTAAGTGTGTGTGGGGGAATGTGTGTGTGTGTGTTTCTGACTGAGCATTTGTGCACAAGTCCATGTTGTAATTCATCTGATTGCTTTTTTGGAATGATGGGTTGTGTGAGACAGCTCAAGCAGATATATCGTTCTTTCATTATATAGGCCTACTGAAAAAACGGAAAATTAAAATGCCATTTCATAAGAAATATGTTTCAATAACAACCAAATAAAATATGTTTTTGTTTAGTCAAGATAACAGGTGTTGTTAACATTTAGCAAGTAGAAGTAGAGCACAGAGATCCCAGAGCTCTTTCACTCAAACACAAAGTTAACAAGCTGACTGCCCTAACCCACTTTGCTTTGACAGAAGCCATATTCCCTTATAAGTCGTCATTCTTTGTGATAAATTGTTAAATGGGATAAGCAGAGCAAAAACAAGCTTGGGTAGTTTATGGCATGCTGCCTTCAGAAAGGCTTTTGTGCTGCCTGAGCATTCTCTTATTTAGTTCAACCCGAGTCAAGGAGGGATAAACTAGGAATCCTCCCTCAGCGTGGCAACAGGGGAATTGTGCAGTCAGTTGTTGCATAGCTGAGTCTCATATTCCAGTCTTTCCTATTTTTCCAACACAATTCTCACAGGTTGAGGGATAAAAAAAAAAAAGTTGTGAACAGAGGAGAGAAGTGAAATACCCAGTATAGTTTGTCTGTAAAGCCTGTCAGTGGTGTACGGGCTGCGTGACACCAACAGTGTCATAAATAAAACAAAGCAGCGTGTCTACAGCTGAGTCTCCCAGTTGATAAGAATAAAACATCACTTTTCAGCAGTATTTTAGTTGTATGTTTGCAGCCGTAGCACTCGACTTATATTACATTTAAACATTACAAAACATATTGATTACTAAATGCATTTTTAAATGACAAAATGCAGATTTACACCATTTTTACCATCCTTTACAACCTGACTAAACCTGAGGTTGCTCTCTTACCCCTTTATCCATTTTACAATTCAACCAAAAATACAGGGGACAAATGTTGAAGATCACCAATGCAATCCAACATCTACTTTTGAGCATTGGGAAATGCATTGTATTATTGACACAACCTTGGTTATGATGGTTCATTATCATCCGCTCAAACCAGGTTTTATGAATCCTGAAGGAACTAGAGCTAATTTAGAGGAAGAAGGCTTACAGTGACTGTACTTCCTGGAGCTGCAGTGTAAAAGCTGTATATCTCTGTGTGTGTGTGTGTCTGTCTGTGTGTCTGTGTGTCTGTCTGTGTGTGTGTCTGTGTGTCTGTCTGTATGTCTGCAAAGCTTCCTGCAATCTGCAAATGTTGACTTTCATTTACAGCTTTCTGTTGTGCTCAGATTAATTTTTCATTGCTTATCTTAGAGAAACAACAACATTAACATATGAAGAGGAAGGCCTTTATAACGGGTACAAACTGTGACAGCTGTCCTCTTATGTTACTCCCCTATTGCAAGTTTTACAATCAAATTCGTATTGGTTTTTTGGACTTACTTGCATGAACCTGCACGTTGCAAGACGAACAGCAGAGCAGAGGACTGGTTCCATCCTCTCCGATGTGGTAGTTGGTGGGTGGAGGCTCCGTGTTGCTGGCTCCGACGCTGAAGCACATCTCTGGGACCAGAGGACGCGTTCGACGGGGAAGGGAGGCGCGGTGGGTTTCACTGCCTGCAAAACTGTCTTTGTGTGGCTGGAGAGGCCGGAGGAGAGAAGATGATACAGTTAGTGGATTTTATTGATGCTGGTTACTGGTCAGCCTTCACAGGGTTTTATACAGAGCATGAAGGTAAAAATCATTACTTGTATGGCCCACTATACAGGTAACTATACAGTTAAGTGTTGTCCAGACCAAGAACAACAACTATAGTGATAACTATAAATATAATAATGTGAACATCAACACTGAGGAACTTAAATGTTTTGTTCTGGTGCCAAGCACGCGTTGCAGGCTCCAGCACTTAAAATAGTGTAACCAAAACTACTGACTGACCAAAGACTAACCTGTTAAACTGATACAACTACACATTGTGGAACTACTAGTACTATAACTACTATTTCTACTCCACGGACACATGTGTGCGTCTGCTGCAGTGTGCTGTACCTCGGGGTATGGACAGAAGAGGGAGCAGACAGCGCAGTGTGGCTGCAGCGCTGCCACTGCTGCATTGAAAGCCTTCTCTGCCAGGAAGTTGGGTGAGTGATTCTGCCACAGGTGCTCCTGTTTCTTCATGTCGCTGTCCAGCTGCGTTGGGGAGGACGGCTCTGTGGGATGGAAATAAAATGCATTAAAGATGCGCTGCTCCAAAAGAAAAAACAAACACAATCTGAAGAAAGTGACTCACAAAAGAGATGTTGGAGGATTCATTACTGGCGATTTGTTTTTCGTTGAAATGCATGAGAAGCATTTTTGGAAAAGCAACACAATGTTTTTAAAGAGTTAGTCCTTGCCGAGAGACACAAATAGCACATTCGGTTCCAGACAAAACAACACACCACTCCTGATATAATTGGCGGATGAACACAAATGGAACAGGCATCAACAACTTGCTGTTGAGGGTCTGGAATAGATTTTGCAGTGAAGCCTCCTGAAGCTACTGATCCAGACCGTTTGTTAAACCCCGGACAGAAGGCAGGAAGGACTCCTCACAAGCTGGCCCTTAACTCTCTGTTTTCTCCCTCCACCAGCCGTCTCCTTCTTCTCCTGCTCCTTCTCCTCCTTCTCCCCCATCCACCCTTCTGAAGGACATGCCCCTGAGTCGGGTCCCCTGCTGCCGACTTAAAGTGACTTTGAAAGCAGGTAATTGGAAGTCATGATCCCCGGATCAATAAGTGTCAGTCAGGAAAAAGAAAAGAAAAAGACAGAAGGGAGGGGATGGAGAGGAGGCCTTGATTCCATTATCCCCAGAGGGAGCTTAAGTCCCGTTTGTTTTCTTTCTCCAGATCAATTATCAGAAAAAAGGTAACTTCTTCATTTTAAGTACTGTAATGGAAGGGATAATAAGTGGGATCAAAGATATGTGGACTAGAGTGAAAAAAGATGGATAAATAATAGTCAGTGTCCAGGTTCAACTGACATGGTCATGTTTTTGGTAAATGTAAGAGAATAATCTCCGTTGTTAAATATAACAATTTTCATGGGAGTTATTATTCTGTTATAATTAACACATTCTACCTTTTTTATTCCATGTCAAGCAACTGACAGCGTGTCCCTGTATAAAACATCCAGATGTATCAAATCCTAGTCGGTTTGCATCTCAAAAACAGGATCAAAACTGTTCATGAAATGGTTCCAATTTGAAATTAGAATATATTTACAATAACACCTCTATGATTTAGTAAAGGTTCAATGACAAACACAAAGCCACAAACCTTTGTCGCTGGTCGGTTCTTGTTTGATGATGGACAGAGGGGAGCGCATGGGGGGCTTGCTGAGGGGGTGACGTCTGCTCTTTTTTACCTCCGTTGGCATCTTCACCTTGGAGTAGCATGCCTGGAAAATCCCAAGATTGTTTCATATTGTGTTATTTTTACATTTTTTATTTAGTCCTTTTAACATTGTATTATGCAGCAGCAAATACATGTAATGTTTTGGTTTTGTTAGTACAGCTATACATTTGTCTACACTTCAAATTAGTTTCAGACACTTAAAGATCTTCTAGAAATGTAATTGGAGTATTTTTATCAATATGAATAACTGGCTTAATCTACAACTGTGGCAGGAAACCAATTCAAATGTAGACGTTCATGTCTTTTCCTATGTGTGCAGTATCAATTAAAGTGTGCCTCCATGTTTGACACGCAAGTCTAAGTCTAATTACCTGGGGAGCGCTCACTTCTAGCTCTGGATGACTGACCATGTTGTTTTCTGACTTCTTGATGCTGGAGGAGGCAAACTGTGCAAAGGCTTCCTGAAACCCAGTGGTGGGGTCGTTCATATTTGTCAACTTCTTCTGCTTTTTCTGCTTCTTTTTCTCAGTGTCATCTGCCAGGATCTGTGGTTTGGCCTCGGGTTCTTGTTCTGGCAAAGAGACATGTGAAGAAAAAATACTTCAGAAGAGTCGTGATGGCCGTTGTGTCAAACAGAGAACCGGCTGTGTGTAGTTTGGGTGACATAAAAAATAATAAATGTGATACTTTTCCAGACACACAGGGAGGAATCTAATCATAATGGAAGCAGAGATACGCAGAGAAGAGCTGAATACTTTTACAGGCTTTACCTAACATCTATACAGTTTCACAACAGTGACTCTTAGGTTAAAATGTATTATGCCATAGTTGATATCTTTTTTGAGCTGCTAAGTGAATAAGCATTTTAACATAACAGTAAAAATAAAAAAACTTTCAAGATGGTAAAAAAAGTGATAAACAACCGGAGTTTTGATTTTGGAAGGGTTCATCCTCAGTGTTCTCTGAAATCAAGTTATCTATATTTTATCTGCAGAGAGTTAAAGAGAATCTGCAGAAACACCTGAAATTCAAAATAAAGCAACTATGTGGGTTTTGTTTATGTCAATATTAATCTAGCCCCATATTCTGGTAAAAACCTCTCACCTTTCTTTTTTTATTCTGTTAACAAAAACAAACAAACTGCATTTCTTACTGCTAATATCGTCTCACCTTCTATATCTGTATTCTCTGCTGCTCTAGCAGCGGCCTCAGCAGCCTCCTGCTCCTCACGCTCCATTGCCTCCAGCGTCATCATGGCCTCTTTGGCTAGCCGCTCCTCTCGGTCCAGCCTCCTCTGGGCCTCGCGCTCCTCCACCTGACGCTGGTACTCCGCTGCATTCAGCTCAATGCCTTCCTCTGCCAGCACCTTGACATCCTCCAGCTTCAGACGACGAAGTTGCTTCATCTTCTGCATGGCCCTGAGGTGACCAAAAGACCAATAAATGTTTAAATGAATTTGTTGACAGATCTGCTGTTTAAGTGGCCGTGACAGACCTCGCCTGCCTCTATGAAGTTTATCATTTTACCTACATTTATAATTCGCTTTAGATTGAGAAATACTTACTTTCCATCAAACCAGAGATCTCTTACATCTGAAACCCGACTTGGAACATGCTGAACTTGTAAACTATGCTCACACGTCAGACCTAATGTTGGGCAACGCGTAAGTCTCTAAACCAATTGCTAAGAAAGAAGGCGTTGTGGTTTTGACATCTTGAGGACAGTTACGATCGCGGCAAGATAGCTTAAGAACATTGTGTACAGGAAGAGAGTGAACTGTGTTCCTCCATTCCGTTTTCAGCTCCAACACCATCAGAACTTAGTGATAGTAGTTAATACGTTTATTACTTAAAACAATTAAAGAAATGTAGTTTTTCTGTTTTTGATTGAGCAAAAATAAGTTTAATTCCATATATGACATTGTCCAAGTATTCTGCTTTCATATGTATTGTTTTATTAATTTTTGTTCAAATTGAATATCATTTATTTTGTTTAATTTATATTTTACATTTTAAATTGTTCAATAGTAAAAGCTGAACTATGTAACCTCCCTCTTACCTAAAGACAGTAAAAGGGAAACCACCTGATGAAGAGGGAGGAGGGGGGAAGGTGATAAAAGATTATGTGTGAAGAGAAAAGGGGGGCTTTTGGGTTTGTCCTTGTGTCTCATATAAACTTTGTATTTTCTTTTACGATTTGTATCCTGTAATCCTCTATTTTTGTGAAAAACCAATAAAACCGCTTTGTACATTTCCGTTGATATCCGACGGTCGGGCATGCAATGTGTTGGAGGTCCTTTGGTAAGTTATACAACGGCAGCTGGTGTTTTAAGCCACGCTGAGAGTTGCCTCTCTAAACAGACTACGGTGGTCTTGCGTGTAGATTTTGGGGGGTAGGTTCTAAAACCATGTCTGGGGAATTAGAACAGCCGTTCTCCGGTGCCTTATCAGCATCAGAGTTTGGTATCGAAGACAACAGACAGAGTGATATCCTGTTAGATCCTTTGTAAATTTAACATAGAACAAATTAATAAATTGAGCGGAGAGCCAATGTGCTGATTTGTATATTCATATCTGTGTGAAAATGTGTATCAAAACCTCATCATTTGGATAATTTATGCCGTTTGCCCTCTCACCTTCGCAGGATATTTGCTCTGTGGCTGACACGCTGCTCCCTCCAGCGCTCTAGTTCAGGGCAGCTGAGCCCAGTGGCCTTTAGATGGTCCAACACCGTGATGTCTTTGCCCTGCTTCCACAGCTCGTAGCGATCCGGCTGCAGGCAGCGTACAAACACGTCCATGGAGATCTTCACCATGTCTTTACGACAGGTACACTAAAGAAAAAAGCAGAGAAGGAAAAGATGAATGTAGGTTGTAGGTAACACATGAGGAAAACTCCATGTTATCCTATTCACAGTGGTAGGTTTCTGCTGTTTGTCTACATATAGGAGTACAAGAAGATTAGTTATTTTATTTTTGTGTATTTATATTGAGTTTTAGAAATGTTTTAGAGAAACTATGATAAGATTCATATGAATAACACGTTTGTAATGAACTTCCCCAAGAATGTGTCTATTATTTTAAATGTGGAGTGAGAGAAGCACTGTATGTGTGAAAAAGTGAATAGAGCCAGTCAGATTGTTAGCTAATCCAAGCCTAGCCCAATTTCTGCTGTCAGTACAGATTATAATCTTTGTTAAAGGTGTTTTTTCACAAATGTGCAATAGAAGCAACAACTTGCTGTTGGTTTGTAGTGATCTATTTGGTCAAATTTAGAGCATTAAAGTGACATAGGGCAATTTATGTTGAAAGATATCAACTGCACTGAAAAGGTTTGGATGATACAGCACCTTAATCTACATCTCTGAGGCAATAAGTGAAAGGGCGAGAGGCCAATAATTGGTGTCTCGTGGGCTTGTATATTGCATCAAGCTAAAATATGGTAGTGATTAAAAGATGGCAGGTAATAAGACTTTGTTAGATATGGAAGTGTATAGATGGTAAATGTGCAGATAGTTCAGAGGTAAGCGATAGCTGCATCTCATAACCGCTCACACCTCAAGGTGCCTCCACACACCTTCAAATGACGGGTCAATGAATCATTGTGCTGACTAGAGAGGGAAGGAGCTGTAACATGAAACCACAGCGCTGGATATAGTGGCAGGTACAGCAGAAAGTTTGGGAATGAAGGGAACAAAAACAGGGAGATGAAACAAACAACGAATATTTTCTTTTTTGCCTCGCTTGCTCTATTACATTCTGGCCCTATTATTGCAGGAGCTGCACTGAGAGCCTTATGTTCAATTACTGGAAACACAGCGACTCACCCTCCACAGCAAAACAATATCCTGCCTACATCTCATCTAGACATCACTTGACAGACGGAAACATTAAGATATGGTGTTGGGGTGGAGGGTGTTGGAGCAGAGAAAGGGAGGGCAGAGGGTGAGCAGCATAGATACAGCTGATTGTTATCGTCATGAAACCTTTAGCGGAAACAGCTACATGCCAGGAAACTATAAACGAAAAACAAGACATGGCTATTACACTGATTGTACCAGGCAAAATGTGCCATTTTCATTTATAAAAAGATATAAAAGGCTAATTTTATTTTTATGAAACTATTAAACGATGTTATGGAGACTGTTGCAATCCTCAAGGGCCAGGACGAGTCACACTTTATTATCATATAAAATCTTAATTAGGGGAGGAAAACAGAATTGGAGATGCATAAGATCTGGGAAAACAAAAACTCGCCCCGAGGCAGGCAGTCAATGAGCCCTGAAGTATACTTGGGCTCCTAATGAAGCTAAATTGTTGGAGCCATAGAAAACCTCGAGCCTGGGGAATCTCTATGGATCAGTGGACACATTGATGTGCCAAGTACTAATAACAACACAAGATTTTAGTCTGACCTGACTGACCCAAACCACAGTGGCTGAGAACATTTGATTATCCCAAATTCTTCATGCTTGCTTTAATCACACAATGGCTGATTAGGACAACAATAACCAGAAAGATGATCTTAAGAATGTAAATACATAAAAACCTGTCTGTCTTTCAAGTTTTTAGACAACCCTTTATGGCAGGTGCATTGACGAGGAGGTTTTCTGTTGTAAATGTCAGCAATATTTCTACTGCGATGAAACAATGCCCACTAATCTCACTTGTGGCAAGAACACTCTCACAAGATGGCTGCCCTCTAATGGCAGCGCATGGTAGAATGGTTATCATTGGGGATGTGGTGGGGAATTTACAACAGTTGTTAAATAATTTGTGTTAAACTAAAGTGGCATTTCGACATCTTTTCATGGTTAGTTTGTTGGGAAAAATATTTAACATTTGAGGATTTTTCTGTGGATACAACTTGCCCTTGGCTCTATGTAGTGTTATCTACTTAATCTACATTAAGCCTACCACATAACTTGCATTTTGTTAGGGTGCACATAAGGTAAGGTTCAATAGAAATTCAGTATGTCCAATTATAGCAAGTCTTGGTTCGCTAAAATAAGACAAGTCTGCAAACCAATATAAAATAAGACGGAGTGAGTCCTCTTCAATTCACTATCAAGATGAAAAAGTGATGTGATTTAGTCTTGGAACTGGGAGGATGATTTCTGCTCCTCTCTCCGACAGCCGGGGGGGAACGGCAGCAAAGTGTGACTGAGCACCAAACGAATGGAGAGCGGCTTTCATTGAGAGTACTGCAGACCCGGAACACAGAAGCTGGTTACATTCAGCAACATAATGGTGCAGCAGACATAACTATTTTCAGGACAAATCTGCTAGCTTCTTTTTGCTATCTTCAGTGTGTTCAGGCGAAGCTATTTTCTAACAAACTTGCCAGGAAACTGAAAGTACAGCATGCAACTCATCCTGGCTATTATTGCAGTGGCTTCCTTCTTGATATGTGTTATTTCCTGTTTATGCCTCACAAACTAGTTTAACCGTTTACCTGACAAGTATTAGAAGCACTGGATGACACTTAAAGAGTTGATCAAAGTAGGATGAACTCCTGAGTGTTTGTCAAAACTAAACAAGGGATTTATCTCCCAGGTATCTTTTGTGAATGTGACGTTACACAGATAGACATTGTAATGATGCTTGGTACATTATGTTATGATTGGGTATAACCTGAGTCAATTGAAGTAACCATGTCCGTTTGAAGCAATCTCAGTGAGAAATTGAACCCCTGAATTACTTCGAAAAGAAAATGAAACGGCTACTACCTAATGCATATTCAGGAAGGTTGGAGAGAAGGTTAATCGAGATTGTGATGTCTGAAATAATAGAAGTATAAGTCGGTGCACACACAGCACGCAAGGACTGCTGACAGTATGCCTGCTTTGACCGCAGGTGTGTGTTCGCTTGGTAAGTCAGACAGATGGGTCAGCAGTTGGGTAGCTTGTATTTAAGAAGACTGAGACATGAAACATGCCCAAGCTCACTCTCTTCTTTTCTGTGCCGTGTGCTGGCAGCCCCCAGACAGTGACAAATTTGATCCAGAGCCCCATCGTTCAATGTCCTGTTTGGTGCTGACAGTGAGGGCAAGAGAGGGAGGGAGACAGCCAAACCAGTTAACAGATGACTGTTGGAGCTTTAGACAGTTAAGAAGAATAAGAGAGAATGAGTGACTTCATTGTTGCCAAGCGAGTGGCGGGCACAGGCAAGCTGTACTCAAATTAGATCGGTGGAAATGACTGCCTACTAGCTCACTGAAAACGCAGTGCAATGTTTTTAAGTCTCTGCATACGAGAGCATTATTAAAAGTTAACCTGTAATATTTTTGCTATTTAGAAGTAGAGTCAAGTTTAAATTACAGCATTATGGAAAATGCTAAAACACGTAGGAACAAGCTACTGCTTGCAAAACACCAAGTATTTGGAACTGACAAAGGAGGTGTTTTATTTCTTTAAAAATCATCCTTTCCTGTGGGATGAAAGGTAGGTGTTTTTTCTTCTTTCAAACGGTACATCGCTAAATTCAGTCCCCACAGCATTTGTACAGTATGTCCCAGATAAACACATTGAGTCCCATTCAGGATCACTCACTCATGAATCATTCAGAGTAAGATAGTAGGCTCAACGCCTCTTCACTGGGTTTGTCAAAAATGGCATATGATCTGTGAGATATCAGGCTTAATCTTAATGTGTTCATCCTACTGAAAAGGTTGTCCCTTAAAGACTATAGTTGCTGTGAGTTGCTGAAATGGCCAATGTTTCTGCTTTTAGCTAACCAGCACTTACAGGGGAGCACAAATAGCCATAAAAGTGATATTGTTTGTTATTATCAGTTTTCATGTATGTATGTGTTTTCAGTAAATATCCCACAGGTCATATGCCCTCATTGACAGACGACACACCCAGTGAGCAGACATTGAGCTCACTTTCTTCCCGAGAACGATTCATGAGGGAGGGAGCCTGAATGTGTTCAAGGTCTCGAGGACGTACAGTACAAATGCTGTTGGGACTGAATTTAAGAAGCACTGGTTACGGGAGAATCTCTGTGAACCATTATGCTACAACACCGCCCCGAGAGAGTGAAACATGTCTGAAAGGAGGACGAAGAAAAAAAAGGTGGACTGGCAGAAAGAGCCTGTCTCGAGTCGAGCTGTTCTCTTTCATATTCCTCTGAGTGTGTGTGTGGTGCTGCGCTGTCGATTCGTCGACTCGGATTAGCAGTGCAGAGTGGACCACTCTTCTTTATCACACTGAGACAAGTGTGGTAGGGATGCTCCCTTGAGCACTGTGCTGGGTGAAGGGAAGACTGCTGGAGCCTGGGCTGCTGCTTCTTAAATTACAAGTGGCCACAAGAAGGAAGGCCGAAAATGAGAAATAGGGAGAAGGGTGCGAGATGTAGTTCTGTAAAAACTGGCACCTCATAAATCTGACAAGCAGCCAAGTAGAGAGAAAGGAGGGATAAGGGGCACATGTATGTGAACACTCACAATCTAGGAAAGAAAGGGGGAACTGAACGGGAAAATGAAGAGGGATGTATGGAAAGGAGACATGGAGGGGAGGTCCTTCCAGAGGACATTGTAGTTGGGCTCCCGTCCTCAACCAACTCATGCCCTGTCAATTTCATGCTCAGCAGCCCACAGGCAAAGAGGCAGCCTGCGTAAGTGGAAGGATGCGAGGGTACGGTTAGTGTCGGTAACAGATGGTGTGAGGCAGAGAACCAGACGCTGCTTTTATATTTTGATATGATCTAATACATTTTTCCTTCAGAGAACCAAACAGCCAAAGCAAAACGTTTCTGCTGAATCACACGTCGGATCAAACCTCTTCAATTGTATCGTCTACATTTGCCTGCAGGATGTCTGTTTGATGAAAGGTTCCATATGTGTCGTTTCACTTGAAGATTTAAAATACCTGAAAATGTATAACTTTCCATAATCTCTGAAGAGCTCAATTTAACACAGCAAAACACAGTCTTTTCTCCTTCACAGTAACACTGACCTCAGGTTATTGCTACTGTAAACAATATATGTTAGCCAGTCTTCACTCACCTGGGTAGCCATTTTGCCGTAATCCACCCAGCGGAGGGTGGCAAAGTTTGTAGACTCTGCGCAGTTGAAGCCGTGGTTAAAGCCAGCATGGTAGCCATAAGGAAAGGTGACCATAAACTCCCCTTCATTCTGAGTCATCTGTTTGGTAAGAGAGAAAAAACAGTATACCTTTACACATCTTAATACATGTTACAATTGTCACATATTATATTATATTATATTATATTATATATATATATATATATATATATATATATATATATATATATATATATATATATATATATATATATATATATATATAATATTGTCATATATTTATTGGAAATTCTCTTTTAATGTGTAGAGGTGTTCCTAAGTGGCAAAGATAATGTACACAAATGTAAACACACAATACATCTTGAAAAATGTTTTTGTTCAAGATGAACATGTTATTTTAAAGAAATTGTAATCATAAGTAATATTTTTTTGTATGAGAGTGCCGAAATGATCAGTTATACATGCAATTATTTTAGCTTCATCTTATTCACGGTTTGTTTTTGACTTAAAAATGTATTACTTGGAAATCTGCTAATTCAAGTATTCCCTGGCTCACTTCTAAAATATATGCTGTTACTACTCATTAGTCACACTTCCCCTACAACCGCCATTCAGGTTTTGGAAGTTCAACTCCTCTGAAATAACTTTTCTCTAAACTTTTCTGACTTGCGAGCAGAATTAATTCAGCCTTACATGATTGCTGCTCCAAGGGTTGAGTGTCTTCCCATGAGCTCAGTGTTATTCTGAGAATGTGACGACAAGTTAAGCACATTCCTTTTTAATGTGTTGCCCCAAAACATAAGCCCTATATGTCTCGCTCTGAATCACAACTTCTTTGTGAAGCCTGGATCCAGGCATTCAAGAGACACATCAAGCCAGGCAAGGTGACAGCCATGAGAGGAGAAACGGGGGGAGAGGCTGAGAGTGGGAGACGAACTTCCTCTACTAAAGGCAGTGGTTCAGATATCAAACATATCTTTTGCTCTCTCAAAAAAAGCAAGAAGATGGTTTTATTTTTACACATTAATCGAGGTAGGTACTGTAGGTGTGTAACGAGTAACATGTTCACTGTGATAATGATGTCTTGAGGGGGGGAAAGAAGATATAAATGGGGTGTGGGGGGGCCCTCCTCTGACAAGAAAGAACTTTGTATTCCTGCTATGTGCCAGTCTTTTTTCTGCAATCTTTCATTAACTTCAGCACTGTGAAGATTTATACGAAAGAAAAAACTAAAATAATGCCAATCAATTTGCTTTGACAGACACAAGTCATTACTCAGTGTATCATTAGTGCAGTAGCTGTTGTTTGCGGTAAAGCTCAGCCACTAACCTCACTAATGTTGTCATGAGTCATTCAAAAACAAGCTCACCTCCTTTTACGCAAGACCCTCACATTTTATTTCTGTTTAGAGACCAATCAGTAAGTCAGGTGAACTGGTAGAAAGAGCCTTTCTCTTGTTCCAGTAATAAGTTATACCCAACTTAATTTCCTCAACATTACATATTTCAAGCTTGTTGATTGTTTGATTTCAATGTTTTTGAAACACCCGTATGCAACTGAGTATATGTGTGTGCAGCTGTGAAAATGATTAAGAGTGAATGGGTTCATTCAGTTGGGAAATACTTATATTACATCCTATGTATTGTTAACATGAGGATTCCAAGTAAATGTTGTTAGCAATGATATATTAAATTCACTTGACATAGATATATTATAGTCCACCTAGGTCTAGGGGATGTGAATGGCTTTTTCTTCATTGGAGTGTTTAGCTAGACACTTGAGTTATCTGTGGAGAGGGTGGGAAGAACATTGCATTACGCTGGTTTTTCAGTTGAATTATACTTAAAGTTCAAGGTAATCAACTATTAAAAACATACTGTTCAAATTGTTTTTCTCCAATAAATTGATGTTTTCAAAGTAAATGGATAATAGTTTTTAATAATCGTGATATCAATTATTGACCCAAATAATCGAGATTATGATTTTTGCCATAATCGAGCAGCCCTAGTGTCAACCCATATAAAATAAAGGTGTGCAAGGGCCTTTTCTTCATTATGACATGTCATTCAACCAATACTGGCTGAGGTAAGGATATACAGTAGAAGCTTCCAACAATTACAGATATTATGTCAGAACAAAGGTAACCTATCTTCTCATGGTGACGTAATAAAATGGACGAGTGGTCACTCACCCTGTCGAAGGGAATGCCGTATTTCTTTAGGATGGAGGGAGAAATCAGAGTCATCTTGTGGCGAAGGAAGGCGTCGCAGCCTTGGGAGCTTCCAGGGAAGAAGCCTGCATGGGGTGACGGCAAACACAAGATATTAAAGATAGTAAGTTCATACATGTGAAGTTTTCAAATATCAGAAGCTGTGATGCCCCTGTGGGGTCATCTGGAGAGGGTGTGGCTGTGCTGCATCCAGCCTCCTTGATTGCCTTGATTGCAGTAACTCAGGGCACCTGGGTCTGGCGCCCTGCAGCTATTTAAAGCCTCTGTTCCTCTCTGCTTTCTCCTACAGGCACCCGGTTCGGTTGAGTATGTTATTAGTTATTTCAGTCGTTTTACTTTGTGCACCTCAACACCCTCACACATACATATTCATGCAATCCTCACCCTGCAGTTACATTACTGATACCACTGACGTTCACACCTCATGCTTTACTTGTTTTGCACTTGATTCATTTGGCTCATTTGAATCACTTGCTTTAATAAACATATTTTTCTAACCGTTGATATGGTGCGTCTCCTCTTTGTTGTGGCCTTTTGAGCCAGGTCATAACAAATGGGGGCTCGTCCTACGGGTTATTTGTAGAAAGTTTGGTTAAAAGTTTGTGTAGCGCTCAGAGCACATGGTGTCATTGAGCAGCTGATTAGTTGATGTGGTCCAGCTGTGTGCTGGCTTGGCGCTGCTATTGGGGGACACATCATGTCTTTTGTGTTTCAGGAAGCTTTAGTGTTTGACATGGCGGCAGGTTTTGTGTGCCAATCAGAAGGTAAGATGTTGCTGTTTGAAACGCTTTTGTAAAGGGATTTCCCCGCTAGGCTTAAGTGGCGTTTCCCCTTGAACCAATGCAGCATTTGGTCCTGATAGTCTTTGATTATCATAATAATTCCAGAGGCCTTGGTGTTGTGATCCCAGCTCTGTGGTCGCTGCCTGTCTACTGGCAGAGGTGAACTTTTAAATGACAATTAACACAGCAGTAGGATTTGTAAAAAGTCTCGCAGCAATTACACACTGCGTGCATTATCACATGGTGACAATCAGACTTGTATGCTACCTTTTATTATTTCTATTATATATATATATATATATAAATACATATATATATAAATACATATATATATATATAAATACATATATATATATATATATATATATATATATATATATATATATAAATACAGGTTTTTGACCTTTTTTTAAATACATTTAGATTTGTAATGTTCCTAATGCCTCTAATGTAAGATGTTGGGAAACTGTTTAGTGTTAGTATGCTGCTTTAAGAAAGTTTGATGGCAGCTTTGGAGGATGGATTAACTGGCAGGTTAATATTTACAGCATGCCAGACAAGTGCTGCTAATTAAAATGCGGTTCTGCAGAAGAAATTAAGCTGTTCACAAAATTATTGGTAATCCTACAACCTGGGAAAGGATATCCGGTTACCCATTGACATGTGTGTAATTTAAATGATTTCCAAAATGATATTGTGGAATAATCCCATTACTGCATTATGTCAATGCATTGTTCGTATGCCTCTAGGATGGATGTCTGGGGACCTCTGCAGGATCTCATCGTGGCAAAATGAAAGACTACTGAAAAAACTAGGACTGGGTGCTGTCACTTCCAAAAGTTGTTATGCTGTTCAGCAGGACCCAAGAAAAAAAACTTTGCCTGAAGAAGATTTACTTAGCATTGGTGGACTATTAAGTGCATAGATATTGCTCTATTCATTTTAAGAAGCAGCAGAACTAACAAGATTTAAAGACAGAGGCTACCAATTGTCTAAACCATGGTCTCATTTGTTTACTGTTTATAATTAATCCCAACAATATAATGAGGTTTCAAACTGCAGTGCGGTTTTTCTCAATGCGTATGTCCCCAAGGTCACTCATAAATAAACATCTGCATCTTTACAAAACCATTTAAAATTGTATCATGGACGACTGTTACTACTACTACACATGTATAAGCAAAAGCACACTTTGCAATGTAACCATTAGTGTTACCAAACAAGCAACCATTTCCTTAATATACCCCTCTAACATTTGGGGGTTTCAAAGCCCAAACTGTCTCTCTAAAACAAAGGCTTACTTTTGCTCTTGGGGACGGAGAGACTCAGAATGCCTCAGCATAATCAAAAGAAAGAATTTCTCCTCCATCGGCCATCGCTCACGCTCCCTCTCTCTACCGGCTGTACCCGCCAGTGCCTCAAAGGGGGGGTCCAACCAAGCCTCCACCCAGTTAAACTTTAATGCGACTGACAGTATAATTGGCACCCATTTCATCCTTCATTTTCACTGCATTGTTTCAGCTTCTGTTCCACCCTACAAAGGGAGAGGGGGCCTCTATTCTCTCCTCGCCTGCCTGCTTGTTGGAGCTGATAAAAGGTGAATAATGTGCCGACAGAGCCCGGGTATTAATCCCCATTAAAATGCAGCTGGCTCTCTGAGCTCTCCATGGGGTAATATTAACTTAAAGGCTTCATCCTGTCCTTTTGAGTTTGAAAATTAAGTTCCTGCCTCCAACCCTTCACTCTTCCCTCCCACCACCTACACCACCACCCAAAAAGTCTGACTGAAATAATGCGGAGATGAGGAGCAATAAGAGTGGCGGCTGTCGCTGTGTCAAATGTTTGGAGAGGACTTTTCAAGTAACATGACCATTGTCCCGGCCCCATTAGGCATTCTCTGCTCATAACTGCCTTTTTAGAACCTCGTAAACAGTTGGCTACCTGTGCTGTCGATGGCTTTGATAGGTCAGTGGATGCTTGTTAAATACCCTTGGCATTGCTTTCCTCCCACTGCCAGCTGCTGAGATGAGAGGAGAGGAAGGCTGCAATGTGACTGTGACTGAGAGCTCAATGCTCACATGAAGACATGTCTACGGAGTGTATTTTAAGGATGGGGTTTCAATATCTAGATATTCAGGATTGAATTTATAAAATCTGAACCTTTTTTTAATCTCATCAAATATTTGGAGGTTTGGGAGTCAACAAAATGATGAAATAACCATGTGTATAACGGAAAACTTTAACGTTACTTGAATTTCATCTTAAATCTTGCACTTAAGATACTGAGGAAACATTAGCTTCACTGATTCAAGCAACGTGTTAAGATTACCAGATAAATAACTATTTGGTTAATAAACTTACAATAATACAATATGATTGTCTCAATTAGCTCATTCTTTTCCTATGACTGTGAAGTTGTCAGTATAATGGGCCTCTCTCATAGCAGACATTTGACTAGCCACCACAGGAAATAACAGGTTAAAGAAGTAACACTAAATGTGATCCCATCTAGGTGGATTAGTAAATACAAAGGGTCAAAGGTAGTGGAAAGGAAAGAACCAAATAAAAAGAATGAGGCTAATGGCTCTTGGTGCTGGCCAGGCAAAAGGTTGGTGCCAGAGTTCAAACTATTTACAGTTCCTAGAGCAGGTGCTTCTGCAATCTGGCTCAGTCTCTGAACTGACCCTGGAACTGCCTCTGTGGAGGTGGTGGTGTGAGTAGAGGGTTAGGGCGAAAGGAAATGGGGCTCTCTCACTGTTGATGGTCAGGATTTAGCAACACAGATGTTTTATCGAGTTACACTTGTGATTTCCCTGCTATGACAGTAAGTGTATTTATATAGTTCAACCCACAGTCTTTGATGACTGTGATTTAGTTATATTATTAATTATCTTATATTTATATATATATCACTGTAAATGATGCATTTAATATTACCTTTAATATTACCTGTACACTTTTTATTCCTTTTCAGATATTGCTTGTCCATCACAAGTCACATATTGTGCACATTTTCCAGACACTCCAGTAAAGAACAAGAATTGTGAGTGACAGGAGCTATGCATTTGTGATTATTGATTTTTTTTTCTCAGCTCTTCACAACAAGGACAAAAGGTTGGTCTATTAAATGTAGTTTGGATGGGGGCGACTCTCCGTCATCATCCTCACATCTTATACCTCACTCTGAGCAACTTGCCTTACACAAGTTAATCCTCATTGATCAAAGCAGGGGATAGGAGGAGAGGAGAACATGAGACTGGTGGGAATAAAAGGGAGCGGCGCAAGGACAACTCTTACGTCCAGGAGAGAGGTGCAGGGGGTTGGAGATTATTTATTTTTAAGCATTATTCATCTGTGTCACGCAAGATTCTCAGGATTCAGAACCAAAGAACATTCAGCAAAAATGTTTTGTTAACATAGGAAGAAAACATAGCAGTAGCAAAAGCCAATGACATGAACAATAATCCACCCATGCACCGTCCCAACTGAGTGGACTTTGTGAGGGATTTGTAGGTTTCCTCCAACTCATTTTGCAGATTAAACCTTCGATGCTGCTGGCTTCAGTTCCACCAGCCTCTCCTTCACATTCAGCATCTCCTGATATTTTTAGTACAAGTGACTGCACCCACTAAGTGCTTCAAGCTGCTCATCCTTCTCAGGCTCCATTTTAGCACAGCCAGGTGACAAGGAAATCAATGTCTGTGTATGTGGGGAGACATCAAGAGTGTCTCACCCCCTTCATACATGCAAATGAAAATCCAATGTGTGGCCCACAGCGTGTAGCACAGTGTTCACTGCGAGGACAGGCGTTTCAGCAAGACAAGAAACTGCCAAAAGGTTGTTTATTGAGAGTGATAAAGGGTTCTTAAAAGTGTTATGAATGCTCTGCTTAAAAGGAGTGAGACTTTCTATTCTCCTGTGAGGGAGAACCAGTAAGTGTGCTTTGGGTGTGTGCTGGCATGTGTACTGTGCATGTTAGTTCGAAGAATGTGTTTGGTCTGAAGCGCTTCACTTACAAAGCAAAAGCAGGCTGTGAGAAGAGTAAAATAAAAAACAAAACAAATGGAAATCATCATTTGAAAGCATCATACGGGTCTTACCTTGTGCTAACCTCTCCAGTCGCTTGCCGTGCTCAGGGGGGACGGCATACCTGCAGAGAAAAGGATACAAATGTCATTAGTTTAGCGTAATATTGGTATATTATTAAGAAAAGCTGTGTTTTTACCAGAAGGACACAATTTTGTCTTAAAAAAGTTGTTTTTGTACCCAATTTCTTTGAGATGCTGGGTCCCATTTCCCAAATCTTTCCCTTGCTTCAATATTCTTATCAACGAAACTACAAAACAATTATGATGTCATATAACCATTATTTTCTTCTATCCTCTGATGGTACTGAATAAAGTAAAAGCCACACAAAGCAATATTAATGGTCTTTTCATACATTTGTGTTCAAACTAAGAGTGTGTTTGGCTACCTAGCTGCAGCTAACTGTACGTACAGTTGCTTTGGTAAGTAACAATCACAAAATGCTACCTTAGATAACAGCATTGTGAAGATCATTTATTTTTAAAGTTATGATTTCAAGGGGAAAAGGACAGAGTGAAGAAAAAGATGAAATGGCTGGTGAAGGGCAGGACCAGGAGGGATTACTGTTTTGGGAGTGCTGGGTTATTTCACTGCCCTCAGCACTCACTTTAAGAAATTAAATCACCCATGACGTACACCTCACCAGCTTCCTTTATCTTCTCTTTTAAACATACATAGATCATGAAAACCACACAATATTATCAGTGGATGGTAGATATAGTTTGATATTATGTTGCTTTGATCTTTTGTTGTTTCTGCTTCGTTTTAAAACTGTGTAAATTAGCCATTAAGACTTTATTATCATGTTTAACGTTTTTCTTACTCTGCTTCTGTTTTATTAGTGTACACATACAGCAGCCCTGTGGCACTAGTTCTGAGTTGCTCCACAGGCAAAGTACTAACAAATGATCACAGTCTTTGTTAAAACGTGCAGCAAGAACTGTAAAATATGTACCATGACATCAAATATCGGATGCTACATGCAGAAAGCTAATTTATTTGTAAAAACAGAGTGGGAGGGAGACAGCAAAGCTCTAATCTGATCCGTTCATTTGTGAAGTTATTACCATAACGGTCTTTATTACTGCAATTATTTCCTCTGGGTTGCTTAAGCCTCCAGAGATCTCATGCAATGAACTATGGGTGGGGAAAAAAAGCCCCCATTTCTCCCTCCTTACTCAAGCCTCAACAACCACATGGATGTTCGAACAAAGGAAGGAAGAGAAGGAGAAAAAAGAAAGAACAAAGATGGAGAGATAATGAGAAGCAACAACACTTAAGGGGAGACATAAAAAGAATAAGCAGTAGCATAAGACGGAGTGAGAGAGAGACAGAGAGAGAGAGACAGAGAGAGAGAGAGAGAGAGAGAGAGAGAGAGAGAGAGAGAGACAGAGAGAGAGAAATAATAAACACAAGAAAGTAGCAGACAAAGTCAAATTCAGTCAGAGGTGCCGAGACACGGAGCCACACTGCCATCTGTAGACCAAAGCTGAGAATTCAGAGCGGAGCAGCCTTCTCCAATATCTATTATTTAAGCCTGGATTTACAAAAGTGCCTCACATCAGAGGCTCGATACCAAAGGCCTTCATGCTATTTGGGAATAACATTCAACAAGAAACCAATTTATTAAAAAGCAGAACATTATTTAAGAGTTGCCTTATTTAGTGATCAAATGCAGTAAACTATCCTCCGTTTCTTTGTGCTGGTTTCAAGATCATAACATTCTCTACATGAAAACATATTTAGTTAAAGGCTGGGTAAAATTGGCTAAGATATAAACAACAAAAGGCATAAATAGTAATGTTATCTAAATGTCAACTGTCTCTCTCTAAAGTCTTTGTATTTTCTTTGCTTTAAATTATTTTTTTTTAACGTTATACCTTCAGTCATTTTCTAGTAGTTAACTAGATCAGGCGCACTAACGCACTGAGCCACAGCCTCCCTATCCACTGCATTTACTTATGTTTTGAAAATGAAATTAATATTGATCTTCTTATCTTACTCATGGACAGTAAATGAGTACATACTCCTAAAATCAGAGTTATAAACTTTAACGTTTTTTTTCTCCTTAGGGAGCATTACATTGCAGAGCTTTCTATGTAACACTTAATCTATTTCCAATTAGGGAACAGGTCAGGCGATCCCTTCCATCCCAGTTTCAAACTAAACAAATCAGCCGATCTGCGTGCCTCCTCCTGCTCCCTCCCTCCTAAGGACCCGGTTGCCATGGTAGCAACACGTCCGTCTCTACGGCAGCAGGGAGACAAACCCACTAATAAAACAACGAACAGCAATGGAGGCTTGAACTTTTCCACCTATCTGAGGTAGAAGATAATTGATCTTCCTCTATCTGTGGCGCAGCAGTGTGGCTGGCAGACTGCATGTGTTAGTATGTTTGACGACTTGACAGACATGATATAAATATGTGCAATATTCTCAAATAGTTTCTAGCTCAAGTGTCTCAATGATGTGTCTCTTATTATTTGCTCCACTAAAATGTTGACAAGCATGTTTTTTGTTTAACATTATTAGAAAACGATATGCATCCCAGTAAGTCACAGCTGTCTTTACATCTGATCAAACATGTGAGGGGGTTTGTTTAATGCTTTGCATGAAAGACAGCACACTGCAATCATCTGATGAAGCAGAAGCTGGGAAGAAAAATAACTAGAAGGTTATTATTTATTTAAGTGTGGCCGAATTATACCAGGATTGGATGTTTGCAAAATAAGGTAACAGAAGAACAGGGACACCTCCAGTTATTTCCACTGAGTGTTCAGACTCAGATTTCCGTAACTATGTGTGTGTGTAAATATCTATATGTTACACACCACCCATGCCTGTGCATCAAGAGGGCACATTCTGACCTGAGGAGGCTCCTGGCAGCAAATCTCATGCCCCCTCAAAGTTTTCTTAAAATGTACAACAACATTGAACCCGCAGTTACAACCCAAATAACACTACATGCAGATCTGCAGCTCTCCATCTCCCTCTAGGAGTAAAAACTGTCAAACCACCGTGGTTCAGAACTTCAGGTCTACCGAGGAGGTTGAGGACTGATGGATTCATAATAAACTCCTGCCTTCCCGTGAACTGGCAGCTTGGGTACACTTCAAAATATCTTTCATTTCTTTTTCGTCAGCCTTTCCCTACCTTCCCTTCACGTGCTCCGAGGCAAATCTTTTATCTGACAGCAGAGCTGCCGGTGTGTGTTGGGGTAGAGGGGTGATTTAGAGGGTTTCAGCAGTGAAAATAAAGAGGAAAAGAATGATGGAAGGATAAAGACAGGAAGAAAGTGATATACTGCTAAGGCTGACATCTTTTACACGCCTACCAGTGTGTGTATGCATGTAGCAGTAGTCGTTATGGTGGGGTCTGACTTTGATGGGAGCCGAGTTGCAGGGGGAATGGACTTAATTTCACAAACGGCTGCACTATGAGAGCAGAGAGTGTGTGTGTGTGTGTGTGTGTGTGTGTGTGTGTGTGTGTGTGTGTGTGTGTGTGTGTGTGTGTGTGTGTGTGTGTGTGTGTGTGTGTGTGTGTGTGTGTGTGTGTGTGTGTGTGTGTGTGTGTTTTAAGGGGGCATGCTCTGTTTAACAGCCTGTAATTACCCCACTACACACAAGTGTAAAAGTGAAAATGATTCAATTTCAGTAAATTGAGGCTGGGAAGGCTTGGCTAGCACTGAGGGAGAGAGACGGAGAGAGAACAAAACCAGGCGAGAATTCAAAGAAAGGGAAGGGAAAATCACAGAAATTGCCAAAATAAAGGAAGAAAGTTCCAAAGCAAACAGTCAATATGCATAATGTTGACTAATGCAAACTGCAGACTCGTGATTGGGCAGATGTAACCTTCAAAAGCTATGCAGTCAGTGTGACATTTACACAAATAATGTATCCCAATAGTTTCAAAAATAAATGAATATAGATATTTTCATGTTACTAAACACTACTTGGTTTGATTTATTTTTCGTTTGCTTCATAAAGGTTATAGCACACTTTGTCATAGGGCTGTGCAATTAATCGTATTTTAATCGCAATTACGATTTTGGCCTGCCACAATTACGAAAACAACATAATCGAAAAAAACGATTATTTTGCTTTGCTAGGTTGTGACAGTGCACTGAAACATATTTGATCAAATGTATTTGTATTTATCATATTTATATATGTTTAGTAGCTTGTTGAAGTGCGATCCAAAATATTTGTTGATCTTGTTTATTGGTATTTATTATTTTGATATTATTTATTTAAATGTAGATATAAATGTATCATTTATTTTTGTATTGGTTTTTCAGTTGAATTATACGCTCAGGGAAATCAACAGTTAAAAAGATACTGTTCAAATTATTATTTGTATTTAAAAGTTCAATAAATGGATGTTTTCAAAGTCATGAATAATCGTATTTAATAATCGTGATATCAATTATTGACCAAAATAATCGTGATTATGATTTTTGCCATAATCGCACAGCCCTACTTTGTCATGCCGTTCTGTGAAAAGAGGAGAGGCGTCTGAATTAAGTATTAGATTTAATTTATTTGGATTTTTATCAAGCGACTGTCTACAAAGGAAAAATTGGAAATCTGCAGTAGACAAGTCTGCAGGAGAGTCTTAAGCCTGTAATACAGAACTTTTGTCTCCCCTCTCTGGCACTGAGAATAATGACACTGACACAGTTTCCTATAAGGTGTGCCTGCAGGTGAGCTCACTGTATCCCTCATCTCCCTCCAGGAGCGCTCTCTTTCAAGTCCTCCCATGCAAATGAAGGGAAAGAAAAGGGCAAACAATGGTTGTTTGCTTTCCTGTTTTTACTTTATTCCTTCCTCTGAAATTAGTGTTTTATTTTTTCATCTAGATCTTCCACTTCAGAAACTGTTTTGGACGCTTCTTATGATTTCCTCTATAGCTTTTGTCATACACCCAGCAGCTGTGATGTGGCTGTGGACTCGCACACGGAGTACACACACATACAACCACACATTTACAGTGAGATGGGAAAAGACAGATTTTAATGAGGTGGCATCACAGAGAGGTAGAGCTGCAGGAGGCAGAGAGGAGATGGAGAAAGTTGGAGGGGACACATACTGTGACGAAAAGGAAGACAGGTGAGAGAGCATACTGAGAAACAAACACACACACACAAACACGCAGGTAATACTGAATTTCTGAAATCTCCAAGGCTCGGTTGGCTCTGCTCACCTGCAGTGCCATGGATGGAAACAATATGGCGGTAAATAATGGAAAATAAATCAAGGGGCAGAAAAGGAAAGAAAATATTTTTTCTGGAGGTACCAAGGACCTTCAGAGGTGAGTGACAGAAGCAGAAAGAAACATAGTAATGATGCACAGGATTGAAAGCAAGCGAGCGAAATAGCTCAGAGCTATACCCATACCCTGGTCGATACAGATGTTTTTTTCTTTCTGTGTATTCGTGTGTTGAGTTTACAATGAAACCTGAAATTTCACAACGCCTGTGAAAATCGGGTCAAGATATAATGGTTTTCTTTCGTGCAACATTTCTCAGACGTTGAGAATAAATTGCAATTCTTAAAAAACAGGGAACCAATCATAATGAAAGTGGAAACTTTCCAAAACAATTCCTAAACATAACAGCTGGAAATAGTAGAAGAAGAGTAGAATTGTTTGTACAAATATCTTAAAAGGTCAAACCCGATTTAAAAGCAGAAGAATGTCAAGTTCGATCAGGAGTGTGAGCACTTCACGGTAGCACAAATAAACAACAATATAGTCCACAGCAGAGATTTAGTAGTATGTGAAGCGTGATGTTGCTAGAAAACAAGAATTCAAGAACACTGTAGATTCAGTTGTGAGGACTTTGTGATGTTTACTTTCCAAAAGAAACATCCCAACCTGTACTGACTGGACTGATTCCCTGAGACAAACGCGTTGAGGATGTACACTACGGAGAATGTGAAACAGCAGGGAAGGTGACAGAGGAAAAACCTGGGCTGCTGGGACAGAAGCTTCCTCTTGGTCTAGCGTTAGCGTGCGTGTGCGTGTGCGTGTGCGTGTGTGTGTGTGCGATTCATCATGGCAGCCCTATCTCAACCAAACAGGCAGATTATGTTCCTGTCAGGCTTCACATGGACTTTAGATGGTGCCGTCAACCACCGTAGGACTTGAGATGCTATCAGAGAGGCAGCGTCTCTCAGCTGTTGGTATGCCCGCAGAGCAAGCAACATGTCAGCTGCCGTTTATCACACAGATTCTGATCCAACCAGTTTTATAACAGCAAAACATGTCAAAACTGTAACAAAGCCTGGTGCCGTGTTCCTTTACTTAAGGCAAGATAAATGACTAAAAGCTAAAAAAAAATATCATATAAGTGAAAAAAATATTATAATCTGATTTCCTCAGCTGCTTTGTTATTATTCAAAGAAACATTGAGTAAAAAAGAGACCAGTCCAGACCACAGCTGATGATGGTTGCAATGGTACGAGAGGCATTAATTCAATTTAGAACCTTATAAAGTGAGATAAAATCATGTTTTTTGCAGGGTCTCTTATGCAAAATGTACAGAATAATAATAACCAATGGGTGATCACTGTTGGATTGGTCAAGCATAATCAGTTATTGAAAGTGATTAGAGAAAGTATATCAGAGTTTAGCCCAACAGTGGCTTGTGTTTTTGATGTGCTGAAGCTTCCTATCAATGCATAGCTCTACTTCTGACAACTAAAGTTCAGCCTCTTTTGTCTGTATAGTTTAAAGTGGACCTATCATGCTATATTTGAATAATATAGTGTAGGACCATACCTATATAAGGCATATTTATACTTTTTTTTTTTCAAAATACCAAACAGATCATGCATTTTAGCCATGCCTCATTTTGCTCAATTTGACAATTTCTAGCTCTGGGCAGATTCAGTGAGAACAGCACCATCTACTGGCCTGGCATATGTACTACAGCATCTCCAGCGCTTTCGAACGGCAATGGCCGTGGCTGTCTCCTCCTGATTGGTGGAGTTGGCCCAATAGCCGTAGGGCCACTGTCCTGACGTCAGGACAGTGTTCAAATCTGGATCAGTTTTTATCAGATCCGTTGCAGCCCCTTTTTTAGAGATTTGGGTATGGAGGAAAATAGAGAGGGTTGTGTTTTCTGACACTTGGTGAGTTCCCTGGAACACCGGGGACACATATTCATGTATAAAAGACGTACAAAAGTGCATTTTGCATGTTAGGTCCCCTTTAAGTGATACTAATAACAGAAATGACTGACCATGACTTTGACTGTCCAAAGTGGAGGTAGTTGATGCTGTAGAGGTCCATGTCCTCAGTGTGCCAGGCAAATGTGGTCTTCCACATCCCAAAGTACATGTAGGGAGTGTTGACCCCCTCAATGACGATGCCACACTCCTGCTCCACCATATCCAGCAGCGTGTTCAGACGGCCGATGTTCCACTCTTGAATGTCCTGAAGGTAGAAGAAAGGATTTGTTTGATTAGCCTCAACATAGTAGTCTGAAACACACACAAACATTCATATACACACACAGGTCCTCCAAAGCCTATCAACAGCCACATGATGGTGCTGTAGTCACAGTCAAATGTAGCTACAGAATAACTAGTGTTTAATCTAGTGTTTAAATTGTTTTAATACATACAAGTCCTAAAATCCCAATCGCAAAAGCACCTGTCTGCCACAAGGACACAATAATACATTTAACAATTATTCAATGTATTTAAGATATAAATCCTATATTATTCTTAATAAATGTTTTTTTTTTCTTCATGAAATCACTGAGTACCAGACATATCTAATGGCGCATTTCCACCACACGGTCGGCCTCGGCCACGCTCGGTACTGCTTGGCCACGTTGGGCCTTAACAGGGCCGGCTCACTTCATGCTGCGCTTCCATTACAGTTTAGGAACTGGGGTAGTTACTATAGTAACGCAGTGTAGGCGGAGCCGTGACGTCATCTTCAATGAGAACCCCAGAAAAACAACACAGCCGTTAGCAGTTAGCACTCAGAGCTCACAGCTCCTTATATATGTTCAGAAACTCGACAAAAGTTAAACAAGTACACACCACAGACTGCCTGTGTCATGACGAGTACAGTCGCTGCTTTATTTATGTCTGTATAGGCCGTTGTTGTGAGTGTGGACGGTCGGAGCATATACTGCGTTAGCTTAGCCAATCTCCATTTAGAAAACACGAATTTTAAAAGGTTTTTCGCCTGCCGTCTGTCTGCAGACTTGACAAAGCATTAATTCATGGTTTTTACTAACCGGTATCAGTATGTTGTTACTTCGGCATCATTTTGAAACGTGTATTACAATTAAATCACGCTCAAATATGTCCATCTTGTTGTAGTTGTAGCCCCCTTGCCAGCGATGCTCTCTCTAGTTTAGCATACTCAGCCCGACTCAGCCCTGTTTGTTGGCCCCGATAGAACCACAATTTTGTCGGGCCAGAAAAGAGGTGAAAAAGTGGCCGGGCCGGGCCGTAACTAGGCCTGGTGGAAGCGCAACCAAAAACGGGCACGACACGACACGCTTAAACCGCGCTCCGCGCCATGGTGGAAATGCGCCATAATACTCCTGATCAAAGTATCTAGCAGGGTTGGCAAATCCACCCCAGCACTCACACACTTCTTGGGAACACACACAACCCTCACCTCATCATAGATGGAGCCACTGACATCGGCACCATAAATTGGCGACACAAATGTCAGGTTTTTCCAGTACTTCCTCTCCAGGTCATCAAAATCTTTGTGCCGGGGTGTGCAGTACCTGAAAAAGGAAACAGGAGACATGAGCAGCGAGTAGGGAGACAGAACTTCAACCAAACCTGCAATAATGTTGACAGGCATCCACCTTTATGAGCAGTCAGTTATTAATCACTGTTACTTTAAGGGGGGCCAAAGGACCCACATAAGGTCAATACATATTCATGATAATGACACTGTTCCTGCTGCAGAAATATCATTTCTTACAATATGTTTTTAACTTCTATACAGCAGAAATGTAAAAATAATGAGGACAGTGTTCCTGTTTTTATATGCAATATATCATCATTATTATGATTATTTGTTCTTATTAGTAGTAATTTACATGCCCATCCCTGTAGTACAATCCTCAACAAAAATGTGGTTAAACTTGTATCTTTATTCAACTTAATTTAAGCATACAACAGCCACTAGAGGGCATAGAAGGGTTGATACAGTGCCTATAAAAAGTACTTGGTAACATTTGGTATTTTTTTGTGGTTTTCTAAATTTAAATCGATTATATTTTTTAAACACTGCTCCTGCTTTACAGGAATCCAAAAGAATCACCTTTGAGGAAAAAATCAGCTGCCCCTTAGTAAATGTATCCTCAAATGTTGACAAAACTCAGCAGAAAACAAACACTTTTGGTCTTGCTAGAGGAGTTACAGGCCCATCATAGATCAATCATTGATAGTGATGTTAGTTTTGTCATTAGTCTCAATCACTTCTCAACACATAGTTATGCTATTACTACAAATATAAAACAGTAACCACGTTTATAAATAAGGCCTCTGCACCCGACTTACTTTTTGCTGTTGGCCAGCTTGCGGTACTCGCCCACGGTCATAGACTTCTTCTGGATGTTGTACTGGGTGAACAGACCCGACTGTCCGGTCACCACCTGCATGATGGGAGCTGGAATCACCATGTCCTCGATGGTGTCGTAGCACCTCCGCGGCTTCCAGCCCTCTGGGGGAATCACCTGGTGGAGGAAACAAATTGTTAGTTTTCATGATTCTATTCAGTAGGATGACATTCAAATTGAGTGTTTTTACAATGACCTGAAGCCACATGCAGCTAGGTCTTAACCCACAGTCCATCCTAGTCTTATTGTAATTTATTTGGTACAGGACAGGACATTCAATATGTTTTTCATTTAACTGAACTGAACAATTGATACTTAAATAACCAGATAATACCAATCTGTTCATTACTCAGGGTATATGCAGGAATCCTGAAGTCAGATGTAATACCTTTTAAGACCTTTTTTAAGACCCTTCCCATACATTTTAAGACCTCATCGCAACTTCGAGTTCTAACCGGTTACATTGGCGACACACTTTACCTCACATTTACTATGTACAGTATTTATTGTAAGATAGCATAACTAAACAGCTTGTGATAACTCCTTATCACAGATAGAACAAAGCACAAGAGAATGAATTGTGTGAACCAACCCAATGCAAGGTTTATTAGAAAAAGAAACCATTAGAAAGTACGATTTGATTTAGGCATTGTTCCCAAGAGATAAAACAGACAGACTACTGAAGCCTCCTCTCCACATGAACTTCAACCTCTCTGTCAAGGTCAGGTTTAATGCAGTATGCTGCTTTGTTGCTTCTGTAGACACACTTTGTGCTCTTTCATTCCAGTAAAACTCCTCAGAAACCAGTATTTGACCAATAAACAAAACTTTGAACTATGAAATATATTAAACTTTGGTGAGCTTCAGCGGGGTAATGCCATATAGGAGCTCCCTCACAAATACCCAGGGGTTAAATTGGGCCGGGCTGTCCGGGGCTAAGCCGCGGCACATAGAACGATGCTCTGACGTCATCACCCTCGCACATTTGTCATATGTTTACAAAAAACGATATATGTTAAGACTTTTCTCGTTCTTAATATAGACTATATTTAGGGTCGACATGTGTTGATTTTACTTTAAAATAGCAGATCTCTGTGACCGGATATAGTTTGTTTTGCTTAGTGAACGTGTGTCTCTTCCTTGGAGGAGCAGCATCGCCCGGACTCCGCTGCTCCGTCTGCAGAGAGTCTGCACTGCAGCGGTGTGTTTCAGCAACGTGCAGTCAGGGGGGAGGCACGGATTGGCCATCGGGAGAGTCAGGACTTTTAATAGCCTTCATTTTCGCTAAATTGATTTATCAACTTTTAATACTTTTTAAGACTCCACTGAATACTTATTTGTGACAACCTAACATAAATGGCCAAATATTTGCTGATTTCAGTTTTCTCAAATAAAAAACATACAATTTAAAGACAAAATATAATAGTTTGGGTTTGTTAGTTGTTAATTAAGCAAGTTTTTCAAGACCCCACTATGTGCTTTTGTAGCTTGCGAAAGACATCAATACAAATATAAAATAAAAGCTTGGCTCTGAAAAATTGAGTAGGAATAGACACTAGATGATGATGTGATTAAATATGTAATGTTACCATCAGGGGCCTCATTTATAACGCCTTGCGTAGGATTGACGTAGGAAGGTTGCTTACGTAGTACAAAGCACAAAAATAGGTACATACATTTTCCGCCATTTTCCGATTCACAAAACATTGCGTACCGGCGAGGGAAGTGCGTACGGCACTCCCTACGCCTGTTTCCCTTGATAAATCACAATCGACTCGTAACGCCCATATTTGCCTATACATAGTCAAAGAAACGCCCATTCATTCATTCATTTTGACTGACTGCATGAAGAAGATCGCAGGAAATTACGATAGAACAGCTAAAAAAGACATCTCACACCGGTGTCAGATTTTGGTTATTGTGGGGAGGTCGAGATAAATCATATGTTTGGTGGATGCAGTTTGAACCAGAGTAGCAGCATGGAGGTCGGATCGTCACAAAATAAATAAATAAGTGGTCCGAAAAAAGTTAATGACAAAAAAAATACACATAACCTTCCTTAGGCAGTGTGTTTGTCCCGGGGACAGGAGACACCCCCTTGATGAGAAACTGTAAGAAATGATCGGGGAATCCCTGCCGGAGTGGAGTCATGACGACTGGGATCTGAATTATTTTGTTGTATTTGGTGGTTTGTGTTCCAGCTGTCGATCAGCAACTATATATCCATTAATCCACCAGTTAAAGGAAATACAACTAATGGGTTGTGTTATATTAGCTGTACAATTTACCACATATGGTGTTCTTAGTTTCCATACCTCCTGTGTTTTGACGAGCGACTTATCAAGTCTTGGCAAACAGCATAAAACACGATTAAACGTGATAGTATATAAAACCATGCTCGTATCTACAACCTATAGAAATGCAAAACGGCGTCAGTTTATTCTGTCCTCCTGCTTACCGCATCATTTATGAGAAAACATTTCATAACATTAACACAACATATTCGAGGTGGTTTTAAATAGCATCCGTATTATTTCTCCAAGTTATGTTTTGTGTGCACTGAGGAGTCTCAAACAGGCGTTTGTTTAAATCATTTTAAGATTGGCTTTAATCAATGTTTGAAAAGAATTCTTCATATTTGATAAATGAGGTGTAACATTTTATTTATGGTATTATTTCCACATATTTCTCCTCCATTCTTCCTTCTGCCAACGGTGTCGCAGTTTCTCGTCTCTCCCGTTTGTGTGCTTAGTGCGTACGCATGGGTTAGAGTTTGTGTGGAGGACAGCACATTTTCCCGTCAAGTTAGTATTTTATAAATCGCAAACATTGCGTAGAAACTGGCGTACGCCATTTTTTGAGCGTATATCCCTTTATAAATGAGGCCCCAGACCTTACAATAACAGAAGTGTAGAAAGGACAACAATATGTGAGTGTAAGTGTGAGAGTGAACGTGTCCTCACCTTTGCCAGTCCAGCCCGGTGAGCCCCTTGACTCTCCATGTAGACGATGTATTTGGCAAAGTCTTTGAACTCCTCCACGGTGGCCTGAAGGTCATGATCTTACAGCTTGGGTTCTTAGCGCTGTCCGGCAGCAGGGGGGCTGGGGGCAGCTCAGAGCCTGGCACAGGGCCGGGGGCCTTGTCTGGGTTCGTAGGCGGAGCCGGGATGTGATCTGGGGCAGCATCGGGTTCCGAGGTCAGCGCTGTGTCTGGGATTTCTGGTATTGCTGGCTCCTGGCTGGAAATCTGGTCCTGGGCTTCACTGGTGCCAAGGGCAGGAGGGGAGGCCGAGGGGGCAGGGTCAGGAGCCAGCACCGTGTCCATGGACATCTCGGTAGCCATAGGGTCTTTCAGGATTGCAGGTAAACCTGTAAGGGAGAGCATGGGAAATCAGGGAATATTAAAAGGTAACCTATTATGCAAAATCCACTTTTTCATGTCAAAAGAGTTGCTCTCTTTTTGTCCTGATCCATTTATATAAAAAACCTGTCTGAAAAAAAAGCTGATCAGATTTCGGCCACTTTATGATGTCATAACGTTTTTTTGGCTTATGTAACCATTAGCCAATAACCAATAACCAACCAAGGTAACCCCCCCCTATCTTATCACCTGAATGTCCTCCTAGAGCACCATTGTGTTCTTTTTAACCAAATATCTCTCAGAGGGGAAACAGGGCTGAAACAGAGGGGATTATGGGATGCTGCAATGCATGATCTGTTTGGTATTTGGAGCCAAACACCTTTGTACATATTTGAGACCTATAATATATTGATGAAAAACAGTCTAATAGGGGACCTATTAGTCTGAGCAGCCACCAAAAATGGAGGACACATTCGTTTTCAGAAGGGGGTCAGAAATTGAAATAACATGACCATATGAGCAAGCATGATTTTTAAAGATATAACTAAGGTGACACATTGGCCAAAACGAGCATTAAGTCCTAGTAGAGTAGCTGTCTAAATAAGCTGGTATGTTCCAAGTTTCTGTTTCACAGTTGACATCCATACTAATCAAAGTTTCACTAGTGTGTATAGAAACAAAATGCTTATCTTGACAAAGCTTGAAATTGTTTAATCATGTAATTTTCCGAGCAAAAAATACAAAACTTTACCTGGTTTAAATGGTAAAATGGTAAATGGACTGTACTTATATCAGAGCGCTTTACATAGTTCGAGTCATTCACCCATTCACACCTCATTCATGCAGAGCAGTACCACTTGCTCTAGGGAGGCTAACATTCACACACATTGGCCATGAGGGAGAAACTCAGGGTTAAGTATCGCGTTCACAAGCTGGGATCAAACCCACAACCTTCTGGTTCAAAGATGACCGCAATCCTTCGCAGCCAGTTGCACAGTCGTTTAACTTTAAAATTGCAAGGTTTTTGGAAAGGGTGAGTATCTATATAGCTTATAGGAAAGTGTTGCACAGCATCCCAGCGCATCATCGAAAAAGCACTCCTGCTGCACATGGCTTTTATTGATATAACAACAATATCATGACAACCCATCGCCATATCAAATGCGTTGTATGACAGACAAGCATCCCCCCTTTGCTTTTAAAAGTGTATAGGGCTACTACCTATTTATTATTATTCAGCATTAGCACAAACCAGAAGATTGCCTGAAGGAGAGTGACGGTCACGACTCCAGCACATTCCTAAAATGTCAGACATTTGGAGGTAAAAAAAAACACCCAGGCTAATAGCTGGATGTGCTCAAAACAATCTAGTGATATGTTGTTATAAGGCGCAAATGCATCTGTCGCTCAAAGCTGCCTGTAACACATATTGTAATGTTATAGTGTTATTAATCATTTTGGTTACAGCCCTGATATATTAAACATACAGTAGCTAGCTCTTATTTCATATAGCATTGTCCCTCGTGTGCCCAAACTTACAGGAAGAAATAATAAATAAAAAGACCAAATGCAGTACCTCTGTGGTGTACTGCTGTGTAACTGTAATGTTTGCTTGGGTGTTTCAATTAATTTGTTTCATAGTTATTTGTTTTTGGATTGCCATTAAAGCAAACGGCTAATACAACAGGTTATTTTTTTCTCACCATACTTTCATCCGCCAGTTTCCCTTATATCTCTCTCCCACAGAATCTCCCCCTTTATCTGACTCTTTTAATACCTATCAGGAAGCCTTGTAACTCCCCTTGCTGTAATATTGACATTGCTGGAAACAAGTTTAACCTTACTGTGTAAATGTTAGTTGTAAAGAAATGTAAGCGTCCCTGAGGCTTCTGTTTGACAAACCACAACCTTTAGTACAACAAACCCCCCCCCCCCCCCCCCCCCCCCCCCCCCCCCGATAGCTCATAGGTGAGTGAGGTCAGTCAAATAACTACATCTAGAAACAGACTTCTCGAGGAGAAAAAAACATTAGACCAGGAACTTAAATATGAAGTTGAAACAATGAGTCTGTTATTTGTATTCACTCAAAGAAGATATTGATTTCCCTGTTCCCTGTGTCATTTTGGGTTCTGGGAACTTGGGACATGCATTTTACCGACTCCTGACTGATTTTGTAGACTGAATAATTCATAGAAATAGAAAATTGACAGACAGAATTAATAGTTGCAGCCCTACTGAATATAGAAGTAGAACCCCTTGGTTCCTAAAAAAGTTTTTAACGTTCCTAAAAAATTACTACACATAAAAAGAGGTGACAGGTGTGATACAAGACAAATGGATAGCAGTTATTGTATTACTACGAATCAAAGAACTTGGAGAAAAGCAGTTTTTTGTGGCTGAAACAGGATGTGCATATGCCCCAAACACTTGTCGTTTATACGCTATAGTCCAACTCAGATGGTAGCAATATGCGTCTAGCTGTATTCCAACAGTGTTTGACTGACATTTAATTTACCAAGGCATCAAACAAATGTGTAAACTGGCCTATTGAGACAAAAACAGATTGAAAGGCAGGTTCTCAACAACATTGAGGAAGCCTGCAACTGCAGTGTTAGACAAATAAATAACTAATGCTAAGAGTTTAGAGGCTGCTGGTATGCATCAATAGTCAGTCGTAGAAAACAATGTGCCTGCCATTTGCATTTCAAAGGCTCTGACACAACAAGCCTAGGTTGGCTTCCCTCAAACTTCAGGCCCTTTTGATTGACAAATACAGAGTACTGCCGCTCCCTGGTATGAAAAGTAATTATCTTTCCACACAGGCGCAGAACCTGCATGCTAGTTTGCCATTGGCTGTATTATTTGCAGTGTATTGACAGGGACTTCTTGGCCAAGAAGCAGGCAACACGAGGCAACACAGTTGGATTCATCATTAGAAAAATCAACAGGTCAAAGTCTTGTGATGCAGAATTACTGTCATTTGTAATATCAACAATATGCCACAACTTGAGTCCCCTAACAATAACACTCATGACAAACAGGTCACTGTTTTGTGTTTATGTATATTTTGAATACATTTTCAAACATGTGTATATATATATATTCTGCATTTTGTGATGTATGTTTTTTATCGGAAACATTCAAACCAAGGTTCATAATGTAATGTGAATCTTGTTTACTGTTACAACCCTAGTACTTTGGAATGTGATCAATTTCAGGAATAATAAAAGTCCCTTACTACTTACTTAAAACATATTTTTAAAGGAGAGGGGGGATGTTTGGCCTAAAGATTGGCCCTTCAGAAACTATTAACCCATTTTAACTGTGCTCTGCAACACTTGGCTTGGATAGTGCAAAATATTGTTTCTGACTAAAACACATAACTTCCTCCCTAAATATGCACTTCTCATGCATGACCACATATAGCCTACATGTGTTAGTTCCTCATACAAAGCAAGCCAAATGGGGACAATTTAACTATTAATTTGCATCTAGCATGCAAACACTGACAAGCAGGACACACAGCTCTTAAAAACGACACAGTCAGGTTTCAAGCGAGAGGAAGTTATATTTAGCTGGATTTAATACAAGACATTTGTAAACAAACCCCACTCAAACAGTAATGATTCCTGCTCAGTGAATGAGAAAGGTATCTCTTCCGGATGAGCCGCTTGTCATAAACCGATAAGTCACTCATCCAAAATGTAGTAATGTTGTCAAAAAGCAATGACCCCCTTGAACCAGGACTGATCTCTTCAGTGGATCATGTCAGGCCCCACAACAAAAAGGGGCCTACACAGCCCCTTTAAATCTATCTTGGCCTACAACTTGTCTCAATATTACAGAACACTGCCCTCCTTACTAAAAACCGTAATGATAATAGTTCTGAACAGCATGTATCCCCCTTGATAGGTGGTTCAAGACTCTGACTTGGTGAGAGTAAAAAGACGCTGCTCGATTTAAAGAAGGAGTAATTACAGGCTGCTCCTGCTAAGATGGCTATACACAACTAACATAAGCTCTTAGCATTTTATCCAAGAAGACAAGAACAACAACCAGAGCCAAAGCGCTTTATAATGAGTAAAATGTGTTGCGTTTAACCACACGTCACCGGTTATTAGGGTTTAACTTCATGTATGTTGAGCTAACGCTGGTTAGCTCCTTGCTAGGCAGCTACTTACATATATGCATTTAGAAAACACAAAAACACTGCGACGACAGCCATCACACAACACAATTACACGAGAATACGTTCATTGCGTTTGCATAAAATGAATTCCGTTTGAGAAATATTACCTCCTGCAGCAAACGTATAGTCCTCTCCTTGTTTTTTTTAATCGATTTGGTTTCGATTTGTAAAAAAAACCCTGTATGGATTTTGCTCTAGCATTAGCTAACTGAGGGGCTATTTAGAGTCACGCCCACCTCAAAAAACAGGGTTTGTGATTGGTCAAATCACACGGATTTGACCAAGTATTCTTGTTCATCAACCCGACGATATGGTTGGTTTATTTGGTTATAGACACACACATCAACCAATGGCAGAAGACGCTCAGTACTACTTTGCTTACCATAGATAGTGTGTGCACGTCACGCACGTCGACAATGCCGGGACTGCTGTGTTGACCATGGCCCTTTCTCATGTCTTCAAATGTTCCTCCTCGACTCCCCTCCTCGACTCCTATCCTCGAGACTTAGTCCCGCCCACAGGAGATGCGAGCGGAGGAGCCGAGGAGGGGAACCGAGGAGAGAGGAGGGGAAGCAGCAGGCGGTTAGAGAAATGAGAACTCCTCTCCTCTGAGCGGTCATTTTAAAGAGACGTCCATTAATGATGACAGGAGGCACAGCAGCCCTCTGTCTGATGGACAGATGTGTTCATGACGACTTATATATTTACTTTGAATTCATTCACAGTGCGGTATAATGAGACAATAACAGGCTACAGATGCGGACATACACACAGACACACAGACACACACACACACACACACACACACACACACACACACACACATATATGTATATATTTATATAAATATATACAATTTCAGAATCAAACAGAGCACTCTCATAATAACGTAACACTATCAGAGACTGGATATATCCCCCCCCCCCCCTCTCTGGTCGCTACAATGAGGGAAATATATGGAGCTAATTTCCTGCCATAACTCCACAAACAAACTAAACAGGTTTTACAAATGCCTTATGATTCACTAACAAACACAATGTGGTTTGCAAATACAAAACACCATCTACAAACTAATGAATTTAGTTTTGCAAAGAAAAAACGTATCTATCAAACAAACACATAACATTTTTCTAATAAATCATGTTTCAGAGACAAATTCAGTTTAGGTTTTACAAGTACACAACTTTTTTTTACAAGTGCACAAATTTGTTTTACAACTACAACACTTTGTTTTACAACTACAAAACTTTTTTTTACAACTACAAAACTTTTTTTTACAACTACAAAACTTTTTTTTACAAGTACAAAACTTTTTCTTCTCACGGCGGAATATTACTGCCAAAAGTCACGTGAGTGAGTCACGTGACTTTTGGCAGTAATATTCCGCCGTGGCTGGCTCATACACAGTCACACATGCTCACTCACACATGCTACACGGCAGCAGGGGGCGCTACTGAGTCCATTGGGAAGACGGGAGGTTGAGCAGAGCATGGAACAGCCCTTGCCAGTCTGATGACAGGTGTTATAGTGATAATATTATAAACAAGGTGAATTTAGCGATCACAACGAAAACAGCCAAGACACATATTGAGCCCAGAAAATAAATGTTATTAGGGGCTGTAAATATAATAAGCCTTTGTCTAAAATGGACAACATTGTAACTAAGGAGATTTAAACTATATATACAGCCAGGGGACGTTCGGGACGAATCCCGATGGGCCGGTACTGAAGTGGGCCGGTCGGATAAGTCACTGCTCACCCCCCCTTCCCCCCCGTCGACAATTTCCTCGCGGTATTTACTTGCGGCACCACCGAGGTGGGCCGCTTACTTGCGGTACCGAGGTGGGCCGGCGGTACCAAAGTGGGCCGGTCGAGAGTCCCGGGCTGATTTGTAGTCCCAGTCCGCCCCTGTATACAGCGATTCTGCACTCGGTCAATCAGCTGCTTTTCATTTTTATTCCTGCTATATTCAATGAGTGATACAAATATTTTTTACCACAAGTTCTTAATAAAACTGACACTGTTGGACTTGGTACTAGTTGACTGCAACCAGAAATAAAATGAAGTACTTTACTGTGTACTTTGTCAGAGTCCCCTCCATAGTACATAATGCATATTTTTTGCTATCTTTGATGAATGATAAAAAATAAAATGTTACCATTAGTTCTTAATGAAATTGATACGGTTTGACTTTGTATTAGTAAGCCTACTACTAACAATACATTGAAGTACTTTTACTGTGTATTTTTTGAGAAATACTCTGTCAAAGTCCCCTCCTGTGAACAAAATCAAGCCACTTCTGCTAAGTTTGATGAAGGAATTCTTTTTTGTTGCCATTAGTTCTTCGTGAGATTGATCCTGTTGGACTCAGTACTACTGAAACTACCCCCACAAGTACTATGAAGTACTTATTGTGTACTTTTCCAGTAATCCTCTGTCAATGTCCCCTCCTGAGTACAAGAATGCATGTTTTTCTTTTAATAAGCGTTAAAAAACATTTCTTCCTGAGACTGATATTGTTGGACAGAGTATTTTAAGAGGATGGTAGACATGATATCAGCAATACTTCCAGTCAGTACTCCGGCAGCAGCATTTTCACACCTTGGAAAGTCTTTAGAGTCTGGCCTGGAATGGATAGCTGGTCACAAATATCCTTCAGCAAAGTAACACACTCTGTCACATGGTTGCCCTCTTATGATGCTGCTGTCTTTTAATATATAATTATTCCTCTGCCGCTAGTTCGTTCCTCGCAGATTCTTCAGTCTCATCAGCCTCATCCTTCCATCAGTCCCAGTTAACGCCTCCAGCCCACTTCCAGTATCTGACTCCATATGATATTGTCCTGATGCTGTAAGGGTGATGCCCCATGATCACAAAATGACCCCTCTAGAGTGCCAAGGACCTCATATTATGTCTGTCATTAATGTTACATCACCCATTAAATCACCCAAAAAACTTAGAAGAAGTGGCTTGATTTTGTTCTCAGGAGGGGACTTTGACAGAGTATTTCTCAAAAAATACACAGTAAAAGTACTTCAATGTATTGTTAGTAGTAGGCTTACTAATACAAAGTGAAACCGTATCAATTTCATTAAGAACTAATGGTAACATTTTATTTTTGGGTCATTCCAGAATTGGAGGACATTTCATGTCCCCCATATAAAAAATCTAATAATCCATGCCCAAAAAGCTAAGACATGCACTTGTTGTGTTAAATATACTTGTCTTGAGACAAGATGCATATAAAGTTGTAGAAAAAGTGGTTTCAAAATATTATTTAAAATATCAAATAGCTCTCGAACACCCCCTAAAATTGCCCTTTTCTCTTGTCCCAGCTTCTTGGTGACCAACTTGCATGTCAACTATAACATTTAAAATAGGGTTTTTATTTACTTTTTTGGTATTATTCTATTGATATATGTGTCTTGTAATGGTAAAATCAATTTGTTAAATCATAAACACATTTTAAATAACAGTAATTTTGCACAGAAGGTGTGTCCCTCAACATGCGCGCAACCCTGTTACCGAAACCTTTTTAGCTTGGCAGAGGAAGTGAAAAAACTGTTTGTCGCATGACACAGTGGAAAGGACATCAGCAAGCCATGTGCTACTACCATGGGTAGACCAAAACTAAGTCCTCTCTTTTATTTGTAATATATTTCCAATCTTGTCACTCTTGAAGGAGTGTGGCACTCATACAAACGCAACCCTGTTACTCAAATTATGAGACAAAAACAAATTAATTTCAAATGTATCTTTCTTTTGTTAAATATATATAAATATAAATATAATATAAAGTGTGTCCATTCCTTGACAATAGCATTACATTGTGCAGCTAGCATTAATTCCTGAGGTAAAAGCTAAAATTAGCATTGATTTTCAACCCTGTTACTTGCAACCCTGTTACTATAATTAGAGTAACAGGGTTAATTCTTCATTGGAAAATATACATTTGATGCCTTAGCTGGGCAAATCACTTTTTTTTATGGTTTATTATCTGTTTTTCCTAAATACATAACAAAAAATAATCAAATGAAAGGTTCATTTTTCAAAAATGTTGGTGTCTAAATTGTCCTCCAATTCTGGAATGACCCTTTTATCATTCATCAAAGATAGCAAAAAACATGCATTATGTACTATGGAGGGGACTCTGACAGAGGATTACTCACAAAGTACACAGTAAAGTACTTCCTTTTATTTCTGGTAGCAGTCAACTAGTACCGAGTCCAACAGTATCAGTTTTATTCAGAATGTATGGTAAAAAATATTTGTATCACTCATTGAATATAGCAGGAAAGAAAATGAAGAGCAGCTGATTGACCGAGTGCAGAATCGCTGTAGTTTAAATCTCCTTAGTTACAATGTTGTCTATTTTAGACAAAGGCTTATTATATTTACAGCCCTAAGAACATTCATTTTCTGGGCTCAATATGTGTCTTGGCTGTTTTCGTTGTGATCGCTAAATTCAGATGCTGGATCGCTAGAAACACCGCTGTCATGATCAGGCTGGGAAGGGCTGTTCCATGCTCTGCTCAACCTCCCGCCTTCCCAATGGACTCAGTAGTGCCCCCTGCTGCCGTGGAGCATGTGTGAGTGAGCATGTGTGAGTGTGTATCATGGATGTATAATAAGAACTGGGTTGCATTCGAATAGTCCATTTAGCTTAGGAACCTTCCTAACGGAGTGAAATGACCCGGAAGTCCCTCAGTGGCAGCCATGATAAGTGCCGTTCGAATTCTCTAAATTAAAAGGAAAGGAGGTTTCAAACTTCCTTTATAACCTCCTTTAGCCTAGGAACAACTGGACCTCCCTAACCGAAAGGAGAGGAGAAAATGCTGCCCCACAATGCCTTGCGGCCGCAGCATTTGCCGTCACACAACAGTCGGCCGTTCACGGAAACAACCGATTATGAACGAGAAATTATATCATGAAAGTTACGGTACTTATTAAGCATTTTAAAACGTATGTGGTAAGTTGCCAAAGTGCTTTGTTTTGAACGTTCATCCGTATTATAATCAAAAAGAGAAATATGAACGTTAGTTTTTACTGAAATGATCAAATAAAGTCAACATTTCACAGTCTTTACTGAGCTGTGTGGGGTTTGTTCAACTTTTAAAAGATGTTTGAATGGTGATATACACAGTGATAGATGTTAAGGACTAACGTTTATAATAAATACATTTGTATTGATTTTAAGATCTTTTCATACAATCATATGTATTGGGATCATTTGTATTAATGTGGACCGGAGGGAGAGGGTGACGAGCATAAGTTTCACTTTCCTTTTTTATTTCAATTCCAACTTTGGTCATGAAGAATATGTTTCTCTGTTGTCCCCGTTCATAAAGCATAAAACAACAGCACCAGAGCACGGTGCAGAGTCTCTAGATGAGTTTACAGTAGTCCCTCGTTCTTATTAAACATCCATGTTGTAGTCCGCTGTATAGAAAACTGTAGTTTCCATAGTTTCCCCACAGCAGCAGGCGCACATTTATGACCTCTGCTGGCGCATCATAAACACGTCGGATAGTGAAAGTGCAGTCGGATTCTCTAAAGTGCCGCAGTCTCTTCTCCTAAATCCTTTTGAATTCTCCTATCCACTATCCCTTAACCCCATGACGTTTCACTCCGAGGTCAAGGAATAGACGATAGGGTTAGAATTTAGGAGCTGTTTTTTTGGAGTATTCGAACGCAACCCTGGATACAGCGTGGGAGGCGGGGCCTCATTCATTCCTATGAGAGTTGCTCATTCGCGCATGATGATAAAATGGCCCAACTTTTGAGAGAGCGAAACGTCACAGATTACCCGGCATGCCTGAGAAGTACCCGTATGTGCGCTCATAGCGCATGCGCAACTTTAACCATGCCCCCCAAAATGCTCGTTCACATCAAGCACGTCAATTTGCGTACACGTAACAGCACCGCACGTTCATGACAGCATGCCTGGTAATGTTTGTTATGATAGATTTGATATTAACGAGGCGGCAATTAGCAGCTAGCGGTTAGCTAGTAATTATGCTAATTTACACATCAATCGTTATGTACTTTTATATTACGCTGTAACAGGATCTAGTGATATCCAAGCAACAGAGCTTCATTTAGCATGAAAGAATTATTGCACTGTATATATATACACAGTGCAATAAGCTTCTTAGTGCAATAAGAAGCTACAGGGACGTTAATCTACGTCGGTAATATTAACTTTATTTAATACAACATTTACGGTACAAGATTTAATAATACAGCCCATGTAGTATAATATTTTACAAATGATGAATTACAGCAAACATGTGCAATATATCCATTATTACAGCTCCGTGGGCTGGCAGTAAGGCGATATAGGTCCGTTCTTATTGTGCATCCATGGGTAAAGATAAACGCATGTAGTGCTGAACACGTAACATGAACGTGCCGGGAGGCGCGGTCCCGTGGGTTAGATGCGCGTTCATAATGCAGAGGGAAATAACTCTCAGAATAACGTTATTAGCACATTTTACAACTTGAGGAACGAATGTTTTTAATAAGGGCTATACAAGTGTTCATACTGGGTAGTTTATTTAGTTTAAAAAAAATTATCCAACGATTTACAGACCACTCTTTCCCCATGTAAGTCAATGGGGAAAAAGTGTTTCCGGGCCTGGCAACCAAAAGGAAGTGTAGTACCGCCGTTTGGCCAGCACGAATATTTTCATCAGAGTCCGGCGCACTTCCTGGGGTCTTGGTATGAGCACAACCACGGCGGAATATTACTGCCAAAAGTCACGTGACTCACTCACGTGACTTTTGGCAGTAATATTCCGCCGTGAGAAGAAAAAGTTTTGTAGTTGTAAAAACAAGTTTTGTACTTGTAAAAAAAAGTGTTGTAGTTGTAAAAACAAGTTTTGTACTTGTAAAAATAAGTGTTGTAGTTGTAAAAAAAATGTGTGTACTTGTAAAACCTATGCTGAATTTGTCTATGAAACATGATTTATTAGAATAATGGTATGTGTTTATTTGATAGATACGTTTTTTCTTTGCAAAACTAAATGCATTAGTTTGTAGATGGTGTTTTGTATTTGCAAACCACATTGTGTTTGTTAGTGAATCATGAGGCATTTGTAAAACCTGTTTAGTTTGTTTGTGGAGTTATGGCAGGAAATTAGCTCCATAGAAATAAATGACGGGCCAAAAGTTTTATTTACAAGTATTACAAGTAAGCAGAGGACACCAAACCAACTGAGACCTGTCTGTCCGCTGCATCTACGCACACACTGTACCACACACACCTACACCACACACGTACCTACAGCTCCTAAAGCATATAATCAGGCTACAGCCGTTGTGTATTTTATTATGTGAAGCACTAAATGGTTTTAGAAAAATATCGACTTTGTTTGTAGATATCTACTAAACTAAAGCAAATAAAGAGAGTAGGCCTGTTATACTGAGTGATATATATTGTACACACTGCTCTGCTTTCTGCACGGACCTCACAGCTGTTCTCACTGTAAACATCGCGTCGCGATGAAAGCAGTTAATAAAATAATATCCAGGGGATGCATGCAGAGCTGTCATTGGCTGAGATAAGTCCGGCCGTGCGTCTCGACTCTTTGAAACATCACTGTTGCCGGAAATGCATCCACGAAGGAGCCGTGGAGGACTGTGGAGGACCCATCAGTGTATCCTCGGTTATAGCTCCTCCAGAGAGCCTCCTCGACGCTCGATGCTCGGTCCTCGATGTGCATTTCGAGAAATGAGATGTCCTTCAACATGGCGCGCTAAAATTCATTTCCGGGTCACTACCGGAGGACCGAGGAGTCGAGGATGGGACATTTGATGACATGAGAAAGGGCCCATGAGTAAAATAAATATACTTTCAGTGTTATTAAACACGTTTTACATTTATGTAAGAGTTACAGCTTGTTCCAAAACCCTGAACGTGCTCTTATGCTCAGTATCTTATCCATTTCCTTCCAAAGTAATTGTCCGAGCGACTATCTCAAACCCGATTAATCCAATGATCCAATGTAGCATTACAATTCATAACAGATCCTAAAAAATATATTATTATTTTTTAAACAATATATATAATTATTTGTAATTGTATAGGGAAACATTTGTAACGTTTATAGATTGTTTTCATGCTACCTCTTTTGGTTAGAATAAAACATTAAAAAAATATTCAGAAAAAAACCTACACTAATAAGAAATTAATAAATTACTTTGTTTATATATTCCCAATTTTTCTGTAGAAGGCATAAGCAATCTGATACACATTTTAGCTAAATATTAGACATTTTGGTAGCATTAAAATGCACCAAAGTTCCTAAAAAATATAACTCCAAAAAAAATCACTGTTTCTATTTAAGATCTTTTTTTTAAACCACAGATAATGTATTTGTACAGGGAAATCTGATACATATTTTATATATAAATAGGAATAAGTCAATCTTTTTTTATATTTCAAATACTTAACCAACCCTGAAGTCTTTATTTCATTTATTTCCTTTGAACTTAAGGCATACTTTATTTATTCCAGAAGAGGTAATGTAGTTTGCTGCAGAATGTATAATTAATATATTATATTTATACCATCATATTTCCTGCATTTTGTCCAATGAAATACTGGTATACTCTGAGAATTCACAGCATTGATTTCTTCAGTAAAAAAAAAAGGCGACACAATTGGAATTATAAAAACATACGTAGATTAAGATAAACTAAATAAATTGACTTGTTTTCTGAGTCTTGAGGGCCTTTAAACATTGAAATTGTGAACTTTGAAATCAGTTCCACACTTAAAATGTATTCCTGTAAAGTATTTATCTTTTAATTTTTCATCAAAACAAATTTAATTCCAGCCCACAGCTGAAACCTTCGAGATTACAATTTGAAATGGTTGTTTTGGTATATGTTCCTAAATACAGTCTCCTTAAAAAACACAAACAAAATTTCATTTTCACTTTTTTTATTGAATAACACTGAAAATGTATTGACAATTTTTGCACCAAACTTGTGCAAGCAATTCTAAAAACTACATATCAAAACTAAAATGGACTAAAAAAAATTATACAATTTCCGAAAATATACATTTCCCAGTCTATGCAAACCTTTGTCTCTCCATCAAAACTCAAAGTGCTGGCATGTGGAGGGACATAGTCTCACACTGCTGTTGAAATTCAACACCAAATATTGATAAATGACAAAGGCAACGGCAAAAGTAGTCATCAATAATAAATTCAGATAATCTAGTCGATTCAATATCAAATTTCAGGAGCAGTGTGGGGAATTTCCTTTAAGTTTATTAATGCAAGCATTTCCTGTTTTCTAAATGAGGTCAGGTAATACAAGTGACCACAGGAGGCACAACAATCTGACTGAAAAGCCCCCCTACAGATGGCAGTAATAGATTATAAAAAGATGAAAAGGTACAAATTAAATGTTTTAGAAAATACAAATAACGTTTCTAGACTTAATTAGGTTGTGTCGGGGACAATGTCTAAATATCTAGATAGATGTGTCCTACATAACACTCTTGGTTAAGCACTTTTTGTTTTTCTTTGGACTTCATCAAAGTGAACCTTTTGGAAACGGGAGAAAATTCAAATCTTCACCACATTATATAATGGCCTTAAGAATCCAACATGTTTAGCTGTCAAGGTTGAATCGAATTCATGGATACTTTTAAACCAAATCTCTCTAACAAATATAAAAGGATTATATGAAAATATTTTTAAAGAAACCAATATTCAAGGTAGAAAACCAAACCACATTGGATGACAACGTTCCCCGACAAGACACTTCCTCTCAGTCTGCTGAAGAGCAGAAAAACTCAACTTAGAACTGGTTTAGTTTGTGCATGAAAGTCCGACCTCATCTACATTTTCTGGAGCAGCTTTGTGCACATATCATGTTAGCGCAATCTCAATCATCTGATCATGTCAGGAAAGAAAGAAAGTGTCACATTTGGAAGTCTGTTAAGACCATATCATGTCTAAAGTGTGTTGATTTTTGCCTAGGTTGTCAATTGCAACCTTAGCTAGAGATCTAAGAAGTAACGCAGACAAGTACATGGCTCCAGGAGATGCACAACACTGTCAGGCCAGATTTCAAAGTTAGACAGTAAAAAAACTCTGACTAAAAGATCAGAATCTTTTCTTAAATTGCATTAACATGTTGACCAACAACAGCTAAATTAACAGCAGACCAGATAAGACGCATATTCTTATAATAGCAGTGTATAGAAAATGTCCAAATAAGCAAACGGCTCAACCCCTCTTTACTTAACGTCCTCATAAGCAGTGCTAAACATGGAGGGATTTAGTTAAAAAGGTAACAAACATTTTATAGAATGGTTAACATTAGTTAATGGAACAATATCAAACGCTGGGAGTAAAATCACGGTGTAAGGCGTTAACGGAGTAATGGCGCGATTACGAAAAGGAATTTTCATTTTTTCTTTAACTACATGGCAGATCCAAGGTAAAAAACGATAGCATTGAAGTCCACAAAACTTGCAGTTTTATAAATCATTAAAAATATATTAAGAGAGATTGATTCTTTATTGCCTTTGCTGAAAAATGCCCTTACAGTTTACATTCCTCCAGGGCAGAGTAGGCAGAACCAATGATCATCGCCCGCTGCTGTAGCCTGGGAAAAACTGAATAAGGATATCCTGCAGGGGTTTGTTGATGTTCATGGAGTAGTTCTTGCCCAGGTCGTACCTGCAGGCCGGGCAGGTGTGCACGTCTGCTTTGAAGGATCGCTGAAGGCATTCCTGAGGCGGAAAGAATCAGACATTTATTTTAATTTCAAGCACTCAAACTTTGACATTTCATTTCTAAAAATGGTTTCTGCATTGTAGTCAGGTGGGTGTAAGGTTGGTTAGGATGTCACGTGAAGATCAAAAGCTGTTTAGGAAAATGTTTATAACTCAACCACTACAGCAATAAAATAAAGACATATTTTAGGTTGTATATCAACCAAAAAAAACAAAACAACAAACAGTGTTAGAGCTATGATTCTGTTGCTGCATACAATTAAGTGATAGTCAAAAACTCTTGTTAATCATCAATGATCGTTCCTCACCCTGCAGACATTGTGTTGGCACTCTGTGGTGATTGGCTGAAAGACAACCTCTTGGCAGCAAATGCAGAGGAAAACTTCTTCGACTTTGTTCAGGAATTTCTGTGGGAACGACAATAAACATTTGAAAGCGTATTACAAACTACCCATTTCTCTTCCCCAAAAAAACGCCATTGCAAGATATTCTATCGAGTATTGTATGCAAGAGCACTGTTGTGGTTTTACCAATTAAAGTCATCCTTAGGACATCTCTTTCTTGTCCAATGTCTAACGTATTGGACATACTTGTCCTTTAAAATTGAAATGTCACATTCAAATTCCTCCAAAACATAAGCTGGTAACCAAATACACAGTAATGCTCACCGGTCCGAGTGACAGTGACTCCATGGCTTCATCCCACAGTTTCTTGTTTTGCTTGTCATTCTTGATGAAGGTTTTCTGTTCCCTAGTAAGCTTGTACATTTCTAGCTTTATTTTCTTAGGAGTTTTGGTTGGTGAAGACTTGGGGGATTCTGTAAGAAAGAAACACATTTTAAATTGACTAGAGTAAAAGGGTGGACGGTTATACTTTATAGATTTTACACAGAAATCAAAACCAATCAAATGCCTCACCTGATCAATGATGATAACATTGGCAATACTACAATTTATATTGTACACCAAAGCAAACCAATGCATAGCTTTTGGGGTGATCTGCAACAGTTTCATTTGAACTAGTGTTGAATATTAGGTAAGAGCAAAAACAAAAAACATCCCCACAAACAGAACATACCGCTGCTCTGGGATTTCCTCTTCCTCTTTGACTTGCTGGGTGTTTCCGAAGCATCATCCGCAACATTTTTGTTCTCTTTCTCCTTCTCTTTCTCTTGATAGCCAGCAGGATACTGAAAAAAAAAGTCCATTTAATTGAAGTTATGCTACTGTTAACCATCAGCTCAAAGAACAGCTAACATCCATACTGACATGTTCAAGATATGCTTTTCAAAGAAGGCCATTCTTTAATCAATTGAAAAGAGTTGCATTCTACACAGAGGACACTGTTCATTTCCACAAAACATAAAACCCTCTTGCTCTAATGTAGCTTGAAGGATCATCTCTACCTGTATGGTGAGCCCGAGCTTCTTGACGCGGTCCTTGCCATCTCTCGTCCACGGTGCCGGCTCCTCATCGTCACGCTTCAGCAGATATCGCCACACCAAGAAGCCAGACTTCCCTTTGGCTGGCCAGTACTTTGCAATCTGAAGGAATTCAATGACAGAGTAAGACTACCAATAGGTGCCTAAAGTCACGAGATTATTTATCGAACTTCAAATAATCAAAGTAGAGGTAGTTGTTGGGCTACGAGTAATTCAATTGTTCGGAAACCAATGCATGCTCCTTATTTATTTCATCAGATCCATGCAGTTGAATAGTTGCAGTTTTAAAATTAATTACATTTCTATAGATTCTAAAACTAAAAACACATGCAGATTCCGTCCAGTGTATCCTCATACCTTATATATCCCATCATATCGGTTTCCTTCCTCAGGGGAGTATTTACTGTGTTTGCGACCCTTGCAGCTGCGCACGACTCTAACTGGTTTTCCCGCCTTCCAGTTCTTTGCATCGGCTCCATTTTTGTCGTTGACAGGGACGTTGCAGTTGAGAGCCAGCGCCCTGTTGAGAACCAGAGTGAACAATTTAGATATAAGAAATGAACTCTATGCAATAACTGAAAATGCAGAAATCCTGTTAACTATGTCATACCGGTTCATGTGGGTAAGTGTCTGATCACATGATTGCTCAGCGGTCCTCTTGTTTCCGGAAAGATCTCGCCCACCAGAGCCAGTGTATGTGAACTCGTTACCATCATCCTTTAAGAAACATAAATATTACATGCATTAAAACATCTAAAAAGTCTGGCATCAACTTTAAGATGAATAGAAACACATTTGATATCATAACAAAATTACATTTGAGGAAATAAACAAAACATACCACGTCATCCTCATATCCTCCTGCCAGGACCAGAGAGAAGGCCCCGTCGTTGCTCCTGCCGTGGATCCCAGCTACATGAGGCCTGTGGACGCCAGATTCACTGACCTAGAAAAGAGTTTAAACATTATTGGGGGCCACTAAACATATGAGCACTCAAACCGTGGTATTGGTAATCCTCTAGGATTCCCGCTGCGTGGACTGACCTGCACTCTGAACTTCCACAGGGAGCCGACAGGAACGCCGGGGATTGGGCCGTAGTGGTTTGATGGGACGATGGTGCACTGAGTGGTTCGACCAACACAGGCCATTCCCTGGAGGGGGGAGGAGTAAATTGTTGCCATTAAAGTATTTGTGTATTTAACACCAATGCAGTAAACTAAACTATACATTTTAGGAGATGCACCAATACTGATATTGTTGACCGTAGATCAATGGTATAGCATACAATGACTTTAATAAAAAACAATTGCTTCTGCAACCTGATGTTGCCATACACACAATAATGAGCAGTCTCCTCCACACATCAGCGCATCCAGGGTTTTAAAATGTGCTCTTCTTCCATTCTTTATTCTTAAACTATTACATCATTAAACCGGGTTCCCCTGGGCCCCACAACTATAAGTGACTTATTCAAAATCATAATTTTAAAAAGGAAAGGAAAACAAAAAAATAACCTCACCTTGCCCCAGTCCCTCTGGCTGGTGGAACTGGCAGAAGCCATCTTAGACTTCTTTTTGCTCTCCTTCAGCTTCTCTCCAGCCAACACAACCTCACTGGCGTCATTATGGCATCCTGGGCAATACCTGAGATAGTATACAGAGTACAGGTGTGACAATAACAATTAATGGCCAGAAGCATGAATCGATGCCACAAAACAGCTACAAACTGTGTGTTCGAGCACTTCGAGATCCTAAAAGTTCAATACATGAAGGAGCAGTATAGGTTAATGACATGTATTTGAAAACTCCCTTCACAATGACAGGTGGCCATTGCCACAAGACAACATTGTACTTATATCTTCACTCATCAAGAAATGACTGCTAATTTCCCCAACTTTAAATGTCAGGATATTTGATATACATCAGAATTTGAGTTTAGCCTGATGCCACTGACCAGTCCTCGTCGTCAGGGATGGAGGTGAGCGGGGGGCTCAGGCAGTAGATGTGATAGGCCATGTCGCACTCATCACACAGCAGCTGTTTGTCGGGATCCTGCTTGATGCCGCAGACGTGGCAGTTACACCACTGGCAGTTTTTCTTGGGATTATCTTTGCAGTGCTTGCACTCGGGTCCATTTGATCCTGGAGAATAAACGCATTTCATTATATCATCTAATCCGTTTCTTTCTACAGCATTTTCATTAGGGGGTGTAATAGATACCAGTTAACACAATTAAACCTACTTTTCAGCGGACTCTCGGATCCAGCGGGTGTTTCATCCAGAGAACCAACCTCCTCGATTTTGTAGATTTCAGTAAGGAACATGATCCGACAATCATTAAGAGAGTCACCAGCATCACTGCAAACAGAGAAATAGAGGTCAAGATGGCCTTCGTGGTATTGGTACTTTTTCATGCTTATAATGTTATATATGATCACTTGAAAAGCTAAAACACCAAATGCATGAAAGTTAACAGGCATTTTTGAAAAATACAGACAGAATCGCAGCAGTATAGCAATATATTATGCAGGCTACTTTCATACCACGGCAGGAAATTAACCTGTTACCACGGGCTACAGCGCAAAAAACCAACAAACTTTGATATACAGATCAAACGTGAACACAAGATGTCGCTGCAGCAGGTTGAACAGATATTTACTCTGATATTTGACTTGTTGCAGTTCCCCCTAATCTGAGGGCCAATATAAAATGCAGACCTTTAAATGCAACACAGCTCTTACCCAAGGAGAATCTTGGCGTAGATTTCCTTCACTGTGCGCGTCTCTTTCTTCTTCTGGATCTCAGCGTCGTACCAATAGCCACGCTCCTTGGGGTCGTCTGGGTTGAAGTTGACCATAACAACCATCTTTGGCTCCAGCTGGTGCCACTGGTACACCGTGCGGGCCCGAGGGCGAACATCCTTGGCCAGCAACTGAACCAGCCCGTTCTCTGGGTAGCTGTGATGGTAAAGGTGATACCAGATCAGTTGGCAGTTCGGTGGCAAGCCACACACCACTGCAGGTGCTTCCTACACACTGCTGCATGGGAGTGTAACCGCATGTGTAAAAGTATATTTCGCTAAACTGCAGGTACACTTAAGAAGAATGTTCCTCAAACACCAACATACTTCCAAACTCACCAACCGACACAATTGTGTGTTTAAGTGACGTCCAGAGTTCATTCCCATAAATAAAGATTTAACATGACCATTTGTTTCATTAAATAACCTCTAATGACAAGGTACACATGTACAAGTAAAGTTACAAATAAAAACCACTCGATTGGCTTGATCATGGATTTTGGGGCAACCAGTTTACTTGATTCTGGCCATCACATCATAGTGGAGTAAATACAAAATATACTCAGTGTTTGGAAGATAAAAAACATTGCAGGTGATTGGCTGATATTTTCAAACATAGATTCACAACATAGCTTTACATGTTGATTGATGGACAAAAATAGAAAAGGGATTCTTACTCTTCGTATTTCACTTGGTACAATATCTCCTCCTCTGCTGGCTGTGCATCAGCAGCTTCTGCTTTAGGCGTCTTTGTTGACTTGGTAACATTCAAGATCTGCGCTTCAAACCACGCCCCCATGTTTAAGTCCCTTGCATCCACTAGCTCATTGATCTGAATGACGTAAAGAAAAGAAAGTTAGAACAATCCTGAAATGCATTTTAAAGGCTGTAGCATTTGTCCTCAACACATTATTAAAGGTGGGGTAGGTACATTTGAGAAACCGGCTCGAGATGCACTTTTTGTTATATTCCATGGAATGCTCTTAACATCCCGATAGCAATGAATATCTTAAGTGCTTTGACAAAAAATCCATTGAAAAAATGTCATCTGTGGAAGCCGTAGTACTGTAAAAAGCACGACCAATCATTTTAGCCGGCCCGGCTAAAATAACTGGATGGCCTACCTGCCTGTCAGCCTTCCATCTGTGCACAAACTTATCTCGTACCCTCATTGGTCATGTGCGCGTTCGTGTGTGTTGGAGGAGGGGCTCTGTAAGGAAGTGGCAGATTTTTTCCGGCTGTGTATTTTCAAATTCTAGCGCACTCGAGCTGGTTTCTCCAAAATTACCTACCCCACCTTTAAGTGTTCTGTAAATGTTTTAAAAAATGTGATTAGTCCGTTTGTTTTCAAAAGGGGTCATGTGAACTTATGTTTCCTTACATACACAGAATTTCTAAACATGAAACATTTTCACAATGTCTATAAGAATCCTTTGGAAGAAATGTAGACAGGCTCAATTACAGCCCAGCTTCTCCATTCACTTTATTCAAATCACCTACATTTGTATATTCATGTCAAGTGTTCACCAACAGCAACTGTATTCACACAGAGTGTTATGCTAGAAAACATGCACTTTTATTCCTACATTTAGAAAGTGTCTTCTGGAAGGCACTCGGTGTGCCATGTGAAAACTGTCTGAAACATTTGTGTAACAATTATGAAGAAGAAGTATGATAAAAAGAGCTAGAAAGAAGTTAAACCCCTGTGTTATCTCAACTCCACACAGCTGGCCTCTAACTGTAAAAAGTGGGTGTGAACGTCGGGTCATCGTTTACAGAGTTACAGGAATTGCCACTCACAACAACCCCTTTCTTTTACCTGTTATTACTATTGATAGTTGTTTGTAGCAACAAGAAAATATATCAAATAAATGTTTGCATTAAAAGCTGCTTCGAGTATTGTTAGGAAGATGAAGGGGTCATGACTCCCTCTGATATCCATTTTATAATTCTGTTCAAACATATACTGCATAATAAGTGAATTTATTCGGGTTCTACACTGCATTTTACAAGATACCATGTAGAACATTAAATAATGTTATAATTTACCTTTGCCTAATACTCATCTGTACTGAAAGGAGCTTAAAGGCATCATTATTATGGTCAATGCAATCTTGCTATCTGTTAGCTTCATCATTTATCCAAGAAGAACTGTGCTGTCCACGAGCTGCTAACTTTAACTTTGTTGTTCAGACTGTAGCAACAACATGGATCTCCAAGTATAGAGCATTAATGTCAATTTCCCAATCACATATTCTTTTTATTAAAATAATTCAGGCATCTTAGCTTGAATCTTTTATTCTCCCCACGCTGAAAGCTGATCTAATTGTTCAACAAACGACTTGAATGGGTGATGAGCGTGCTCCCAACATTACTGTAGCTAAATGCAGGTCTTACGCCACAGCTGTTCACTACCTATCCCTAAAAGATCAATTCGATGTTCCCCTTTCCTGAAAGTACAGATAACATGCAAACACTTTCTAATCCAAGCAAACTGCTTTAAAACATACCTTGTAAGATCCGAACCCTGGATCAACGAGCTCTGTGGTGTTTGTTGTGGCGGAGGTGCCGGCGGTCTGAGCCTCGGCCTCCCCGTGAGTTGAGTTCTTGTCGGATTCACTCCGGGTTGATCCACAACCAGAGTCAGAGTCTGAGAGCTCTGCTTCTTTGTCTTTGCCTTTCACCACATCAACCTTCTGCCTCACAAGCAGCTGCACTATATCGTTTAGGCCCACATTGTAGTCGAATATGGTATGGCCGTCCTCCATCTGATGTTAAAAAACAACAAGGTTAAAGTTTGTATATCCAAAAAACAAACTTTAGATCTGCATTTATCACGTTCACATTAATGCATATTTTGTATTACACGTTTTACATTTACCACTATGTTTAAAGGACAGTCTTCTTTAAACACCAATACGTTTAAGAAGCTTCAGACTTTAAATTACTGGGACACAATCCAACAAAACCAGAGACTTGTCTGAGCAAAATGTTTACTAAGCTGCGTCACCTGCTTGCCGCGGTAGAAAAGTCTCTGCACGTCTGGCTCCACCTTGAAGAGCTCAGAGATTTTGAGACGTAGCTCATCCACCTTGGTGAGTTTGGACAGGGAATCCACCCGGTGGGTTTCACTCCCATCCATTGTGCGCACTTGAATCCACATTGCAGCTGCCCTGTGTTAACAATCAAAACATGTACCATTATAGTGAAAATAATAATTGTTGTAGTAGATTCTGTGAGTATTCACTCTTGTTAAATGGATGATTTCATCAACAACAGCAGATGTCAGTGATCTGATAGAAGCCAGTTTTGTCAAACACATCATCAACAGCATGAGCAACACGATTTGTATGCTATTAATTGGTTGGTATTTGCATTTAAATCCAACTGCAGCCACCTTAAAAAAAACATTTTAGTAAGTAATACATGATTTAAAAAGTAATAGAGTAAGACTGATAAAAAGCATTGAATGGCACATCACTATGACCTTGCCCCCATCCTAATATTTGGTTTGTCCACTTTTTTAATAGAAGCAACACAGCAGTTTAAATAGTTTGAGAATTAATAACTTTCTCTTTCAATTGCATGTCCAAATCGTAGTAGTACCCACAATGACCATTCTTAGGCTTCCTTATGATTTTAAACTAATTCAAGTCATTTCGGAATGCAGATATCACCATCTTGAGCCAGGTGTTTCTGATATCTTGTGCGCCATATCAAAGACACTTCCTTACAGAGAACAATACAGATCCACTGATTGTGACTCTTCAAACTACAAAGGCATTACACATTACTTGTTAGACGCTTTTATCCAAAGCGACTTACATACTCAATACTGTGGGCAATCCCCACAGGAGCAATTTGGGGTGAAGTGTCTTGCCCAGGGACACAACGACATGCTGACTGCAGTGGGGTTTGAACCTGTGCTCCCTTGATCCGAACACCATCGCTCTATCCACTGCACCACACGCCTCCCAAAGGCAATGTTAATACTGAGGTGGCCACATATCAGCTTGTAAGTTTTCAATACACAAAAAAAAAGCATTTAAATCGTGGATTGTTGCTTTTCATAATCATTGCATGGACATTATTCTCTATAACAAATCACCTCTGGCCGGAAGAGAACTGTCTGCTCCATAGCTTCTTAATAACTGGACTTAAATCACACTGGACATTTTACATTATTATTCTATTTAATATTGGATAATCCATTCTTGCACAATAATATCCTGCATTATATTTGTTTTATCTTTTAACGCTATTTTATTCATATTTATATTTCTCAAATATATTGGACTGTTTATTTCTGTGTCTTCGTTTCTCTTATGTACATTGCCTTGTGTTTTTTATCCTGCTGCAACGCAAAAACTTCCCAAATTGTGATCAATAAAGTACCTACCTACCTATCTATCCATCATAGAGTTCCTGCCAATTAAATCATTAAAAGGATGTAAATGAAATGAATTCAGTTAAAAAGGACAATTAAATGGTGATCAGCAGAGGGAATATGATCATATCAGTGTTGGTCCGTGTATTGTGTTTCTGTCAGCACTGGGCTGTCACTTGAACAGAGAATCAGAAAGGGAGGGAACAGGCTGATTTAAATACAGTGCGGGAAACTGAGCTGAGGCCACTCCCAGTTCTTTTAAAACTGAGCAGCACATCCGGACGGGAGGGAGCGCTAGCAAACAATGTGCCTTCAGTCTCTCACAATAAAACACACCGAAATACTACCTTATGTGCACCATGGAATCGATTATAACTGTACTTAAACGCTCCTCTACTTGCATACGCCGTGTGTTGTTCTTTCTCGGTGGTAAACACTGAGCTCGATGGCTGCTTGGTTTTTACTTTGAGTTCTCAGCTGAGATGTTGGTCGCTCTGCTGGCTCGAATAAACCCGTGAACAAAACATCACCAACAACATTGATTAAAAAAAACGACTTCCTCTCTCCTGATATGCGTTCATTTACCGAGATCATTCCATTTAAACAAAATGTAGACAAAATATGAGTCGTTTTTTCAACACGGAAAAACTGAAAAATAAATACAGAGTTTGGAGGTTGGCGTGGTGTGTTTTGCTTCTAAAGAAGCGGTGAATTGCCAAAGCTAGTTGTTATTTCACCATGTGTTAGGCATTATGTGGTAATACTACAGATAAACAACAGCTCAAGTCAAGTTCATCATGCACCTATCAATGCTTTATGTTTTAGCAAACCACGTTACAACTTATTGTTCGAACCCTTTCAACAACGTTAGGTTAGCACAGATAATTGAGAGTACATTCAACAGCAAACAATTTTGTCACCCCAGTGACAAAATATTTAATTTACCATTTTACATTTTGCTTGCTCGGTAGGTAAGCCAAACAGAAACGAGGTAAGACTTTGTGAAGTTAGCTAACCATAGTGAGCTAGCCAAGTTACTGTGAGAAGATTTCAATGAGTACCATTTTAAAAGTTGTTTTAACACGAGAAGAAATCTGCTTTACCTGATGGTTCGTCCAAGTGAAAACAAGAAATTGAGGTTTACGGAGTAACGCGCACGTTTTCCGTAACTAATTTGTGTATGAGGTTTGCACAAGCAACTCTGCCTTGTTGGAGGTTGATCAATGAGTTATTCTTCAAGACTTTGATATCCCGCCTGCTCTAATAATATAGCTTCCCCATTGGCTAATTTGCTCTAAACAAATCGAGTTCATTGGCTAGCAGACCTTTCAATCTGAAATGTGACTGGAGCTTAGCTTCAGCGCGCGAAACGACATTCTCGTGGGTGCAGCTTGCCTCCTGAGATATATCGCGAGATTATGAAGGGCACCGTAAACGGGTAACCATGGGACAGACAGATGGTGTTCTGGTAAACAACCCCACTGAAAAGCTGTTTATCGTGTTTGTACATGTTACATGTCTTTGACCTTATCGTCTCAATATATTAAACGTTTATGTGGAGCCCCATATTGACCTAATAATCTTGTCTAAATAATGATGTGTAATTACCTTCCCTTCAGTTTGGCGGGAGCTGAATTGAATGAGGCCAACTCAATTCAAACTAGTGCACTGGAAATAAGAGGCAGGTGTTTGTTTGAGAGAATCTGTGTGTGTGTGTGTGTGTGTGTGTGTGTGTGTGTGTGTGTGTGTGTGTGTGTGTGTGTGTGTGTGTGTGTGTGTGTGTGTGTGTGTGTGCCATATCTGATTATCTTTATTTAGTGGCTTTATACTGAACTTGATCCACAGCATTCCTAGCTTAAGGGTAGGGTAGATAAGAATGGAGAAACCAGCTCGAGTGCGCTAGAATTTGAAACGACGCAGCCGAAAAAATCTGCCTCTTCCTTCAGACTTCCTTACAGAGCCCCTCCTCCAACACACACGAACGCGCACATGACCAATGAGGGCACGAGATAAGTTTGTGCACGAGATGGAAGGCTGACGGGCAGGTAGGCCATCCAGTTATTTTAGCCGGGCCGGCTAAAATGATTGTCGTACTTTTTACAGCACCACAGATTCCACAGATGAAATGTTTTTATGTATTTATTGTCAAAGCATTTAATATATTCATTGCTATCGGCATGTTAAGAGCATTCCATGGAATATAACAAAAAGTGTTTCTGAAATAAAGTACATACCCTACCTGGTCCTCTAAAGTCACTTTCTAAAGACAGCTTGTTTGTCTGACAAACTAATGGACTTCCTTAAACTTTAATCTCTGTGTTATACAATTTGCAATAGTTTGTGTGATGCCATTCAATTCAGAGTCCTGCAATTAGGTCCTGGCCATCCTGCAAATGCAAACATGAAAAATCCTACAACAGAGATCTTGGGAAAAAGTCTTTATTGCTTTTGTATTCGGCAAGATGCTGATACTGTATGTTGCTGCTATGCAAATCAAAAGAAAGTAGGTCCTAAGGTTATATTAATGTTGTATAGGCTAAGGCCAGTGAAACACAAAGGAAGCTTTCAGAGCTATATATAATGTTAACAATTTAATAATTATAGATTTACTTTATTTCTATTGCAGGTTCTCAATATTTGTATGCCTACAACTTTAAAATAAACTGTTGCTAGGTCATCATAGGAAAACATTTTCCAACTGAAACAGGGATTTTTAGGATATTTGTATAATAATGAACATAAGTTTAACTTGTTCATGTATAGTGACATCATGTAAAGCACATATTCAAAAATGCTGTCCATATTTTAAGGACAATCTCCATTTCCCTAATGTTAGATTTCTTTCAGAAAGAAATATCGCGAAAAAGTTGAATAGTAGACATCAAAAATAAATACTTATCCATTTGAGGTCTGTAAGCTCGAGAATAAGGGAAAAATGTATTCCTCATTTCTTAATTACTTAGGAACTAACACACTTAGACTCTAGGTACCTTAAAAATCCTCTTCCTATTGCTTCCTAAGAGACTCTACTAATGTTTGTCTATTTGTAGCTGAAAACCCAGTCCTGGACTACAGTAACTGTGAACCTCTGAGGAAACGAAAGAAAAATGATCTTCCCTTAGCCGAGAATCCCCTCACTAAAGCACTTCCCTTGTCATTTGGGCTGCTCAGTAAGAGCTATTACTCCCAGGGGTTTATTTGTGTAACTGTAAAAATGTGTAGCAGAGCGCTACTTAAAAGAAGAGTGTGCATGTTGAGAAAATCCTTCCCAGCATGAACAAAGTTTCCAGACTACAAGGAAAGCCACAGAGTGAGGCCTATGAGCTGTATGGTGTCTCTGGTGTGGTGGGTCCTGGACAAAGCTGCCTGGCAGGGACTGAACAGCACTCGGAGCTCAGGGAGGATGACAGGAAGTGGACGCGACAGGCCAAGTCGTCCAGGAAATCCTTTTGTAGCTTTGTTATTGCTTGAGAAAGCACAACGGGAAGCGACTGCACACTGAGAAGGATGGAATCCAGTTTCTCTTCCAGAGCTACAATCCTCCTGTCCAGCTCCTCACTTCGATGTTGAAGCTCCAACACCAGATCGTACATCATGTTCTGGGTCTGCAAAGCAACAGGGAGGACAGTTCATTCACACATTTTACAGCACGAGTCATCATCAGGGTAAGTGGAGCGGGAACCTATCTCTACATCTTTACATACATCATAAATGCAGAAATGTTGTAATTTTTTTTGAAAAGATACAAAATCTCACTTCCCCAGGAAACAAAAATATGTTGTGTCACCTATCAATGCCCTGGCATAGTAGATAAACAACAGACGACCACATCTTTGTAAGTGGTAACATGTGAACCCTATTTCAGTGGGCATTTTGTAATATGGTTTACTTGGATTAAGTTATGGTAAGCTAAATACTTTTGGTTTCATCTGACAAAAACACTGAAGACAGCCATATAGTGTCAAACTCAACAACATACAGTGCTTTTACAAACCTTGGCAAGGTCACAAACGGTATTGGCCTGATCAGTTAGTTTCCTTTGCTCCATTTTGACTCTTCGCAGTCTGAAATAGAAAATAAGAATCCAAGTCATGTTTTGTTCCATTCAAAATAAATGCTGAGTAAGGTTTATCTTTGACAAAGTAAGTCACAACCTTGGATGGATCATGTGTAAACCAGTTTAAGTTGGAGTCAGTATCAAACCCCACAAAGGACACATGAATTAAGAACACATTACCCCTTGTTAATATATTAGAAACCAATCAAATAAGTGTATAAGAGCAAAGGGTGACAAAAATGTATACATTCCAGTTGTAATCAATTTGATGTTGTCTTTACTCTAGATTTCATGGTGATGACATGTGTACACCTACTGGTGGATGGCTTGCAGGAATTTACGCTGATGGTGGCGTACTCTGGCATGATCAATCTTCTTGACCAGCTTGGTGTTTTTGTAAATGAGCCAAGTCTCCCTCAACACATTGGCTGCTGTGTTTTTTACCTGTGGATGGGAGAGTATGATGCAGATAGAGGGATCTAATTAACTGTCTCCAGTAACATTTACACTGAGTAATGTGTGTTGATGAGGTTTCTCTCTAAAGGTCTTTGTCACAGAAATTAGACAGAAACTGACCAAACATGGACCCAAAAAAACAAAACAGTATTTTACGTTTAATCTGCAGTTCTGTCAATATTAACAAAAATACAATCATTACCTTTTTGTACAGCTGAGTATCCAACATGAAGTTATGGACGTGCTTTTCGGCTCTGGTGAGTTCGGACTTCCTTGCAACAACAGCGACCACTAAAGCTGTGCAGCCGGCTCCCTGTGGAGAAGAGCAGTGGTTAGTGACACTATATTGTTACATTACCACCAACTATATTTTTACTATTAATAGTCATCTTTATACTGGTAGCAACATTCCATTGTACACGGCTCACCTGTGGAGTAACTACAAGGCTAGAAGCATGCAAAAACTAAAAGTTGCATACAATGATGCTTTACGGTTGCTGGTGAGGGTACCAAGATGGCACAGTGCCAGCCAGCTGTTTGTTAACTTGGGGGTACCTACCTGTCAAGCCCTTTTAAGAAATGTAATGTACAAATTCATGTGTCGCCTAGAAGACTCTGACAATCATGTTATCTTGATTTTAATTAACCCTGTGAAGAGTTCTACTCGGTTCTCTTCCATGATTTGGAGACATTGGCGCAATAGCCTCCACAGACAGTGAGCATGTGTGGCTAGCTGTAATTGGACTGATTTTATGTTTTTTATTTTTTATTTATTGATGTGTATCTTGTCATTCTGTATGTGATATGGACCTTGAGTCTGAAATAAAGATTGAATTGAATTGAAAAACCAAACAAGATTCAAGCTTCAGTTAGCAGAAATTATGGATTTTGTTATGTAAACTGGTAAATATAAAACAGTTAAACGTATTCGTAATGTGTGTATTTTTCCTATGATTCGTGCTTCATGTAATTTGCATTAGTTTTTTACCCCTTTTAAGTTATTAAAATGTATTACATTAACTTGATAATTGAAGGACACAGATTGTTTGGGATTACTCTTCACTACATGCCCAGTTGTATTGTACCTATCTCACCATGATTCCTGTCAGCAGGCAAACTCCCTTCCCACAGTAGGTGTGAGGGACCATGTCGCCGTACCCGATGGACAGGAAGGTGATGGAGACCAGCCACATTGCTCCGAGAAATGTACTGGTCACCTCTTGAGCATCGTGATACCTGTGGAGGCATGACACCTGGATGTAAATCTGAAAGGTCTGAGAGATGTCTTGCTCAGTTATTCTTCTTAACGTAAGAAGATTAAAAAGCAGACTAACACTAAGTTTGATTACTCAAAATTACATCTCATTTGAACAAGGTGAAAGCGGTACTCGGATATTTTACCTAGCTTAAAGCAGGAATACAACCAAAGTCATTAAAAATGTGACTTAAAGGTGGGGTAGGTAAGTTTGAGAAACCGGCTCGAGATACACTTTTTGTTATATTCCATGGAATGCTCTTAACATCCCGATAGCAATGAATATCTTAAGTGCTTTGACAAAAAATCCATACAAAAATGTCATCTGTGGAAGCCGTAGTACTGTAAAAAGCACGACCAATCATTTTAGCCGGCTCGGCTAAAATAACTGGATGGCCTACCTGCCTGTCAGCCTTCCATCTGTGCACAAACTTATCTCGTGCCCTCATTGGTCATGTGCACGTTCGTGTGTGTTGGAGGAGGGGCTCTGTAAGGAAGTGGCAGATTTTCTCCGGTTGTGTATTTTCAAATTCTACGCACTCGAGCTGGTTTCTCCGAAATTACCTACCCCACCTTTAAACAAAAATATTAGTATCAAAATGTACTTAACGCAAAATAATGTATTTATTTATTATATTGATATATTCATGGGGAGCTTGTGAAATTCCTTCAGCTGGGTCAATAAATGCCTGTTGAAATAATTAAATTATGAATTATATGTTGTGTTAGTAAACTGAATTGGCAAATGACTAGGGCCTAAAGTTATTAAATCAATGTATAAGAGTAGAGGTACAATAGTTTCCTCTGAGATTGGTGGAGTATAAGGCCTACAAACCAGCAGAAAATGGAAATAACTAAGTACAATCCCTAAGTGTTAGTACTTACTACTTACCCTCCACCACTGTTGGTTACTAAAGAAAGAAAAGGAAGACTGAGACGTTCAGGAGTTTAAAGCTGCTGTACCTCTCACACACACGCACGGTCCACGCTGCGATGATCCAACAGGACACACTGAAGACCAGCAGGACTGTGCCGGGGCATATGGTCATCAGAGTCTTCATGACAAAACGAGTGTCAAAGCTGATCTTGTTGAGCGCCCCGATGCTGCGGGAGGAAGCGTCGGTGAACAGCTTGCTGTGGAGCAGCATGACCCGGCCGATGAGGTAGAGCCGCAGGAACATCGGCACGGAGAGGATGATGTCGATGTCAGCGTCCGCCACTGATGCTGTGTAGCTGAAAGCCAGGCGAGCAGTCCAGGTGAACACATACTGACCTGGGATCGGATGGATGGCACAGATAAGGAGCTCGAACGCTACAAAGAGAATCCGCTCAAAGGTCATTGCTATCCTCCAATCGTCGGCTCCGTTGTCCACCATGAAGAGCTGCAAGGAGAAGATTTTAGGGGAACCTAATTAATATTGCATATTAAAAGACATGATCTAACCTCGAAAGCAGAGAACAATTATGATGAATATTTGTTTGGATGGAAGATTTTACTTATTTTTAAATATTTCAAAAATAAGTCAAAGTGTTGTCCTGGGTAATAATAAGGGTAAACCAAGATACAGGTATGCACTGATTTCTTTTAATTCTTCCACATACCTGGATTTCCCTTGCATGGTACATCACAATGAGTCCAAGAAGAATGGCAGTAGAGAGGCTGATCAGACCTTTCAGGACATATGAATAAATGGATTCCTGTGTAAATAATGGAGACATAAATGGTCATTGCATTACATTGTGAAGACACACTTACGAACCAAAATAAAAAGTCAAGGAAAACGTTATTATCCCAAATAAGGGAATTCACAGTGCAAAGGCACATAAACCAGTAATTTAAACAGATAATTAAATAATGAAAACATATACAAATAGGTGATGTTTGCTCTCAAATCAATGGAGTTTCTCAAATCTAGGGCTCTTTATTGAAATAAAGTTGCGACTCAGTTGCTATTGTGGCACTATAGGGCAGCCGTTTGTTTAGCCTCTGGTCAGGTACATCAAAGAAACATGTGAAACTATTTCTGCTCTACATTGCACTTCTTTGTTCATCTGTTATATTTAAAAATAAAGTGGGTTTATGGAGGACTCAAGTACCTTGGTGTAAAATTCCCTCGACAGCTCAGTCTCGATCACCATGACAATAATGCCAAACATCCCACAGACCAACGCGTAGTCGCTCAGCTGCTTGCGCTTCCCAAAGAGAACTTTTCTCTGACCCAGCCGGTAGCTAATGTCCTTGGTCTTCTTCCGTGGTACGCTGCCTTCCTCCCTGCTCAGGTTCTCACTGTTGGCCTTACTGGAATCTTCTCTGATTACTTTGGAAAAAGCGTCCTCCAGGATGGCACTGTGAAGGAGCTGGAGAGGCTGTTGGCCTGAGTGGAGATCTGAAAGGCTGGATCTTTGAGTGCCATGGCTGCTTAGCGGTCGCACTGCGTTCCCGTTGATCCCGATGTCATGAGTTGGTGGAGGAGTGTGTTTGGGGAGGGAGAACCTCGATCCACTGAGCTGCTGAGAGTTTGTCTGCAAAAATAAGAAAATCACTGCATTGTAATTTTTCAGAAACCCTACTATTCTGAGCAACATAAACAAATATTGTTGACTTCTACAATCAGGAATTGGACTTGCCATTAAAAAATTCTGTCTGGTTTTGGTAGAAAATATTGATGTAAATGTTGTCTAACATCTTTTGTTTTGTTGTTGCTGCACTACCTTTTAATTACAGATGGGTAATATGTGTATTTTTTAAAGATGTATGTAGTGAAGTGTTATCGCGCCCATTTGAAAAAGAAACCTTACTCATTATTTAATTGGTTGGATATTAACCTCCTACAAAAGGTCCGTAACCGACATCATTTAGAGATAATTTGTGTACCTGGCTTTGTCGCTGTCTGGCTCTTTCTGCCACCACATCCTGGTTCTCAAGTGAGCTGTACTGGCTGGTGGTGAAGGACTGCACACTTCTGTTACTAGCTGGAGTAGACGACCTCTGCACAGTGCTGGTTAAAGGGTTGCAGGGGAGATGACGGCACTTGTGGACGATGGAGGGGTCTCCAGGTGTCTTGCTAGTCTGATCAGTACTCATCGAGCAGCGAGAGTCTCGCTTTTGACGTTGCTGGCCTAACAGAGGCTCTTTGCCGAAAAGCTCTCTCCAGTTGAGGTCTGCGGAGACAGCAGGCTTCTGATTTGTCTCGGCACATTCAATGGAGCTCAGAGGAATGTTGAATAAAGTTGCTTGGTTGGTGTCTCTAGGTTTAAAATGATTGCAAGGCTGTTGCTGCAACTGCTCCTTTCGACCTTCTTGGTCTCTGAACTGGAGGGGGAGGAAGTTATCCTGTGTATGGTTTGTGTCAGGTTTTAAAAGATCGCTTTGGTTTGTTTGCTGTGGTAACACCTGGCAAGTGGTCAAAGCTTGGGTGCTTTGATAGAAAGGCAGGGTGTAAGGTGAAGATGAAAGGCTTCTCTTGTTTGAAACTTTCATGAGGCTATCATCCTGGACTGTGCCCTGCTTTGATTGCGGATGAAAACTAAAAGCCTCTGGATGTTGGCTAGCATCTGTACAGGAACAACCACACCTGTCATGGTTTGGATGTTCCACACTGGTCCCTGCTCTCCCCGCTAAGGCTGAATCATCTCCTACGCTGCTAACCTGGCCACAAAGCAGCAGCCAGTCCTGATCGCTCAGCTGTGATAAGGTTAGGTTTTGTGCTGAATCTCTTGATGGACTGATCCCGTTAGATCTTTCGGGACTCGTCTCCTGCAGTGAAGAGGATGCTTCCCCAGAGGTGCCTGAGTATCGATCACGCATCCCATCAGGAGTTTTTGTCGGAGGAGCTGGACCCCCTGAGGTACAATGCTCGTGGTCCCCATCATGGAAAACTTCGGCCGTTGAGTCAAGACGTCGAGTTGCGTTGGTGGGTTTGACCAAAATCAACCTCATGGCATTACTGCAGAGCTAAAATAACATCACAAAAAGTTTTTCACAAGTAACTGGAAAGAAAAAGTAGTAAAGGGATAGTATCCACCAATTATTGTTTTCTTTTCCCTTATATAGCCACCAACATAGCCCATAAATGAGCTCAAAATCCACAGGATCCTTGAAGGATGCAAGCAGAAACATGCAAAAGTGGGCACAAATGTTACTCTGAGAAACTAGAAAAATATATATATTAATACATAAGGCAAAAAAAACACAGTAAAAACTATTTTTCTTATAGTCTGTTGCATTATTTCACTTTTAAAAATCATCTGTGTTAAAAAAGCAACAATTTGTTAAATATCAAAGTGTGTGTTCAGCTGGTTATGATGTGAAACATTATGTCAAACACAGATGTGACCCCCTCTCATGTTTGTCTACTTCACACAGAAAAGCTCAGAAAATAATACTGTTTCTCATATTTAACTATTATTGGAGGAAAGAAATTCAAGATTTAGAATTTTAGTCTTATCTATTAGTTTGTTTTTTTACTGTAACAGTCAGTGATCTTTATTGAACAACTGAAACCCACATTAGAGAAGTGCTGTTGATCCTTTTATTATGATAAGAAATGTCATCCTGATGCGACATAAATGTGTAACTCCTAAAGCTCAAAATAAAAAGGATTAGTACATTTTAATCCTGCAAATAAAATTGATGGTCACTGTTTTTTAAACTTGAGAAAATGTAATTAAGATAAAAGCATAACAAATTGTAGTTCCTTAGTACTCATGTGCTTTACAAAGGTATCATTTTCAATGAGTGTTAAAACCTTTTTTTATGAGAGTGAACCTAATTATTCCAAAATTGTCTTCAAAGTTGTCTTAATTAAGACTGTAATCCTTTAACTCCAATTTAAAAAATCATTTTTTAAAGAATTTTCCTTTTAATATATAAATAATAATTAAAATGACATATGAACAAATCCCCACTTCTGTTGATCCTTACCTTCTTTTTCCAATTGTTATATTTCTCAAGTCTTGAAAAAGCCGGTCACTAATTGGAGATGCTCCCGGATTAGACAACAGCGTTGAGAAGAAGAGCAGCGAGAGTGAGCGCTAGACAGCGGCTTGCCTCCTCCCAGTACGAACACTTGATAAAGGAGCTTTGGAGACGCTTTCCTTTGAAAGTAATGATTAGAATTCAACATGAAGAAAGAAAAGGGCAGCAGCAGCTGGCCTGGTAAAGGGTTGCCATGCAAATGGCCTAGAGTGGGAGGGAGCATCAACAGGTTAGGATGCAGAAAAACAAAAACCTGGAACATCAGACCAGAGTGTAACGGCGGAACATCACACGTACAGGCTCAAAGAAATCCCTTTAAAATGGGAGTGGACCAATTGGTTGCTATGGGAAAAGAAACAGAGCTGCTTCTCTTTCAATGCAAAAAGGGAAATAAAAGGTCAGTTGAACTTGTCATTGAAGCTCTTTGGTTCAAAGGCCTTTGCACGACGAGCTCTTATCTCCTCCGCCACAACAGCCTGGCCGAACAAAAGTGGCCTTTTTTTAGATCTGGTTCTGAATGAGTGCAAAGTCTCCTCAGATGTCTCCTTACAAATGAAACAACATGAACAACTTTTTCTAATAATCTTTTGAATCAATATATTACCGCACGGATGAGTCCTTTCTGCTTCATTTTAGGTTATGTTATCCTGTCTTAGTAAATATAAGAATCAACATATTGTGAAACGTTCTGATGAAAGTGTTGTGTCTCTTATCGTCAGTCAGAACACTGAATGTGTGACAGATTTTTTTTATTTGTTAAACTAAGGGAATCAAAATGTCACAAAATCATACTTCAAACTGTAATTAATAGCACAGTTGTTGAAATTGTCCATACCTACATATACTTGGAAAAAATGGCTGTGATTACAGATTTGGATTAAGTAGAAATACAGATGACATGTTAAAAATGCTAAGCAGTATTCTAACTGGCATGTAAACTGAACTAAATACACCAGAGAATGTTGATGTTTCAATCTTCTTGTATCAAAACTATTTTACATTTTTTTGCTGGTTTACATCACTCTTTTTAATCTCTTTGTCAAAATTACAAGATTGTTGTTGTTAATCTTATTTTATTAATTATTTCTGATCAATTGTAGCACATTCAGTTTTGCATGCACTTATTAGACCTATATTTATTTTTAACACATTAATTATACTAGTATATTTTCTTCCTGATGTACATGAATTGTCTGTGTATTTTTGTTAGCACACTTGCTTTGGAGTGCCCCTTGAGGGACCAATAAAGTATTTTGAATACAAATTGAATATTAATGAAAGACCAATGTTGTTTAAAATCTTGATTAAGTAAGCAGGAGTGGTGTTGTTGCTCCACCAAGTATACGTCTTGTTTTTTCTTTTGCTATTTAGATATAAAACATTAAACACATCTGAATCCTTTCAAAGTAAAGTACAAGCAATTTAAAATATAAAAACGTTATGCATCTGTTGATTGTTGGCCCGAAAAAATAAAAAGTATATTTCTGCATTTTCAAAAATGTTATGTTTAATCTGTAAATGACTACACTTTATCTGTATTTCACCCCTTTATTTTCAGGCTTGTGGAGAGAGCCATATAGTGAGGTTGACTCAAAGATTGTGTTAACTCCCATTTCCCAGATAACAGTGCAGATGTTTGAGCTACATTGTGTATCAGATACACAATGTAGCTCAAACATCTGCACTGTTATCTTGTTTTACCTTTGTTACTTACATTTGATACTGATAAAGCTCAATCTTTGCTGCTTCCTGCCTCTCCACCTGGCATCACACAAACCTACAAAGCCTACAGCGTGCTGCCTCAGCAGCTCAGTGTGAGAATGTTGCTGTGCTGGAGAAAACCTTTGTGACCACCAGCAGCACGGGACCCTCCATGTTACTGCATGCTGAACTAAATCAAATGCAATAATCACTTTGATAGCTGCCAAATAGAAATCCTAAATGAATAATGCTGGACATGTTAGGGATAAACAGGAAGTATTTCCCTAATTATAATTGTGTTGTTGCAGTTAACTTGATTTAAGTTGTTGGTTTTGTTTGAGCCCACACTTAACACAGCTGTGCTTTTTCAGCAGTCACCATCAAATTACAATAATGTGATACTTAAAGTCACTGCTGGCTAAATGGGTAAGAAATATAATTTTGTTGACTTAACAGTGACATATATTTGATATTAACATAAAGGCTAACGATCATACCAGGCTTTGACGAGGCTAGCCAGTGAACAATTTCTACTTGTGTGAAAACATGCCATTTGCACTTAAAGGTGGGGTAGGCAATTTTGGAGAAACCAGCTCGAGATCGCTAGAATTTGAAAATACACAGCCGGAAGAAATCTGCCACTTCCTTAGAGAGCCCCTCCTCCAACACACACGAACGCGCACATGACCAATGAGGGCACGAGATAAGTTTGTGCACAGATGGAAGGCTGACAGGCAGGTAGGCCATCCAGTTATTTTAGCCGGACCGGCTAAAATGATTGGTCGTGCTTTTTACAGTACTACGGCTTCCACAGATGACATTTTTTATGGATTTTTTGTCAAAGCACTTAAGATATTCATTGCTATCGGGATGTTAAGAGCATTCCATGGAATATAACAAAAAGTGTATCTCGAGCCGGTTTCTCAAACTTACCTACCCCACCTTTAAGGTAATGAGACAAAAGCACTTGAAACTAACTTGGCTATCCAGCCATTTCTTCGATTAAATGTGACAGCGTTGGCCATTGTTGTTGTATGCCTAAAAGTGTCAACACATTGCAGGTATCTTGGTATTGTATGTGTATTTGTTCAGACTCTTAATGGCTCATAATCCACTTGTGACAGTCACTTCAATGTTCAATGTTAAAATGTTTTAGTATTTACCCAACAAAAAAAAACTCCTTTAAAGAAACTGTTTATTCACTTGCTAATTTAACTAAAAGCACAGAAAAAAGTAATTTGAGGCCATATCTATTTTGAAGCCCCCAATTTTGCTGGTGAATGGTGAGCACTACCCTGGACACACAATTATAGTCAACTTTCTCCTTATGTAGGTGGTAAAGTGTAACCCAGAATAAGCAATGCACAACAGCAGCAGATAGAACAAATGTTTGACATCAGTGTGCGCCTCGGTAAGTGCGCCTACTTACAACAAATAAGGAGAAGTCTTGCATTGAAAAGCGACAAGAGATATTTTCCATCGAGTGTTGAACTTTAATAAGTTACTTTCAAATCATCTGGCTTCCCACCTCCCAAGAAGTGCTATAAAAAAAGTATGTAATTAAATGAAATGGATGCTGAAGTGACACATTAGACTCATTGTGAATTAAACAAACCAAGCCGAGTCACCTGGCGTTGGAAAGTTGTTTCTTGGTGGGAAACGGTGAAGCTCTCATCAGCGACACACATTTTTAAATGAAATTATTAGAATTAATTATTAGATTTTTTCAATGGCAGTCTCCTATGAGCATTAGGCAGACAGTTTTCAAAGGGGCTATTGGGAGGGGAGTGCATTCACTTTGTGTTGTAGTTGGCAAAGCGTTGGTTCAGGGGGTTATCTGGTGATTTCATCCACTCCTTCTTTAGCTGTTGCTTCAGCTGCGACAGCCTCATGTTGGGGTTCTCCTGTTTTAGGCGGGGCATGTTGGCCTCCTCATAGGCGGCAAACGCTGCTTTCATCCTGCGCTCCGGGTGGTGGTCGGTGTCATCTGGCCCGGTGCTGGAGATGGAAAAAGAGGATTTAATTATGGCAAATCAACAACAAAACGATCAGTAAGGATAGTCTTGTTTTGCAGCTTATCGCCTGATCCAATCACCGGGACTTTTGAAGCGATTCTCTGTGTCGGTCAAGAAGGGATTTTGATCCCATGCTCTTGTTTGTGTGTGTACACAAGTGTGCGCGATTTGTGTGTTTCTATGTGGATCTTCCCAAAGTGACAACCTTCAACTCTGAAAAATTAAACCAATGCGGGAATGCCTTCAACCTAAATGACACCTTATATTTAGCTGTATATGAATTCACCGGTTTCAAAAATAAGTCTGATTGTATATATTCCCCTTCTTCTCATATCTTTCAGATTCGTTTTATTTTTTTGGTCTCAATCCAAGTTTCAAGTCTTAATTTCTTAAATAATGGTCTGATTTAGAGTAATATAGACTATAAAACAATGTATGCTTTGGACCGTGGCAACCTTGTGATTGACAGGTTTCCAACATGGTGATGTCTGGTCAGGGACAACACCATTTAGAATGGATGTTGGCCAATAACCATCAGTGGAGATCAGAGCACCCTAACGGCCCGTCCACACGGCAGCATGCGTTGAAGCTTCAACGCTTCTGCCCATTCACTTTGAATGGGGTGACGTCACGCTTTGCCGAACTGCATTGTGGTTCCGTTGCTTCGCTCGCATTGCTCGCTTTAAAAGTTGAGCAATGTTCAACTTTTGAAGCTTCGACGGAAGCGGCAGCCAATCAAATCATATGCCAGTACAAGCTCTAGCCAATCAAACTGCGTGCTTGTGTGTCCGGGGCGGGAGATTCATGTGATTGGTTGTTGGTCGGGTTTCAGACACGCCCACCGGCAAGCTTCCACGCACGCCGCCGCGTGGACGCTGCGTTAGTAACAAAATGATGTCCCACACAGTACAAATGGTACCTGAGCACAGCGATGGCATCTTCTATTGATCGGGCTTCCACGGTTCCTTCCTCAGGGATAATCCTGTTCACATTCTCTTCCAGTGGAGTATCCAGGTGGCTCTTTTCTGTAGGAAGAAATGGTATTTGATGATCAAGAGAAAGTACTGGTTTGATCTTCATAACATCCAATGCTGCTGGATTGTGTCTTAACTCATGTTTCCTCTTTATACTAACCAGTACACTTCTGAGGTCAGTTTAAACCTGAAACGTACCTTTTGGCTTGAGCTCTTGCTCCTTCAGTTGCTGTTGGTCGTTCTGAAGCACCTCCTCAATCTCGGCACGAGTTACTCTTTCGCTTGCCTCCCTCAGGGCTTTGCCTTTTATGGTGGAGGTCTCCTCATCGAGAAGACGTTGGTTTTCCTTTTTCCTCTCCAGGAGCTCGAGCCTCTTCTTCTCCTTGTCATCCTGCAATGACAGGAAGCTGTCTCATTAGACTACCTCACCCACTACATATATTTTGATCACTTAATTATTAAACAAGCTTTACTGATTCCCCATGACATTTATCATTCAATAAAATAAATAAAGCAATCACCCTAATACTATGAGGGTGCATTTAATTGGAAATATGAGTTGAGTGAAGTAAGTAAGTCTAAGTAAGGCAGTGATAACTACAGTATGTCCAGTACAGTACATATTGCAAAAAAAAGGTTCCCCTCCTTCTTAAAGCAATCATAAATATGCGTAATGTTGTGACGAGGCTGTTTGGCTGCAGAAGATATACATAGAACAAGCTGTAATTATTGTATGCTGATTATGGTAAATATACAATATTGCTCCTTCGTTACGGTTTGTGATCTGTAACTGCTTGGTAATGCAACAAAACATTGTCCCACTGAGGATAACGAAGATGTAATCCCATCCGATGTTTCAACTTCAGCTTAAAGTAAACGGACTATATGCACATCATCCAAGAAGTATCATGGTGACAACATTTCATAACTACTGAAAATTAAACAGATGAGATAGTTCACCTTTCTCTGCCCTTTTTTCAGAACAAGTTTGTCTGTCTCCTGCCACAAAGCATCCTCTTCCTGCTTCTTCTTGTCGGCGTCTGCCACTGCCTTGGCCTCAGCCTTGCGGGCTTTAGCTGTGGCCGCCTTGGAGTTCTCGCCCTGGAACTTCTTTGGCATCCCAACAGCTGCTCTTCAGCTGACAGCCAAGGAAAAGAACAGAAGAGTTTGATTAACAGGTTATTTTAAAGCTGATGATCAGTACTCATATAGCCAGGTTCAGCTACAATGATTCAAAACATACTCTACATTAGCTGCTATTAGCCCTTCATAGTGTATATTTGACAGATAGTCTTCAGATATATATCTTGGATTGTCATTATGTATAGATTTTACTTTAAAGATCTGTCTTTATGTTTAATTTGAGATGTTTTTATTTTATGTTTATTGTCTATGCGTTTTGTACTCCTTTTCATTCACACATTGTGTGCAATGCCTTGTTTACATGCTGCTGTAACGAAAATAATTCCCAAATTGGGACCAATAAAGTATATCTCATCTTATCTTACATTATATATTTTTGCTTGTCTTTTTTGAGTTATCCCCTATATATTACAACCCAACAATGACTGTTTTAACATGCAGTATTTTCATATTATGTGTAATCTGAAACAGCTCTTCTAAGATAGATATGTAACATTGTAGGGCAAGTTAGTATTCTAACGTATTCTACATTCAATTAAAACAAATTACGTTGCAATAACGTAAGTTAACGGAAGACCACCATTAGCCCTGTTAGATGACTTCCCTATCTGAACATCAGTTTGAAAACATGGGTTCGCAAACACAATACAGAACAGTTGGAGAAGGTTAACAAAGCCATACTTAAACTCTCTAAAATGACTCAATGACAGCAGTGTTTTTTGTTAGTGTAGCCTTCGCTAGTTAGCGATAGCTAGCTGATGTTAGCCTAAAAAACAAGCCATGTTTGCTTGTCAATGAGCCGGCCATTCACTAAATAAATGGAGCCAAGCTTAAGTTAACATGATGATGATCACAATACACTAATATATAATCACGCTTTCATACCAGTATGAGATGAAAAACAGGTTGTAAGTAGACGGTAGTTGTCTGTTGTTTCGAAGAGGCATCTGCCACCTCCTTTCTGAAACATACGCGCACCCTGATGACGTAGTGTCTCCTATGGTTACATTACATACATGGATGTATAATAAGAATACCAAAGATGCTGATGATTCACAATAAAGAGGTGAAACCACAATGTTTTGAGAACAAATAAATGTTTACTGCACTATTTTACGAGTAATACATTGTACTTTTACTTCTAGGATAGCTTTTCAATCAATACTACTTAGGTATAAAGTGTAAAATGTGTATCTCTGTCAAAAATGTGAATTTCTTCCCATTAGGAATATTAAATTACATAAGTAAAATATAACAAGGCATTATTGGTGCAAAATAAAAAATAATAAAGCCTACAGCATAATTGTAAACATATTTTCCTCTCAAATTAATACAATAGGAACTGATTAAACCAACATTTCCCAAAACCAAAATATTGATCTTCAATATATGACTGATTCTTAAACAAAAGGTATTTTATTCTGCTTTCATAATCAAGTCAGGTGAAAGAGGAGAGATAATACATTTTTTATATTTTTATTAAGGAATACAGTTTACACAAATATTACAAAAATATGAACTATAGTTGCAAAAACAACATGATTGAACATAATAAATAATGCACATCTCTCTCGAAGCTGGATCTCTTCTTTAATTATTCAGAAATCATTATCGCTCTCCTCCAGCAGAGGTGGTCTTATCACCCCCTTTGAGGGGCGCACACCCCTGGACACTGGGCCCTCGAGACTGTCGTCCTCCAAATCCTTGCTCTCCTCTTCCTCGCCTTCATCATCTTCCTCATCATCCTCGTCCACATCAATCTCGCTGTCTTCAGTCTGAAACAGTAGGGCAGGCAAGTTACTAAAATATCAAAGTTTTTAAAGTCCAGAAAATGATTACTGGATAGTTATTCAATATATAATGTGGAACTATAAAGGGATGGACATATTTCTAATTTAACTACACACTGAACCAGCTAATGTCGCATACAAATCGTTAAATCAGACAGATCTAACCACAGATTCACCTCTTTGGCTGTAGTGAAAACATACCAAGGAACTAAGTGATTTAATAGTGAACTGGGAATTGTCCACCGAGAGCCAGATAACTATTGGGGACCAGCTAAACCTCATTTAAAGTCAAAATCCATTTCCAAAACTTCAATAATGTTAAAAATAATCTGCACCAATATTAAAAAATACCAATTTCTTACCAACAAGTACTAAGCCATGGGACGGATTTGATCGTATAAACAATCCCAATGCATCAGTTAATTTGAGAATGGATTTCCCCTTTAAACAAACAGAGGAACAAGGAGTAAACTACAGTAGATCCCCGTCCTGCACAAACCTTTCCTCTCCGTTGTTTTTTGGCACGAGGGATTGACCTTCTGGAAACAGCTAAGGAGGGCTTTTTAAAAATAAAAGCGAATGAAAGAGAAAAATAAGATACTGAACAGAATATAAAATGAAAACCCAAAGGGACGTGAAACTGATCAGAGCTGGTGCACAGGATATTTGGTTAAAGATGACAAAAGAGACAGCACTGGGTGATATTCAGGGCCATTGCTATTACAATAAAAACACAATTATTCAATGATATTTAAGACATGCTTGCAACATCAGGATTCATTTAAGAAGAAAAAGGAATAAATATTGTATTGATGTTGCTTCAACAGTACTAACCTCATCACTATCACCCCCCTGCATGTTACCGACGAATCGCGCTGCTCTTCCTGTGGTGGAAAAATAGGCAACAGGTTTGATGATGAGTTGTAATAGAGATATAAAATAAATCTGAATCATAGAAAAGGAAAATAATGCATATAATAACCAAAAGGCCCAGTTCTTCTAACGACATGGCTAGCCTTAATCCGCTGACCTGTCATGATGCCGTTTCGTGTCGGCCGTGGCTTAGAAGGTCGACATTCTTCCATGTCGCTGTCCGAGCCTTCGTCTTCTGGCACGTCCATGTCAGAATCCTCATCTTTTACTGCGGAAAACACATATCATGGAACAAGTGTGTGAGTTCATAAAAGAGGTGGAGATTTTGAGGCTATTGTTTTGGTTTCATGACAGGTTATTATCTCACAGGAGCTCTTCGTCAGGTCCCTCTCCTCCTCCTCCCTCAACACGTTCTGCATCATCCTCATTGTGTTTTCGGCCTCCTACAGTGAAACGAAATGGGACAAACACTTACATTAAAGCCAAAATAAAGAGGGTCGGTCTTCATGCAAGTCTCTATTCTCCTCCATCCACTGAATTCGAGCTAGAAGTGAGTGTTTAGGAAAAATTGTCTTGTGTTATTTCTCATCACCACAGGTTAGAAAAAATATAGTTTAAGAGAAGGGCTAAATGAGTCACTCCTAGGGGGAATAAAGACAAGGAGGATGGCCATTGTTTTAGAGTCATTGTTGTATATATCATCCACACACACCTCAAACCTCTCCTGCTCCAGCCTATGGTATTCATCCAGCTGAGACTCCAGGAAGCAAAGGTTTCTGAACTTCTCCACAAAGGTTTCATATTGCTTCTGCAGGTCTTTCTCAATCTTTTCATATTCGTCCATGAAGGCTGGCCTGAAAAAATAATTTATGTTTTAAAACAAGCAATTACAACGGTGTAGGCATAGACACCGTAACTTTTCAATCAATGTGTTGTTAAAAGACACAAAAATACAATTTTAATTTAGCTATAGCACAACCTGAATGGCAAACATTTTGAGCAAAGAGTGCAAATAATGACACTCAAAATAAAGGTTACACCCCCATTAACTCTATTTCATTTGTTCATAAATCATTCCTGTCATTATGCCTGTTTGCTAACTGTCGGGTTATGAACTTACCTGACACTCTGCAGTGTCTGGAGCCTTTTCCGATTCCTCTCCAGCTCCTGTTTCTTTTTTTCTATCTTAGCGTCCAGACTGGTTTCATCAGAAACAACATTACTCAGCATGTCTTTGGTCTTCTCCACACTTTCCTGATTAATGAAAACAAGAGCATTGTGGCCGATTCAGTGCCATTTCCTTGGTAAAAACAGGTCCTTGTGTGAGTTTTAAAATGAGGATTGTCAGGATGAAGACATACCAAAACTTCCTTGATGGCAGCTCTCAGGGCCTTTTCAGTCTCATTGATTTCCAGAGGTCTGGCGATAGCCGCAGTTCTCATTTCCTGTGGGAACATTAACAACAAAGACAGCATAGTAATATCCTGCATCACCTGCATCACTTTAAAAAATAAAGTCCTTTTAAATAGACTGTGGTACAATTGTATCAATACCAAAAGGAATGAAATAATTATCTTTAACATGTGTAATGCCTTTTCAAAAAAATATATCACTTTGTTGCTTGGAATGCACTGAAAACACTATTTAAAATGTGGACTTCTAACTGTATCTCAGTCGAATGTAAAAAAAAAGAAGCCCCATCATTGTTTTCACTGTCACAGATTGTGAGCATTTAAGATCAAAGGATATGGAAACCAGTATATGTGTATGTTAAAGATCTCTTACCCTTAAGTCCACTTCTTTTCCCAGTAAATCATACAGAGATGCTCCTTTAGATGTGACTTCGGATGCCAACTGCCGAGCCGCTTTAAGATCTGAAATCTTAAGTGAAGAGAGAGTGAGGGCTTAACAGCAACATAAGGTTTTCTCCTCAACCACCAATTTGATAAATTATATTTTGAAAACAGGAGGGAGACAGCAATCAGGAAGGGAATAGAAAGATGAAAAAACCCTATTTTACCAACGTTGTTTACAAAGAAAACTGAAAGATATTAAATAGCACAGTTTAAAGTCTGGGATTGTACATGCATGTGGGTCAGATTTACGGGGACCGACTCGATATTAGATGTTGTTCAAGTCAAGTTATACAAGAAAAATGTATAAAAATATGAATTCAGGCCACATTTACAGTCTGCTAATTTCAACAATACAAGGCATTTGGGCTCAACTTAAATGTCACAAAGGTTTTATTGTTTATTAGAGCTGATAGCTTAGTTGTTAAGATAAGAAACAGCTAAGGATAAAGCGACATAGCTTTAACATAAAAGAAGAGTAAATCTTACCCGTGAGCCGAGGTCGAACTTGAATTTGCTGTTCTCCTCCTCGGTTTGCTCTCCCAGGGCCATCTGTTTGGTCTTCATAGCGCTGTACAGCACTGAGGTAATCTTCAGCATCTCTTTCACTGCATAGCCATCAGCCTGATAGAGGCGTTTGGTGTTCAACTTGATGTGAGCCTTAGTTGCCTGCAACCATGTGAGACACTGGTTAAGACTGACAGCAGACCTTCAATAGCTAAGAGTAATCTGTTCATTCTGTATAAGCTTAAGAAAATAGCTCACCATAAACTGGGCCACAGCCTTGATGAAGAATATTCTGTCTGACTCTGTATCTACATCAGTAGGAATATCCATCTGAGGCTCATATCTATGTGAAATGAAAAAGGGATAGGGAGAAAAAGAAAAAAAATCACAGTATTTCAATACAAAGTTTAGGCTGATCTAAGTGAAAACCAATATCCAATCTAAACCATGAACCAAACCAGTCCGATAGTCATTCCAGTGTTAGTTAATGTTTTAACTACATTGTACTGAGATACATATTACAAATGACAACTTTACATTTTATTAACAGGAAATAGTGTGCAATCATGTACAGAAACAAATAACATTATTTCAAATAAAAAAGAAAATCTTGAAAAATGTAGAAGGTGTGTATTTTGAGCATACCTCTTTACAAGCCATATTAGTATTTCAGCCACTAAAGTGAAATTTGGAGTTCTGAAGTTTTCCATGGATATCAACCGCGGGTAGCCCAGGGCCCTCATCATTTCTGTGAAATCTGTAAACAAAACCCACATCTCCAATTAATAGTCACAAAACACATGTTTTTAGCTAAGAGATAATACTTATTACATACAGTCACTTACTTCTTAAGTCTCTAAATGACATTTTGACCTGCCAGCTCCTTTACAGCAGATGATGCTCTCGTTTCTCCCCTACAACGAAGAGCAGAGGATGTATTTACAGACAACCAAGATGAGGACTGCACAATTTGTCTCAGAGTCGATCGAGAAAACGTACATTAAATTGTAAATCCTGACTTCCATCGAAATGTTAAGGTGGTGGAAGCTAAACAAAAAGCATTATGATTTAACAGAATCCTTAAGGAGTTAACGTTTACAGGCATATCGATGTTAGATAGTGTATATTTCATTAGCAACAAAGCAACTGTGTGAATGTATCCTCAGTTTAACTGCTCTCTATAGCAGGGTTGTAAATCCTCTATTAGGAATATTGTGGCTAGGTTGTAGCTACTTAGCAAAAAGCTAACGATCGGTGTCACCGCAGTGGTTAGCAGCAGCACGTCAGCCGGAAACAAGAGACACCTTTTCTGAACAGCCTGGTTGACAGACTAACAAACTTAGTATAATGTTATGTTTTTTAGAATTCGAATAATGTTTGTTACCTGTCGCTGTAGCTAGCTGTTCATTCGCCCCAACTATAGATGGTCTCTATGGAAACCGACCGACGGAAGCTCAACGCGTTCAAAAAGACTAGCGAGGACCTTTTTATTATAGGTCCTCACTCAGGAACATTTCAATTCATACGATTATATGGGTATATTTATGGATGATTTAACTGACTTTAATTGACCATTTATTTTTAATGTAATTTCCCCCCCAAAAAATGGCATTGGGTACACTGAGCTGTGTTGTTCTTGTGGGTAATCAGTTGTTGTAAAGTGTGTTGTAAGTAGTCTCTTCCAAAGTAGCTAAACATAACTCAACATAACGCTGATAAAAAAATAAACGTAGATTAGCTTAATCGTAATTTTTTGGATGCATGATTTACAAATGTATTGCTTTTTGTTGAAATTGTGGTATCGCTACATTTGACTGAGTAAAGGAATACTTTACTGCAATTTTCTTCGACTGGCTGAAGTGTGCATTAACACGGATGGCCACCGGGGGGCGACACCTCCCAGTCTGCGCCACAGAAGCCTTTCATTTCAATGGGCTGCACTCCTGACGCAGAGAGCATGATGGAGCAAACTGGTGAGCCACCTCACAACAACAACACTGGAAATGAACCTGCTGCCTGCGGCCTCCACAGTAAACGCCTTAAAGAGCTGGAGAATGCCGCCCTGCAAACCACTTTAATATCACGGATGGAGACTGAATCTGGGGCGGACTCCGGGGGCTGGACGGAGCAGCAGTCCGGGGAGGGCGAGCAGTCGGACGGCTTGTCCTTGAACCACCGGGCGGCCCCTCCGCAGTTCGGCGCCGACACCGAGGCGGAGGAAGCGGAGTCGGGGGAAAATGACGATGAGGAGCGGGTCGAAGAAGAAAGGACCCTGACGGACCATTTAAACAAAAGGCTGCTCTCCTCGTTTTTGGAGAAGCTTAACGAAAGGGACCTGGCACTTCCCGGTGTTCAGCGTCTGGACTGTGCGGTAGCGGACGAGGACTCGAACAGGGCCGCAGAGGAGTGGTGAAGAACCGGGCAGAAGACAAGCAAAGAAACATGGAGATGTTTGAGGGATTCAGGACCGATGTGCACTGAAGCACAATCCCACAACAAGAATGATAGACTTTCATTTTGGCGTACCAGTTTATTCTGAAAGAAGGAGTGTCTGGAAATGTTATGCTTACTTTTGTATAGTGAGAATGGGTGAAAGATAAAGAAAATGCAATAAATTAACGTCATGCGATATGAAATGCTTTTGTAATTATTGTCGACATGTATCTGGCAGCCATAATGGATATGTTACAACCATGTGTTCTTCTGAATTTTGAAGTGACATTCAATCGTCAGCTGGTGTCAGTATAACATTACATTACATGTTACTTGTTAGACGCTTTTATCCAAAGCGACTTACATACTCAATACGGTGGGCAATCCCCACAGGAGCAATTTGGGGTGAAATGTCTTGCCCAGGGACACAACGACATGCTGACTGCAGTGGGGCTTGAACCTGTGCTCCCCTGATCCCAACACCAACGCACTAATCCACACGCCTCCATATACCAAAATATAGCCTACCCCTAAACAGCATGTTTTGATATAATCACATAGTTTATTTTACCAAGTGTAACTTTCAAAGGCCTTTAAGTGAGAACTGAATCCAATGTACTTGTATAGAGAAGTAACTAATCTAAACTCTATAACTTCTAAACATAAAAAAAAAAAATCCATAAGCAACGTGTCCATCTTTTCATCACCAAAAATATGTATTACTGTTTAGAAAGGAAATTAATAAAATAAAAATAATATAAATATATCAGTTGGAAATACACTGTCATAAGACTACATTACTCTCTACCTATTTTGACAGTAACCCCCATGTAAAAAAAAGCATTATAAAAAGTTATTCTAATCATATATCAGTGGAATGTTAATTATGCAGTAAAAACCACGACACAATTCTCAAATAATTTACATATTTAGATTAAAGTCGATAAAACAATCTTGGATTAATTGTGGCTTTACTGTCTGCAGTAAAGAAAAGAAAACAAGAACATGACAAACAGTTCAAGAGAAGGAAAGATTTAAACGACAGAAATCCGCATAAGACAGACAGGACATTGTGTCATACATCTTATACGTCTTAATACACTTCAGTATCTTTGAGTACCGGTATGCATATTCTGTTCATTCGTAAAGATGTTCTGCTAGAAACTATGTACTGGCAGAATGGAGTTATCGCATCATGCATAAATTGCCAATTGGACCAGGATTAGCTCTAAAACTATTTGTGATGTCACAAATCAGGCTCACATGCCCTCCCCTTCAAATCCGATTTCCAATGAGCGCAGAAACTTTACACTTTCAGTAAATGAATGTGAAATTGGCCTTCTTGTGACAAATGCTGCACAGTGAAACTCAAACATCAACAGGAAAGAAAACACCCTTTTGAGGTGAAAGGGACTTTAAAGATTAGTAGAAAATGTGTAGAAAATAGCTGGTATCATTGGCAGTGAGAGTCATAAAGCCAATCTGGTTTATTACTATAGAGCTGAGCTGAAGGAAACCTTTTTTTATTTACAATGTTCTGTCACAAAAACATTTTACAACAGAAGAAAGTCTTTCATGTAACCCCAGGACGTAGTAAAGAACATGCAACAGCGCCTTTGCATTATGCATAACATATTGAAAAACAATTCATCTAAACCTGAAACAATAGTTGAAATAATTGTATTGCAGACATACACAGTCTACGCCAGGCCACCTGCCACATTAACACTCATTGAAGTGCAGGTGTGCATTGCTAAAGATATGGAACATGTCACAATGAAAGTCTTGATAAAAAACCTTTCAACATTTGAGGAATTCAAATAACCCCTGGGGGAGGTGCTTTTACACCTTTTACCTTTCTTGGCTCAATAATAAAGGATTTTGTTATTCAATCCCATTTTAGGGAACATCTTTTTTATAATAATATTTTTAATTAAAAAAGCTCCAAATGTTGGGCTGACATAAGAAGTCTGAAGAGTTTAGCGTTAAATTGAATGTTGGTCAATTACTGGTATACCAAAAGCTTTAATTAGAAATGTGGAATAAAACAGTGTTAAGTTCTCCAACAACTAAACTCTATGAGGTGAAATCTTATTCCCAACATCTGTTTGTCCTTCTTCTTTTTCATATGCTTTGTGTTCATGCACTTCCCTCAGAGGCACAAGCTGTGGTGTATCTCTCTGCAAGAAAGACCAATATTCTGGATTTCAAAACAGTAAGAAACAAAAAGCTAATGGACAATAATTTACTCTGACACACACACACACACACACACACACACACACACACACACACACACACACACACACACACACACACACACACACACACACACCAATAATAATATCCTATTATATTGATTTTAACAGTTTTGGGCATAGGTGCATACGTTTTTGTTTATTTAAGTAATAATGTATTCATTCATTACTTTACCTTGCTATTGAGATTTGGCTGACGCCTATCCCAGCATCCATTGTGCAGAAGACAGGGGAACCTTCTGGACATTTTTCCAGGCTTTAAACAAACAAAACCCACATTTATTGTCAGTCCAAAATCTATTTTACAATAATTTAGGTTTAAGAGTATTGGCAGTGTTTCATTTTGTTCTCCAAACTACAACACATATATAATACTTTGGATGAGGATGAAAAGCATAGAGAAAATGTTAACCCAACAGGTAAAAGCCCCGTGTTACCTTTCAACAAATAAAATAAAAATCATATATCATAAAGAAAGTCTTCTGTATTCTTACATTTCTACATTATATAGGTGCATCTACACAAATAAAACTAATGGAACCAAAGTGATAAGCAAATGTTCTGGTACTTACTCTGCGCTCTGATGGGACATCTACTTGCTTTTTTTTCAGATCCCACCATAACAAACCTTCTTTAATAGTATTCCTCTTTGTTGGTCCTGTGTTTAAAGAAAAACAACAATGTAATACAATTCACAAATTGCTTTACAAGTTAAAATATTTACAGTTGCTACAAAAATAAGGAAAATTAAGAGAAATAGGTTTATATGAAGCAGCTGAAAGAAATACCACACAAATAAACTGCAAATATAGCAGGTGATAAAGCAGACGGATTTAAAACGAATAAAATGCTAAATATTTGGAAATGCATTTAAAATACTAAAATGATGATACTTAGAAAAGCAATTTTAAATATGTAATGACAATACAATTAACATTGTTATGTAATCCAATTTTAAAGCACAAACAAAAGAGAGTTTAATTGAATCTTTCTCTAATACGGTATCACAAAAAGGTGGAGCTTTGATAAAACAGCAACTTTTCTTGGGTGGCATTGAAGGTAAATCTGATACTATATTATGATAATGTGTAATTTATCAAAACAGTCATTCTGGATCATGTGTCATCGTGTGTCAGCAGTTTTTACTTTTGTCTTTATTTCATACCTGTTGCATAGCTCACTATCAGCCCAGCTAGCACGACTGAACTCGTCGCCATGGCACCGAAGTAGAGGTAGGACATAGAGTAGAAGTTAAGCAGGCCCCTAGTTTTTAAAAAGAAAAAGGACTGAGTAAAAATTAGTTTACATGCATCTAGTACTATGACCGGGCTTTTTATTTACTGCGCTACACCCAATCAAACATTAAAGGTAGGTAATTCACTTCAGAAACACTTTTTGTTATATTCCATGGAATGCTCTTAACATCCCGATAGCAATGAATACATTAAATGCCTTGACAATAAATACATTAAAAAAAATTCATCTGTGGAAGCCGTGGTGCTGTAAAAAGCACGACCAATCATCTGAGCCGGCCCAGCTAAAATAACTGGATGGCCTACCTGCCTGTCAGCCTTCCATCTGTGCACAAACTTATCTCGTGCCCTCATTGGTCATGTGTGCGTTCGTGTGTGTTGGGAGGAGGGGATCTGTAAGGAAGTCTGAAGGAAGGGGCAGATTTTTTCCGGTTGTGTACTATCAAATTCTAGCGCACTCGAGCTGGTTTCTCCATTCTTACCTACCCTACCTTTAAGGAATGTATTTATTCA